TCAATCTAATAAAAATCTCAATGACAAACCAGCAGCTAACATCATTCCAAATAGATAAAAACTGGTTTTTCACTCTAAAATCAGAAATAAGACAAAGATGCCCACTATCACCACTTCTACTTGATATAGTTCTAGAAACATTAACCAAAGCAACTAGACCAGAGAGAGAAATAAAAGGAATAGAAATAGAAAAGGAAGAAGCTATGTTGTCATTATTCACATATGACATGATACTTTATATAGAAGACTCCAAATCTAGATTTAATAATCAAATACAGTTGTGCAGCAAGATACAAAGTCAACACTCAAAAATCAATTGCTTGCTGTACAAAAATAACAAACTCAGAGAGAAACTAGGGAATCCACATCTTTCACTACAGCATCCACAAAAAGAAAGAATCAACCAAATGAAGGAAGTAAAAGATCTATATATTGAAAATTACAGTTGTCGGATAAAGGAGATCAATAAGGATATCCGAAGGTGGAAAGATATCCACTGTTCAAAATGACCACATTCTCAAAACTGTTATACAACAAAAGGCTTTGTGAAATAAAAAAATTTCTACATTAGTAAATCTCCAAGTATACTGCTTCCATCTCCAAAGGGAGCTAAATTTGTACTAACATATCTACTTCTCCACCAGTCCTTCCCCTTGCAAACAATTTATATCGTTAACTGGAAAAAAAGATACCCTGAGTTAGGGGTAGGGCAAGCATAAAGCTACTCTACTAAACAAAAATGCATCTGTAGTAGCTTTGGCTGATAAGTCCATACGAGGAAGCAAGTGGTCTAACTTTCATTGCATTTACACTTCACTACATTTCAATTTGTCATTTTCAGAGATACTGATTTTTTTTACAAACTAGTTGTTTTACAATCTTGAACAAACCAGTTTATTGTTGCTATTTTTCCAACATCATGTACTCACTTTGTGCCTCTGTGTCACATTTTAGTCATTCTCACAGTATTTCAAACTTTTTTATCATGAATATATCTGTTATAGTGACCTGTGACCTGGAATGTTATTACTGTAATTGTTTTGGGGAACTATGCACTGTGCTTAAACTGAAGTAAACTTAATAAATAAATGTGTGGTCAGAATACCTATGAGCCAGCTGTTTTTCCCCTCTTCTTGGACTTCTCTATTCTCTGAGACATAACAAGAATAGGATTAGGCCAATTACTAATCCCATTATAGCTTCTAAGTATTCAACTAAAAGAAAGTGTCTCATTCTAAATTAAAAGTTGAAAATCGATAAGCTTATTAGAAGGCAGGTCAAAAGCTGAGATAAGTTGAAAAGGTAGCTTCTTGTATCAAATAATCAAACGTGAATGCAAAGAAAAAGTCTTTAAAGGAAATTAAAAGAATATCACCTCAGTGAATGTAATAATTACAAGCAAAACAGATGTGTTGCTGCTATGAAGTGTTTTAGTGACCTCAGTAGGTCAAAGAAGCCACCACATTCCCTTATCCCAAAGCTTCATCTAGAGGAAGCCCTAACACTCTTCAACTCTGTCAAAACTGAGAGAGTTAAAAAAGCTGCAGAAGAAAAGTATGAAGCTAGTAGAAGTTGATTCCTGGGTTTTAAGAAAAAAAACCATCTGTCACATACAATGCAAGCCAATGTGGAAACTGCAAGTTATCCAGAAGTTCTAGCTAAGGGAATTGATGAATACACTACATTGATGGATAACTACACAGATTTTCCCTGTAGGTTAAACAGACCTACTGGAAGAAGATGCCACCATGGCACTCATAGAAGTCAATGTGTAGCTTTAAAGCTTCAAAGGGCAAGGTGACTTCTTGTTAGAGTTTAATGTAGGTAGTGACTCTAAATTGAAGCTAAATGCACATTTATTGCTTCAAAGGTCCTACAGCCTTTAAAATTTATAAATTCTTGTTCTCTGTAAATAAAACAACAAATCCTGGATGATAGACTGCTTACAATATAGTTTTCCTAAATATTTTACATCTACTGCTGCCCATGAAGGAAAATTTTCCTTTTAGAATATTCCTGGTCATTGACAATGCACTTGGTCATTCAAAGAACTCTGATGACATTATACTCAGAAATGAATGTTGCTTTTATACTTTTAACACAAGATGCAGTCTTCAGCTGTTTTCACATTCAAGACTTATTATCTAAGAAATACATTTTGAACAGCTCTATCTGCCTCAAATAGTGATTACTCTGATAGGTCTGTGCAACGTGAATCAAAAGCTCTCTGAAAAGGATGCACCGTTCTAACAGGCATTAAAGCATTCATGATTCATGGGAGAAGTCAAACTGGGCATTAATAAGAGTTTGGAAGATGGAAATTCTAGTCATACATAACTTTGAGGTGTACATTAATACAGAAAGTATCTATAGGTGTGATGAAAATACACAGGGAACTAGAATTGAAGGTGACTCCCAAAGATTCAGCTAAATGCTGTAATTTCATGTAAAACTTAAAAAATGAGGAGTTACTTCTTGTAGATATACAAAGAAAACAGCTTCTCGAGATGGAATGTACTCTTGGGAAAGATACTGTGAACATTGTTGAAATGCCAACAAAGGATTTAGAATATTACATAAACTTAACTGATATAGCAGTGGCAAGGTTTGAGAGGAATGACATAAATTTTAAAAGATACTCTACTGTGGGTAAAATGTCATCAACCTCCATTGAATGGTACAGGAAAATCCCACAAAATGAACAGCCAATGAATAAAGCATATTTCACTGTTGTCTTATTTTAAGCAATTGCTTTCTTGCTGCTTTTTTCTTTTCTTTTTTGGTACCACAGATCAAACTCACGACCTTGTGCTTGTCAAGCAGGCACTTACACTGCTAAGCCAAACCCCTGGCCCTAGAAACTGTCAGTATTCAACAACCACCACTTTGATTAGTCAACGTTAAGGCAATTACCAACATTAAGGCAACCTGCCACCAGGAAAATTATGATGCATTGTCAGGTCTTATGGTTTATTAGTGTTTCAGCAATTTTTTAACTTAAGGTACTTATATTATTTTCTGGACATACTGCTATTTCTTATTTAATAGACCACAGAATAGTACAGACATACACAGTATTATGTACTGGGAAAACAAAAAAATTACTCTGTTTTGTAATATTCGCTTTCTTGCAGGGGTCTGGAACTGAACTCACAATAGGTATGAAGTATGCCTGTATAGTTTTAAGAAGAAGCCATTGAATTGTATGAACACTGAAGGGGTCACTAGTAAAGTATGCTTATGTACAAACAGTTGATTCTCATTTGTATGATGTCATTGGATCACTAGCAACTAACAGTGGATAAATTCAATGTTGTCAGTGTGAACAGGTATGCCACAGAGCTGAGGCACAAAAATGAGTCATTTTTTTTTCCTGGAATAAACTCTGGCGTTTCTGTTGGAAAGCTTCACCTTAAGAGAAAAATTTCAAAGGATACACAAGGTACTTGGCAAAAACAGGATTGAATATACCACAGAGGGAAAGGAATAATTTTTATTAAAATGAATGACATTGCATACAATTCAACCTTTGTAGCTGTAATTATATCCCACAAAATTTGCAACTGGATGTGTAGTTCAGTATCTTTCACAGAAAAACTATAACTACATCTTTACAGTATCCCAAAGTCAACAAAGATGAAATGTTGCTTGCAATTACCATTAGTTATCCTTGGGACCGACTGGACTCAACCAAACTAAAACTCAATTTTCTTCTCCAAAAGTGGGAACTGACATAAAACTATCAAAGACAATCTTTTAAAGCACACTATGCTTTTATTTACTTTTTTTTTTTTTTTTTTTTTTTGATACTGAGGATCGAACTCACCCTTACGAGGTAGGCTCTTACACTACTAAGCTAAATCCCCTGGCCACAATGTGCTTTTAAATGGTGAGTTTCAAATTACACTCGTGGAAGAAAAGTGATATTATGGCTTGTATCCCATAAAAAAGGGCTCTACTTGTGCATTGTTCCACCTCAGCACATTTTCCAACCTGCTTCACGATATCTTGGTTAAATCAATTGTTTGCCATCTAAAATGACACAGAATAGTTTATGTGATTAGTTTCTTTCAGGCTGTTTTAGATATTTTCTAAGGTCTATACTATGTACTAAGTATGTGGACTACTTGGACTGTTTCAACTACAATGGATGTTCTCTTAGGCAAGAGCGTACTTCAGGGCTTCTGTGATCACACACACCCAGATGTCACCCTACAGTTTAAACTTCCCGGAGGCTATTTTACAGGCTTTTAGCTCTGAAGCCTCTAAGAGTTATTGGAAAACTAACGAAGAGCGAACGCACCTCTATGAGAAAGAGGCAGAGAAGAAGAAGAAAAAAAAATTAAGATACTAGAAATCCGGCGTCAGTAACACGCAGTTTTTCTCTCATCGTATTTACTTACACTTCCCTTGAAAGTTTTAAACTTTTTGAGGGAAATAGCCTTCATTGGTACCTCGTTACTAGTTGGTGCTTGAGAGCAATAAAATGTTTTTGAAGAACTCTTTTTCTGCCTTATCATTAAAGCTGCAAACCTTTTAAAGCTTCTCCCGCTTCGGGGAGCACCCCACCTCTCAAGTGGGGAGTTCAGCCCAAGTCTGGTTAGTGGCTCCGCCTCCTTCGGTATTCCAGCCAATCCCATATTCCGTCATGGCGTGGGAGCACAAATATCGCGAGACTTTCAAAGCCTCCGTAGAGGGTTTTTAACTGAGTGGACAACGCAGGAGAAAGGGGCGGGGCTCTCGACGTGCGCGTTCACTTTGACCTCACGTTCCAGCGCGCACCCGGTATCTGGGCGCTTTGGTTTCTGGGCCCCCCGGGAAGCCAACAAAACCTAACCTCCAGAGTAGAGCGCTCGCGCCCACCCGAGGCGGGTGTTCGGTGGGTAGCGAATGCCTGCCCGACACCTGCAGGGATTGAGAGGGGCTCGGCCTGGTGCAGAGGGACTCGAGAGGTTTGGAGAACCAGCCTAGGTGGGCTCTTGGGTGCTCGAGGGTCAAGGGTCAGAGGTTGGGAGGGAAGGTGTCTCGAGCCTCCCCCTGCCACCCGGGGAGGATTTAAGTTGTCTGGAACCCCAAGGAGCTCTAGGGCTGAGTGAGAAGCAGCGCGAGTCTCTTCCACGGCGTCCCCTCCCGAACTTGCGGGCCTGTTGTCCGCCGTGGCTCCCGGGGAGCAGGTGGGGACCGTGGAGAGGAGACCGTGCTTCTCCCCGAGGGCCTGCAGTGCGTTGTCCAGGGGTCCACACTGCAGCGTCTGCGGAACTGTCACCTTGGCTTCTCCCAAGCTTGTTTGCCCCGTGCTGCCAGCCCCGCCGCGACTCTTTCGGAGCCTCTTGTGGGTCTTTTCGGAAGATAACTAGGTGGGCTGTGTCCTCTGGCATAGATTGTGCTCTGGAAGTTGGAACCCAGCAGCCGCCTAGCTTCATGAAGCGCGGGATTGTTTGGAGTTATTAAGCGAAGGTAGAGACTTCTAACTTCCCCTGACCGAAAGTTCTCAGCTTTGTGGTCTCTTTAATGACATTCGGGTTCAGAGCCACACTTGCGCGTTGTGCATTTGACTCTGGAGTGGTGCTAGGTTCATGAACGAAAGTGAATTGATCGAAAGTGTGAGTTGATCTGATAATTGATGGGCCCTCTCAGATGCACAGTATTATTAACTAATCGCCAGTTAGATTTGTGTGTTTTTCTAGATGGCTTGACATTAGCACGAAGTAGAAACCCCTAAGTATTTGACATTTCCTTACTTGAACTTAACTTGAGGCTTTCACATAATTTAATAACATAATTTAAAAGTTTTTACGGCTGTTTTCAGTTTTTCCAGTGGGTAATAGCAAGAGTGATAAAATGATCATCGTTCTTTGAATATTATCCGTAGTGTCTCATCTGTCACTGGAAAGACTATTGAGTTTGTGATCAGTAACCATGCTGCAGTCCAAGCAGTGGCGGTGAGCTGTATCGAGACATTTCTATGCTGGATTAACTGGAAGCCCAATTATGTAAGCAGATGAGAATGTAACTGTTAATTTCTGAAATATGTTGTTATATATTCTCTGACTAGCCTAGAAGAAATAAAGTTATGAACTTATTAAAGCAAATCTTTTATTAGGAGTTGTGGGAAACTGTCTGATGAAAGAGTCATATGAAGGCATTTTTCAAATTTATATAACTACAATCTAGCAACTTAATAAGTACCTGTCTCAAAATACAAAATGTAAAAAGAACTGGAAATATAGATCAGTGTGAAGGTAGAGGTTCAATCCCCAGTAAGGTAAGGGAGGAGGTAGAGAAGAAAAACTTGGTAATGCTAGGTGATTAAAAGCTTTTCAGTTCTCTAGATTGATTGGATTTGGTTTAGATCAGCTAACACTTTGGACGGCAATGTGTCAAATGTCCTTATTGTCTGTGATAATCTGAACCCTGATTTATCATTCCTTTGTTAGAATTCAGGACTTTATGTATCTTTTAATGAAAACATAGTAAGTCTGAATTTAAGTTTGACACTCTTCAGTTATATTCTCTGAATAACATGTTATGTTACTTTTTAACTACCCATGTTTGTCTTCTGTTAAAGATAAAATTCAGTCAGGTTGGTTCGGTTTTTTTGTTTCTTTATTTGCCACATTCTGGGCCAGAAATATGAATAGTTTCTTATTTGTAGTACTGGCAAACCTTTTAGAGGCTTCAATGATACAGACAGTCTCCTGTGCCGTGCAAACCGATCTTGTAGGTCTTGTAGGATGGGGATAAGAGACTTCTGCTTTAGCTCCTTAAAATCAGGGGATATATTCAGGTAGTTAAGAGATCACTATTTCACCTTATTTTGTATTGTATGTCATTTATATCCTGGCACTGACCTGCTTTGAGGGTACAATACTGAACAGGATGTGCTGTCAAAGTTGAGATCAGGAAGAAGAGTCCCTGTTTGGGCTTTCCATGAAGATCAAGGATGCAAGTGACAAAGATAGGCATTTACAGCAAAGGACTTTGCGTTTAAGTTGGGATCCATAAAGAAAATTTTACATGATCATTTTTTGCCCAAATACTAATATTTAAAGAGGTAGAAAAAAGCGGAACCAAAGATTTGATTTGTCAGGCATGAAAATAGAGTAGACTAGATATAGATTTATAGAATTTTATTACAGTTAACTGCCAGTTACCATTTTGATCATAAGTATTGTTGATCAATTAATATCTTCTTTAGTTTAAGAAGTTATCCCTGAGGGAAAGAGTCAGCCAGATTTTTTTTTTTTAAATAATGTTGTTCAATTGAGAGCTGAACAAAGGGAGAACTTTGCTATAAATCCTAGTGTTTACTTTTATCTAACCTATTATCATTAATAAACATCTTGAAATTCATACCAGAAAAGTCAGCTTAAAAGGGAACATCTGACAGAATGTGCAAATTATAGTAGCATGCATAATTTAAAAGACACCAAAGAACAGAATAGTTAAGGAATATATCATGATAATAATCTCTGTTACAATTTTATCGTAAGAAACATTACACATTACTTCTGTACATGTTCCATTGGCTCAAAATAGTCTTGGGACTGTATTATGCTGGTCTGCCATTTCCAAACTAATCTGTACTTTGGAAGTTAAGAAATACATTTTAGTAGATAACTGTGTATCCATAGTGCAGTTTCTTTTGGCTGTGCTCTGAAATATTTTGAGAAGACTAAAATGTATCAATAGTGCCTACAACCCACAGACATTCTAATTTAATTGGGTAGGGTGCCACTTGAGCATCAGAATTTGTAAAAGTTATCTTCTAAAGATTTGTTAAATTTAACAAGCACTGATCTTTGGTCCCTGGTCCTGTCACACTAGAGTTTGGTTATTGCAACGTGTAATTCAGAGTATTCTCAGGGTGATACTAACTGCCACTTGATGGATACATACTTCTGTTACTCGGCTGTGGTACTTCAGTTATTTCTAGCCACTATTCTCCTGTCTTCTTCATTTTAGAGATGAAAAAATTGGCACAGGAAAATGAGGTACTGTAACTGTTTCAGTGTCATTGTTAATAAATGTTAAAGCTGAAATTAAAATGTAAGACTAAGAAGCCCACAGTTTCTGCTACAAGCCCGCGCATTGCAGATGTGAGACTGTAGCCAGTTGCTTTTGAGCTTTCAGAGTTACTACTGGTGACTTGCGATTTTGTAACTAGTCCAGTTCCCTTCTCACACACATACAACCTCCACCACACATATTTTGCCATATGTAGTTCTACCCTGCAAAGAAGTGTGTATTTTCTGATTTTAGGTTCATCAGTGGGACTGATTGGCAAAGCTTATTTCCTGGTGGTTTTGATAAATAGTTTTGGTACACTTTACACAGTTACTTGTGTGCTTGGATTTGCACTTTTATACTTCACCCATATCCATTTGAACATTCTGGGATATTTCTTTGCTTCCAGGAGAGTAAGAACTTCAATAAGCAGGAACAACTTGTTTCTGTAGAAACAGCATGTCGCACACACCTGGCTTTAGGTAACCTATGAATTTGTGAGGGGGAAAAAAATGATTGCTTCCTCAAATCGTTGAGCCTTGTGGTGGTGTGTTATACAGCATGTTTGTGTTAGTAATTAACTGATATGCGTTGAGACTTGTGGTGGTGTGTTATATAGCATGTTTGTGTTAGTAATTAACTGATAGGCGTTGAGCCTTGTGGTGGTGTGTTATACAGCATGTTTGTGTTAGTAATTAACTGATATGCTGGTACAACCTAACTTCTTGAAAGTTTCAGCGACTGACCCTTTCCAGTATTCCAGTGTCTGCTCTGAGGATTACTGGACAAATCTTAATACTTAGAAAAATAGGGGCTTTCTATATGTTACTTCTCTGAGTCAAAATGAGAGGATAAAATCATGCAAAGTAGTTAACCATTTCCAGAGACTGATTATAATCTTTCACTTGCATAATTCATAAAATGAGCCTTGGCTAGGGGTCTGGATCTCTCATGATTGACTGGGACCGTCATAGACTTTTACAGTTTTATGAGTGGACTGTCTGGTAGAACAGACACAAGTCACAGATAGCACCTAAGCACTTGAACTTGAGCTGGTGGGACTGAGGAGCTGAATCTCTAGCAATATTTAATTTCATTATTTAAAGTCAAATATCCCCATATGACCTTCTCACTACCTTTTTGGACTTGCTCTGGGCTATAGTAGACAGAACTACTTCCTTGGGGCTGCTGAGGATACCATATTTCTTTAAGGCACAAGGTCATCAGCCACAATGTTCCTAAAAGACATGTTCTATTAGTAGGGAAGCCAGTAGATCTTAGCAAAGTAATATTATTTCAGTTTCTTTTATGATTATTGATCTATTCAGATTTCCTATTTTTGGACCAATTTTTTTCATGTATAGTATATTAGGAAATTGTTTCATATAGATTTTTTAAGTTTGTTAAAATAAAGCTGTTCTTAATATTCGCGTATTAAATTCTTCCTTTGTCGACTCTTTGTTTTTTCTTTATAAATCAACTGTATTAAGGCATAATTTTTGTATAGTAAAATTCAAAGTTAGCTGTACAATTTGATGAGTTCTGACAATTGTATAATCCACAATCGTGTTTCTGTCTCCACCAAACCTCTCCTCCTGTTCCTCTGCAGTTACCTCTTCCTAGAATGTGCTTAGGTTTTTGACCTTTCTAGACTTTCATATAAATGGAATGATACGGGATGTAGTATTTGATGTCTAGCCTTTCTTCGCTTTTTACAGTACATCCTGTGATGCTGTGTGCATGAATAGTTTGTTTCTTTTTATCAGGAATAGTGTTCCATTGTATGAATATGCTGCAGTTTACTTATCTCTTTACCATTTGATAGTTGCTTCCAGTTTTCCTCTGGTTTAATTTTATTAGAAACTGACAAGCTTCCAAGGCAACTCAGCTTTGGAAGTTGCACTGGTTGAGAATTCAGTTATGAAGGCTACATAATCTCAATCTTTTAAATTGTAACTATTCTACGTCATAAATTGCTTGATGCTAACAATACCTTTATGTGTTTATTTGGCACCTATAAGTCATTTTTGGTGAAGTGTTTGTTCCAAATTTTTGCTCATTTTTAAAATAAGCTCATCTTATTGTTGATTCATGTGCTTTACTGTAAGTATTTTACATAAAAACCTTTCTTGGATATTTCTGTTGCCAATATTATTTCTTCACATCTGTGGCTTGCCTTCTTATTTCCATAACAATATCTTAGAGAAGCCAAATTATTTACTTGTGATGATACTTAATTTCTCATTGTCTTATGTAGTCTATTTTTGTGTCCTGTTTAAATTTTTTGTCTTTTTTTTGGCCTAATGATTATCATTTAAATTTTTTTCTAGAAGTTTTATAGTTTTAGCATGATATTATAGTAAGGTCTGTTTTGAGTTAATTTTTACATGTTCTGAGATAAAACCCGGGTTCTTTTTATTTATTTTTTATATGAATGACTTCCAGAAAGGGATATCTGTTCCCCATTGAATGCCTTTGACCCTTTTTTTTAATCAGTTGACCATATATGTCTGGCTCTGTTGTCACTTTATTTTGTTCCATATGTCTTGAGTTTATGCTGTTGTCACACTGTTTTGATTACTGCTAACATATATCTGGAAATCAATGTAATTCATTCAGCTTTACTTTTTACTAGAAAAAAATTTTGACTCCAGATCCTAGCCATTCCAATATAAATTGTAGAACTAAAGAAACTTGTTGGTGTTTTTATTTTTTTTGTTGTTGGTGTTTTTGATGTGATTATTTTGACTTAGTGGATGAATATTTAAGAAATGCTGTCTTAATATTTTGAGTGAGTACAATACATAATGTACAATACAATAGTACAATACATAATATAACAGTGATTATACTACTATACAGTTTTTGTTTTTATATTTGCTTGAAAGTTTTTAGAATAAAATTCAGGATTATATTTAATACAATTTTTTAAAAATTTAATACAAATTTTAAAAGCCAACTTAAATATAAAAATATTATATTTACAGGCACTTTTATTTACCCTTTTTGTTTCTTTTTTAGGATGCAGATTTCCATCTACCATCATACTCAGTCCATTATAACTTTGCTTGTAGTGTAGCCTGCAGCTGTAAATTCTTTTGTGGCTTTTGTCTTGTTTTTCATCTTCATTCTGGTGCGATATGTTGCTGGGCTTGGAGTTCTAGACCGGGAAAAATGTGTAAGCCAGAGAGATAAGACTAATCTGAAGGGATATTGTTGCTTTTGAACAACTTAATTATGGTATAACTTCCTGCAGTTGTCCTATTGTTTGCCCTGATCCAGCTTCTTGCTTTTCTAGGTTGATAGTTTGTATCAAATATGAAAATTTTTCATAGATGATTTTTTTTTTACCCTTTCCCCCTTTTTTCTGCTGAGATTCCAATTTCATGTATATTCGACTGCTAAACATTTTCCAGTATGAGTCTGATGTTATGTGTGTTACTTAGCCTGGGTCTTCTTACATTTTTTTCTTGTCATGGTTCTTTCCTCTCCACACTCCTGCCAAACTCTTCATATCTGTTTGATAACAAACATTTTGTTAAATTTTATGCTTATTTTTAAGATTTAGGAGTATGAGTTTAAAAAAGTTTTTTATTTTAGCTATGAAATCTAAGTCCTACTCATAAGATATTTTTCACTGACAAGAACTCTGCTCGTTACCTCCTGTATCAGTGGATCTTTCTATGACCCACTGATGCATGAGCTCTAGGGCCTATTCTGTTTCTGATAGTTCTTTCTCCTCTTGTGAATATTTCCCTCATCCGCAGATACAGTGCATTACTTTCTAGAGACTTAGAGATTCCTCTAAGTATCCCCAGAACCTTCTGTGGGTGCCTCGCCCTCCTGTCTGTTACTCTGCCTTGTGAAGTCTAAATTCTGTACCCTAACCGAAAAGAGACCATTGGTCTCGGGTTCCTTCCTTCCCATTCTGTTCCTAGAAACTGTCTTCAGGATAAGCTGTGAGAAGGGCCACAGACCATCCTGGTTTGCCTGGATTTCCATGATTTAGGACTTTGAGTTTCAGTGAGAAAAGTTACCAGCAAAATAGGAAGTTTGCTGAGCTGGTAGAATTTCTTTCACTTGTTTGACTTCCCTCAGGGATCACCTGTAACAGTTGCTTCATAGTTATATCCATTCTGTTATTGATTCAGTAGCCTATTATTTTCTCTTTAAAATTTCAGTAACATAGTTTGCCTTTTTAAAATTGCTCAGCATCCTAAGCAGGGGTTACTTGTTTGTGCTTCTTTGTGGTGAAAACAGTATGCTGTCTCCCTAAGAGTGTGATAATTTTAACTCTTTGTGTTATAAAGTCTTATTCAGACTGCTGGATCTGTTTTGTAGGTGAAACATGTCTCTATTGATTTTTTTTTTTTTCTACAGTTGGAGACTCCCTAGATGTGTGTTGTTCATCATGAGTTCACTTTTGTTGTCTGCTTGTAAGGCTTGATTAAAGGGCAGACAGGGGCTGGACTTTTTTCTGCTGTATCCTCACGAAAGTGAGGATCAGTGAGACCCCTCTAGAGCTGTCAATGGCTTTTTCTGCAGTAGTCAGTAACCAAGGACAGACAGCTCAGTTTCCATCAGGAAGTAGATGTTCCCACTACACCTACCTTGGCTTGCAGAGATAGGGCAGGTACTCTGTGGTTGTCTGTGTCGGTGTCTCCTGGACTCACTTTGGCTCTACCATGTCCACTTTGAGTGTGGGAATCCTCTTGATGTTGCTTTTGTCTTTGACATTCATGCCTTCCTGCTGTCTGTTAGCTTTTCAGATTGTCTCTATGTTCTTTAGGAATTCCTCAAGCTTCTGGGCAACTCAGATTTACCCTGTACTTTTGTCTTTCTTTAATCAAGGCTTTCTGTATTCTTCATTAGTTTCTTTTTAAAAAAAAAAAAATCTTTTTCTTCATTAGTTTCTTTTAAAAACATGTTTCTCCATTAGTTTCTTTTAAAAACATCCTTTCCTTTATTAGTTTCTTTAAAAAACGTCTTTCCTAGATTTGGAGCAGATAGTTAGGAGTGAATAATTAGTAGGGGTACAGAGCATAGTAAGACTTCTCTGTCTTTTAGTTTATTATCTAGGAACCAAAACTCAGTTTTGTGCCTGTTCTGTTTTATAGCCCATGATTTGAGTTATACTTATTTTTATTCATCCCCTAAAATACAAAACAGTGCTATTAAATGTAGACTCAGAGAATACTTAATTGGATTTTATTTAAAAATTGAGTTATTCAAAATATTTCTTAAAGCACTTGAAGCCAAATTTTAATCTTTACCCCCTCACCAGCTACTAGGCTGGAATAGTTACCAACCACCGTGAAGAATTCCTTATTTAATTCCTGTGAGTTCTGAATTTCATGTAGGAATGGCATCGTTTAAGGTTACATTCAGGCCTGTTTTCTCTTTGAAGAAAACCAAGCCCACTTTTCTTTTAATCTTTTGCTTTTATTCTTTCACTCCCCCTCCGCCCCCTCATTGTCATCTATAACCTTCTTTCTTGGCCAGTTATTGCTCTTACTCTTTTTATCTTGTGATCCATATATATATATTTTTTCTTCTTCCTTTTTCCACCTTTGGGAAAAAAAGATTTTTTGAGTTTGTAAACTGTGTAAGAGTCAAGTCAAATTTTGTTTGTTTGTTTGTTTTAGTGCTTTGGGATTATAAAACAAAACGAATTCTGTAGCAACTACATGAGATCAGATATTACTAACACATTCCAAATAGCATTTTCATGCTATGTGGGAATTTTACCTTAAATTGCTTATGATGTATATTTTTAGAATTTACTTTGTACAGCAAATCATCTTTACCCACTACAAACCAGTAAAATCATTAGAATTTGATACATGAGATTATGGTTAATATGTTCTTAGATACATGTAACTTAATACAAAAATTGCCCACTGCTTTTTATGAATTCCTCAGAAGATTTTATATTGTGTGTATAGACTATGATTATGATGATTTTTTTCATGTAGAAGTATTTACATACTAAAATCTTTACTTGATGCCTACTGTTTTGTCTTTTAGAATTCACGTTTATCAAACAAGAAAGCGTGAAAATGAGCAGCCGCCGGAAGCTGGCTCCTCCCGTGAAGATAGATGAGGAGAGGCAGCAGCAGCTTCGCTGGAACATGCATGAGGACAGGAGGAATGAGCCTCTCACCTTCACTGATGACGACGAGCAGCCCTGCCCAGGTGCCTACCCCTCTCCCCCGTGTGTCCTTCTGGATGACAGTCCGCAAGAAGAAGTGGCTCACAGAGATAAGAGGAGGTGTACCGAGAAAGAAGAGCCTGATTCTGTTTCTTTGTCTGTAAAGCTGAATATTGTGGTTTTTCCCTATGGCTTCGATAGTTCTTGGAAAGCATTTCTGGGAGAATTAACTCTTCAGCTTCTTCCCGAACAGAGTTTAGTTGAAAATTTTTCTGAGAGGAGTTTTACGTTGATGAGTTCAGAGTCAAGCAATCAGTTCCTAATATATGTGCATTCTGAGTGTGGAGATGTGGAGAAACAAGAAAAAGGACTCAAAGAATCAGTCAGCGTTTGTGATAAGGGTATTCGAGTGGAATCCTCCTTCAGTGGTGAAATGCTGGAAGACCTGGGATGGCTACAAAAGAAGAAAAGGATAAAACTTTATCAAAGACCAGAAGGAAGTCGTGTCATCAAGGTACTCAGTTTCTGCAGTGTCATTTAGGGTTCTGCTCTGTTGCAGCGTGAAGTTAACTTGGAGGACCTGAAAAGCCAATGACTTATTTTGGTTTTTTTTTGCCAATGACTTATTTTGGTCCCCATCCTCTCTCTTCTTATTGCAGCAGTCCTGTTGGCCTTTTCCAGGACTCCATCTACTTGATTTCTATAACAGTAGCACATGAATGCACTTCTTTCCTGCCTAGAGAACAAGAATAAGCTTTCTTCTGCAGCACACAAGTTGCTCCTTTGACGGGTTCTCATCCTTTTTATTTAGTCCCAGACACTCCAGCTTCTTTCTTTCTTGCAAGCACCCTGCTATTACTCTGTGTATTTGCATTTGCTCTCACAGTTCCCTCTGCCTGCATCATTCCCTTATCTTTCCCCTGGAAACTCTTGTTTGCTCTTTAATGTTCCATTCTGAGTTTACCCCATGCATGGAGTTCTTTGCTTAAGTCCTATGGATGGTGTTAGGTGCCCTTTCTCTGCAGAATACCTACTGCTAGTGTATGTTTTGATTTTTGCTTTTGTCACTGGTACTTCATTTTAGATATTCCTCCCTGGAAATCTTTAATCTTCATATCTTAATAAATTGCCTGATATATAAATAGGTCTTCAATAAATGAATTGATACATTTATAAATCACCTTAGGTTTTGCCATCTTTAGCCATTACCAATATAGTTTTATGCAGATCATTTAAATGCTCTAATTTCAGCTTTTTTTCTGTATGAAAGATAAATAGTGCCCTTTCTTTTTTCCTTATAGTTTGTCAAACTATAAGGTGACATAGTGTAAATAAATATACTTCACAAAGAGCTTAACATGCTTTCATGATAAAACTTTTTTAAAAATTTCAAATTGTTATCATTGTTTAAATGAAAATTGTTTCTTATATACTTCTCACATAAAAAATAATTGCATCTGTAGTCTTATATTTTCAGAATGGATTAAAGAAAGAAGAAAATGTAGAATGCCATTAGTTCTTCCCTGGGCAGTGAATCTACATGACCAATTTTATGACACCAAATATATTAGACTTCATGGCTTCTGTGTCAGTGTTCTGTCACTTTCCACAGCAAACCAAGTCTTAATTTATTCCATTTTTTTCTGACCTTGATTTTTATAAATATTTAAACATTTATCGCTACATACTAAATCATCCCTGAGTGAACAAGAGGAAAGTACAAGTAATAAAATATATAGTTTTGTTACTCATCCCTATATAATGTTGGTGGGTTCTTGTTTTCTGTTGAAAGAATATGAGAATCACAGTGATTAGAAAGTCAGGCCTGGAAAGTCTGAAGAAATGAAGGAAGCTAATATTTACTGTGTCCACCATTAAAAACTTTTAAATTATATTACTTTGGCTATCTTATATAGTTTCCTTTCCATTTTGTGAGTGAGGGTATTTGGATTAAAAGTTGTATTTCCAAGTTAATTTAAATCCTAAATATGAGTGCCATTATTCAAATTTGAATGTTTCAGTTGTAGAACTTAATACTGTATTGTTTCTCTAGTGTCAAGATACTTAACATTAATCAAGGTTTGTTTCCCTGTGTATTTCATTGTTTAATCCATAATAAGGATTCTCAAAACCTGGCCATGCGTGAACATTCCAGCTTGTGTATTGGAATTTTCCAGGAACTTCCACACCTTTTAATAAACTTTGTTAATCATTTCATGCTCATCAGATTCAGAAATCAGTGATTTCACTGGGTAGAATTTAGTGAGAGTTTTTCAGTTCCTAACTGAAATTGAACTTTATTTAGTTCCAGTTAGTTACATGTTTTTTCCCAGTAACTTGAGTGGTGCATCATACATAGTAGATACTTGATTTGTGGATGAACTTATTATTGAAAGTGAAAATGTATGGAGATCTTACAGGTACGTATCCAGTGTTTATAGGTGCAAATCCTCTAGAATAGTGTCACTGAAACATGTTTTTTCTAATGTCCTCCTTAAGAATGGTATATTTCAAGTAAAATTAGTTTTATGTTGAAAATTCTTTGTAGGTCGGGATTTACATTCTGGAAGATGGACTGGCAAAACTGGACTCTTTCAATGATACAAGTTCAAGAATGAAAAAGTTCAATCAGCTCATGAAGAAGGTGATGGAAAAGTTATACAGCTTTATTATTCCAGGTAATTTTTAAAGTACACTTTAAAATTGCTATTATTTGGAGTTGTAGATTTTTCCCTAAACACCTACACATAATAAGAAAAACAGATAATAAGAATGGTAAAATTTAAATGACCTACATAAAACCCTCTATATGGTAAGGTTTTACTCATCTGAAATGCCTCATTAATATTTCTTTACTGTGTTTGCTTAACACTGTCTCAGCTTATAGTGAGCATTCAGGAAGTGTGTGCGGTCAGTAAGCACGTTCAAAGGCAGAGTCAAAATGGGGCTGAGTTGGTTGGACCTTTTATGTTGTTCCTGGGCAGAATTTTGTCACAGCCAGAGATCCTTGACTGCTCCTTGTGCCACCTATCCTTTGTGGGTCTGATGAAAAACAGCTTCCTGCTAGGTCAGGACTGCAGTTTCGGAATTACCTGCCATTGATGGCCAAGGGACAGTGTGGGTGACTACTTGACCAACAGCTCAGATTCTCAAACCATACTGAGGTGTGCGTAGGTCAGCATTATTCGGGTATAAATTATTGGTCATTTTTATACTGCATTTTAAATTGTAAATCAGTTTCTAAACTTAGCCAGTTTGTTTATTCTGTCATACTTTATTCTGTCAAAGCTGCATATTCTTAACAATGGTGAATTACTTTTCAAGTTAAAAATAAAAATCTTTGATTTCAAAATTAGAAGGAGTTCTTATAAGTACATCTAGAGTTTTTCAAAGCTGTAGGAATTCCATTATTTTGCCTTTTAAAAATAACAATTCAAATTCTTAAAAACATATCTTCTAAGGAAAACTTTAAATTTAGATATTAATGCTAGATTATATAACTTGTAATGATGTGAATAACTGTACATTTAATAATATATTACTAAGAAATATATATTAACTGTAAAGTTTTGAAACTCCTATGTGGATTTTTTAATTGAAGAAAAGGGTAAGTTGTGTGTTTTTTGTTTTATCTCTTAGAACACACTTAGATGTGTCATATAAAATTGTGTAGGCTTCTCTGAAAGCTGTTCATAAATTAATGGTATACTTCTTCAACATAAAAGAATGATGTGTTTAACAAAAAATCAGCTGATTTGTTTAGGGTTTTCTTTCTTTCTTTTTTTTTTTTTTCATGTAAGCATGAGTCTTCCAGAGGGCAGTTGTGCCTATCTAATGGGTCTGACATTCTTATACATTTACATTAATAGTTTAAGCTCTTGAATCCAGGCATGGTGGTGCATACTTGTAGTCTAGCTCTGAGAAGGCCAAGACAAGAATCGCTTTGAATTCAAGGCTGGCCTGGACTACAAAGTGATTTCAAGGCCAGTCCGCACTATATTACGAGAATATCTCAAAAAACTAACAAAAAAAATTTTTTAAGTACTCAATCCCTAGTTATTTTCTCTTGCTGTCCTTTATCTTAGAGTAAGATACCCTGTCCTTTATTTTAAAGTAAGAAATATAATGGGAACCATTGTCTGAGTAGACATAAAAATTGTATCTGTGTATGGACTTTTTATATGCAGATATAAATGTGAAATAAATTAACACTTTATAAAGTGCAAGAGATATTCTCATTCACTTCCTCAGATGGTTACTAAATACCCACAGTGGGCAAAGTATGTGTCATCTTCTCTGAGACTAACAACAAAAGACTACCTGAGCTCTCAATGGGGAAGAGACAAGTCACATGAAGGACTCTTAATATCAGAGAGATTTCCATGTACTTTTATATCTAGAGTGTGAAGATACGTCTAAATGTGGAAGAGAGACTTAATTCCAGCTGTGGAGGGCAGAAGAACATGACATAAAAAAAATCAGCTAAAGGAGGTCATGAATTTGTTCAAGGCTTTCAATTTTATTTTTTTCATGTAAACCTGAGTTTTCCAGAGGACAGTTGTGCCCACCATTTGAACTATCCTGAAAAATGGATAGATAGATTTTTGCTCAGCAAAGATTACACAAAATTGGCAGAGAGGTATCTTTGTAGAGTAAGAATTGCTTGTGATTATAAAAGGAGAGCAAGTTGTAAATACACTGTTGTTGGATATACAGATGTGTTAGAAGATGATGAGGAAGATTCAGATAGTGAACCGGAGGGACAGGACATTGATGAGCTCTATCACTTTGTGAAGCAAACACATCAGCAGGAAACGCATTCTGTCCAAGTGGATGTGCAGCATCCCGCACTGACCCCTGTGTTGAGACCCTACCAGAGAGAGGCTGTCAACTGGATGCTGCAACAAGAGTGTTTCAGAAGCGCTCCTCCTGATGGCAAGTACACGTTGTTTAAAGAAAGGCACAGTGGTCAGGGAGAGTCTCCATGAGAGAGACTGAGAAAGGAAAAACACCGTTTTAGAAACATAGGCTATGATGGGTATTACCATGAACAAAAGTAATTTTTCATTTCTTTTTGCAGTATTGGAAACATGTGAATCTAGGGCCTCACACATGTTAGGCAAGTGTTTTGCCACTGAACTATGTTATCAGCCCTGAGTAAAAGTATTTTCTAAGAAATCCTTTAAAATTAAAATCTAGAAAAATTAATTTATGATTTTTCTCATTCATAAAAATTTGTCCTGGCTTTTCCTCCCAAATAAATGCAGCTATGAATGTTTGAAAACCATGATATTTGTTTACATGACTTAGCAACTAAGAATTGTTTTCATAAGTCTAGATTGAGAATCCTTACAGTCACTGGTGAACTCTTCACACTTTCATGATTAATTTAACAATAGCAAAATTATAAAAGGAATTTACTTCCTAGATTTGCATTTTTCTGTGCTCTACAAAGTAAATGCTAATAAATAAAATGTCATCTATTAACTAATTTTATGAAAACTTTATACTTATGGGAGTCATTCACTTTTTTTCATCTTTGTTGTTTCTTTGAGACAAGGTTTTACCATGTAATTTAGGCTGGCCTCGAACTCACTCTGTAGCCCAGACTTGCAGTTAGGCTACTGCCTCAGAAGTCCAAGTGCTGGGATCACAGGTGTGCCACCACACCTGGCATTCAAATACTTCATTACCATCTCTAAAGCGATAGACAGATTCTCAAAGTAAAGTATTCACTATTTCTCATTCCTATTATATATATTTATTTTGGCTAATAACAAATACTTATTAGTTTTCCCTAATGTTCTAATTTATGTATTTTAATCCAACAGATTTCGTTTCTTAAACTCTTCATTTTAGACAATAAATATCAATTCAAAGCAAATATTATTTTCTCTCATTCTTCCTAGCCCCATACTCTGTTTTGAAGCAAATCCTATATACGTTAATATTTTTAGTTTATTTCATTATAAGGTAAGAGTTCTTTTAAATAAGTGTAAATATGTACTTATATGCATATATATAATCATAGATTTTTAAGCCCAACAATGCTCTCATATTAAGTTTATTTCTTTTCAAACTCCCTTGCCTTTCCTTCTTTAATTTTTTCCTCCCTGTCTACTCTGCCACATCTCTCTGTGTCACACACACACACACACACACACACATGCACGCACGCACGCACGCACACAGAGTTCTAACCTGAAACCAAAACACATCAGATATCAGAGTTGGTTGCTATTGGGTTTCATAACTCATAAATTTTATCTCCCATCTCTCACTTTTAATTATTTTGTTAAATTACTGGTTCTATGGTGTTTACACAGACCATATTATTTTTGTCTAAAATAAAGTATTTGTCTTCCATTAAAAATTTCATAAAAATATAACTTAAGGTAAAATGCTGTGATCTTAAGGGCACAGACCGAATGCATCTATGTTTCTGTGTGGCTGACAGCCCAATTAGATGGACAGCTGGACTATGCCGTTAGCCACGTGTGACTCCTCAATGTTGAAATAAGACCATCCAAGTGAGATGTACTGTGAGTTTAAAAAGCACGTCAGATTTCAAATAATATCCCAAAAGGGAAAGAATGAAATATCATAATGATTTTAACTAAATTAAAAGTTGAACATGTGCCTCTCGTTATAGTTCTGTCAGACAGTGGCCAGAGTAAAATATTTCCCCAGCCCCTGACAGATCTCTCGGCCTAGTCAGTTCTCGTACTTCAAATTCCTTCAGAGGCAGCAGCCACTATTGCCATTAGATTGCCACTTGAAACAGTGAAGGACATCATAAAGTACATACACTTCCCAGGAAAGATCTGTTTCTTTCAACAGAATGTTTCAGGGATACATCCATGCTGTATGTATGAGTTACTCATTCTTCTTTGTCCCCAGACTACCTTTCATTGATTAAACCTCCATGTGGTATTTAACATTACTGCTGTCCCTTACAGTTACCATAAATTTAAGCTTTTTCTCTTTTACTCTTTTTATTTTATAAACAATGCATATTTGTGTCCCTGCTTCATCTTTTAATCCCTTATAAAAGCACAACAAAAACATGGTATTTCACTGGTAAGCAAAGACGCATGCCCACTTTGGACCTGTGATTGGCTGTAAGAAGCTAAGATGTGAAGGGGAAAGACAGTGGAAGATTCTGCTGAAGCAGATTGAGCACTTCAGTAGCATGGTTTCAGATTTGTTTTCCTCAGTTGAGCATTTCCTCTCACTTTCTGACCCACTTAAGAGGTCAGATATATTTTGGCTAAATTTGTTAGCCTGTTAGTAACATCTGTTGGTTTATTTTAAAACTTATGCAACTTCTTAACTGGTTTACAAAAGATAAACTTATTTCTCTTATCAGGGAGGAGTTGCCTATGTATAATACTTTAATTTTCTTTTTCTGTTAACCATCTGCAATCTACCACTCTTTCCTTTTTATTTGGTCTTACAACTTGCTTATACAGGTTTGTGCTCAAAACAAAGAAAGCTAAAGAATAATATTACAAGAAAAGAATCGGAGGAGTCCTTACCCTTCTATCCATGTGTTATGCATATGGCTTTTCATATGTAAGGCTTCTCAAGCATGTGGGTCTCCTGAATCAGTATCTCAGGGTATCCTAATTGTTCACTTATTTTTAACTTAAAATATGATTATCTGAAAAAAGGAAAACCAATAAATAAAAAACTTACGGTTATATTTTTCCTTAGAAAGTTCCCTGCACTTCTTGTGGCGAGAGATTATTACACCAGAGGGTTTGAAACTCTATTATAATCCATACACAGGCTGGTAAGGCAAAATTTTATTTATTTGCTAGATTTAAAAAAAGTAAATACAGTAGCAAGTTGTATGAGATATATCTCCTTGGTTTCAGTAGCACTTCAAAAAAGAAGTAGTAAGTTAAAATTACTAAGAGATTCTTTTTAAAAATTTGAATGCATTTATAATTAATAGTTTGTCATTATTCAGCAAATAACTATTTCATAAATAGATATAAGGTGCTTAGTTATGAAGATTTTAAAAAAGAATTTTATTCTAAGTAGAAATGTTACCTTGTTTATTATGAGGTAGTGTTTATACTTTTCATTAAACTTCTGTTATAAAAAGTTTTAGAATTCATCAATAATACTTTTATTAATTAGTGAATGATATTTTTGCCCTTTACGCATCAGTCATGGATTCACAAATATCATAGAATGAACTCAGTCATATTTCCTTTTAACTATAGATAAAAAACTGACAAATATTTATCAGCATTACTTTGGTTTCTGCAGCCCTAGGTCAGCTCGTACAGCTTTTTTATATTACAATTCTTATATTTATGAATAGGGATTTTCATTGTTTTACCCTAAGGTATACTTTGAATAAATAGTTGTGCATTTCTTCCTTTTACCTATAGGATCTCTGATAAGAAGAGTGGTTTTTATTTACATGCGGGACGTACTGTACTTTTTTTTTTTTTTCCAATTAGCATCATCCGTGAGTACCCACATTCTGGGCCACAGTTGCTTGGTGGAATCTTAGCAGATGAGATGGGTCTTGGGAAGACAGTGGAGGTTTTGGCTCTGATTCTCACACATACTCGGCAAGATATCAAGCAGGATACTCTCTCTCTTCCTGAGGTAGGAGTAGTTCTGCAGTGCTCCGAAACCAGTAGATGTATGTTCTCAGACGGCATCGTATGCTGAACATGTGCGTAGTATTGAAGTCAGCACTTTGCTCCCTGTGGCTAGTGATGTACACTGGGGTTGGTTAACGCCAGTGGCCACAGAGAGGGGGCTGTTGATGAACCTAGGAGGTTTTCTCAAGTGATGCTGGCTAACTAGGAAGAGGACTGCAGTCAGTTACCAAACTTCACACTAGTTGGCAGTGCTGTACTATTATTCCTTAAATATTTTGTCACTACAACATGACATTATTTACCACTAAATATTTGTAAGAACTCTGAAAAAATTATACAAATCTCAGATATGTAAATCTTCAAATATAGTAATTAGAATTTTGTTAAAGGATAGGTAGCATAGTAAATAGATTGCTAGAGGAGACAGATTCTTACTTAAATCCTTCTCCTGAAACATATGGTTATGTTTAAAAATACAAAGTTTAGAGTTACTCTAAAAGCCTCACTGAGGCAAATGCAGTTAGTTCATGGCTTGTATTTTTCTTTTTTTTTTTTCTTTTTTTTTTGTTTTTTAATTTTATTTAAGGAGAAAAGAAAAAAAAAGCAGGGAAAGGGTACAAGTTATACAGATTTACAGAAAAAAAATGAACAGTAGGAAATCACTAGTTAATGGATTACATATTGTCATCTTAGAAATAACTGTTAAAGTCACAAAATTAAAGCTTGTAAAGTGGACATTCCATCAATGATACTGCAAACAGTTCTGTTCATTGATCCAATAAAACTCTGTGATATCATTTTCTATCTTATACACTTAAATATACATGCAGTTATATAGTTTGGAGCACTTTCTTTTCCTCTCTTTTGTACCATGACTATTACACATTTTGGGTTTCATTGCTCCCACGGTTCTTATTACTTTTTTGGAAGAGAGTAAAACCAAATGTGACATAACAGAACAGAAACGGTCAAGTCAAAAGGGTGGACATAATAGATAATGTAAAAACATAATACAAGGTGATCAACAATGGTTACCATAATACCTCCCGCTATCTCTAATAGAATTGCCTATATCGTTAGTTATAATACAATTGAACAAAACAGTAAAGAATAAAACCGACAAAACCAAAACATTGGAGACATTGTAGGTCTTCAAAGGTAGATAAAAGTCAACAAGAATGGGCGTCATAATGAATCTCATTATCTTCACAGCTGATGCCTAAACTTTCGAACCTGATACTATCCAGCAAAACAGAATAGGGGAACATCAGTTAAAAACCAGATGGTGAGAGTAATACAGGGCTTTAGATCAAGGTAATGAAAAGTCAAAGTAGGTTACTATAATATATCCTGCTATTTTTTTTCCTTTAATTAAAAGGATAAAGATAAAAAAGTAAATAATGGAGTGGAGATTGAGATAAAAGAGGGCATAACAACGAAACAGTGCAGATCAAAACATAACCATTAGAATAGTGTTTCACCACCAGATAATCCTAACCTAAAAGTAGTTACCATATTGTCTCTTTCTTTGAAATCCTTGAGTACAACTTTGTATACTGTAGCATTAAGTATATCAAAACAATGTAAAACCATTCAAGAGAATGACAGCATTACAGAGTATTTAGAATCGACTAACAGAAAATGAACAATGGTTTCTGTATAATCTCCTTGTCTTTAAAAGGTTTTTGCTTATACTATCGTACATAATAAAATCCAATAAGATACAGCCTATTTAGACCATTGGAGACAGAAGGACAAAAGCTAGATGAGACTTCAAAACAAGATGATACTAAATCAGTATTACCTATTAAGATGTCATTTTCTCCAAAATAGCTGTTCCTATCATCCAATCTTCTCTGCCTCATTTCTGTTGAGCTCTTTTTCTGTCAGTAGCTGTCAGTTTGTCTTCTTCATTTTGTTCTCTGCTCCATTCGTTGTGGCCTCCCCGCCACTATTTCTGGGTTCTTTGTATTTTTCTTTTTTTAGAATATCCTGCAATACTTTCTGTAGAGTTGAATTGGTGGTTGCAAATTCCCCCAGTTCCTCTTTATCCTGGAAGCACCTTGTTTTTCCGTCAATTTCCAGGGACAGTTGTGCAGGATATCTCAATGTTGGCTGGAGATTATTATCTTTCAAAGCTTGAATTATTTCCCCCCACGCTCTTCGTGATTTGATGGTTTGTGCAGAGAAATCTGCTGTAATTCTGATGGGTGTTCCCTTGTAAGTGGTCTGTTTCTTGTCTCTGACAGCCTTTAATATTCTGTTCTTGTATTGAATTTCTGGAATTTTTATTATTATATGCCTGGGTGTTGCTCTGTTTGGGTTGTAGGTAGCTGGGGTCCTGTATGCCTCATACATCTGAGTATCTTTACCTTTTGCTAAATTAGGAAAATTCTCCTGGATTATTTCTGTTAGTAGCTTTTGTAGTTCACTTGTTTGTGTCCCTACTTCTTCTTTTATGTTCTTAATCCTTAAGTTATGGCTCCTCTTATCATCTTCTTGTCTTTGTATTATTGCTGTTTGTTTCTTTGTTATTTTTAAGAAGTTTTTCATTTCATTCTCCCATATTACAAGTCTGCCCTCCAGTTCAGATAGTCTGTCCTTAGTTTCTTTCAAGCTGTTATGCCAGTCTTCGATAGACTTCTTAGTATGTTGGTAGTCCCTTTGAACCTGCTTCACGTATTCTATGCTTTCTCTGTTTTCTCCATCAAACAATTCTCCCCTCTTTTTCTGTTCTTCCATTCCACCACCTGTTTTTTCTTGGGTGGTACTTAGCATTTCTCTAACTATTCTGCATACTTCTAGCTTCAGGTCGTTGATAACTTCATTCCTGAATTGGTCTATGAGGCTCTCTATATGGCGCCTTATGTGTATTGGTGAGGTGTCTGCTATTGCCTGTTTCTCAGAATTGGGGGCCGAGGAGCCTTTCTTGTTGCTGCCTCTTCCCATGCTGCCTCTTCTTCTCTGTTCCTTATATGTGCAAGCTTATATAAGAGGCCCAGCTTCTCTCCCAGTCAGCCACAGCCTGATCGAATTGCGCCAGTTAGGTGTTCCCGCTCACCGCTGCGCACCAGGGAGTTACGAACCAGGCAGCCTACGCGTCTCCCCTCACGGCCACTGTCAGGCTCTGGGATCTGGGTTGGGACAGCCTACCAGGTCCACTGGCAGCGTCACACAGGCCAGGCACTTTTCACCAATCCCGCCCGAGAGGGGGATGTGTGGCTGGAGTCGCCACCGCGCCCTGCTCCCGCAGGACTGCTCGGGCCCAGAAAGTCCTCCGCTGGAGTCAAACTGTGGTAGAGTGTCAGTTTCTCTCACTCACCTCACCACAAGTCAGTGCACGCATCCCTGCTGTTCGCAGATTGCCGTTCTCAGAGCTTCTGCGCGTCTCTCTCCTTGCCGAGCCACTGTAGAGGCAGCCAGCTGCCGCGCGGCGGGAAACCCAAATCGTGGCTTACAATGGTGCGGGGTCCGGCCTCCACACCGAGGCTTTTCTGTTCCTGTTTTAGCACCAGGACTGCATTCCAAGTTGGTTTCTCTCAGCCGAGTTCGTTCCTGAGTCAGCAGAGCATATCTCCACCTGCTTATGTCTCCTTAGTCCGCACCATTCCTGGCTTCTGAGCCGAGTCTTTCAGAGAGCCTCCGGTAGTTGCTGTTATCTGTCTGCCATGTTCTCCCGCCGACTGGCTTGTATTTTTCAGTAATGAAACCTGAAATCAATACATTAAATCCTGCTGAAATGAGCCTGGTGGGTAAGGGCATAACTATAATTAATCACCTCTATCACTGATCAGGCTTATATTCTTACTATTTTATGATCTGTTGATTTGAGTATGTTTTAGTCAGATTTCTCTTTGCCACGCCATGAAACTGAACACTCACTACTTACAGGAGGAGATTTAATTTGGCTCATGACTTCAGAGGAACATGATGGGGGAAAGGTAGGAAGAAGCAAAGCTACTTAGTTCATGGTTGCATAGAAACAGAAAGAGAAGGCAGGAGCCAGGAACTGGAGCACACCCATCCAGTGACCCACCTCTTCTGACCAGTCCCACATCCTAGCAGGACATTCAGCTGGGATTGATGAGCAGATAAATACACTAAAAAGTACCTCCCTGTCATGATTTGGTCACCTTCCAGAAGCCAACCTTTGAGAACGTTGTACATTTGGAGTACATATTAGATCTAAACCATAACAGTAAGAATAGAAAAAAATCTTTCTTTTTTAGAAAGTGACTTACAGTATGTAGTTCAACTAGCAATAACATCCTTTTCTGTTCATTATATATTTTAATTGCATTTTAATTTTAATTTAATTGAATTTTAATTTTATTTATCTTCAATGTTATTATAAATTCAGTGGGCTAATTCTGTATTTCAGCATGCCTTAAAAATTAGCAGATATTCCACTCATTTAGATAATACAAGATAATATGAATAATTTTAGATTATATAGAATAACATGAAAGATTTGAAAAGCAATGGCTTTGTAAGCATTGTAAGGTTGGAAATAAAAAATAGATCTGTATGTATGAATAGTGTATAGTTTTCTTTCTTTTAAAATTATATACAGCTATTTTATTTCCTTAATGGAAAGGGTGTTAATTTTAATCATTCAGAATACTGAAAGCAAATATGTGACTACGGAATGTTGTTTATGTGTCAGGGAAAAGAGGTGAATTATTTCGTCCCATCCCATTGTTTTGGAGGATCAGTAAAAGACACAGAAACCCAGAATATGGAATTTGAGCCAAAAGAAAAAGTTCAGTGTCCCCGTAAGTATCTCAAAAAATACCTTCTTTTGATGATCTTTGTTATTATAGTTGTTAGAATCCTTAGAGATACCCTGTCATTGTTACAAATGTTTTTGCAGTAGTCTGTACATAGTAAAATTGAATCTAATTATAATTCATAATGTCCTGACAAAAACAAGTATACTTTGATTTGATCCAGGTAGTTCTTATTCAGTATGTTATATTTAAATTTCTTTAGCTTATAGTTTTAACCTGGCTTTGTTTATTCTTCAGTATAACAACTTAAAATTCTATTAGCAAATGAATGTTTCCTTTAGTAATAATAGCTTACAGAAGATAGGATAACAAGGAGAGCTTTCTCATGTAATTTTGAATGATTATAATTTTTTAAGACTAACGTTAACCTGCATAATTCTTCCTGAAATTATTTCTATTATAATAATTCATTTAATATGTTGAGATAATTTTTTGTTATATATTCCTCACAGGGTACTGTATCATAGTAAATTTGACTTTCTTCTTAACTCTATCTGCAGTAAGATTTTTTATTTTCATTTCATTATAATTATTTTAACTGAGTTATCCTTTTGCATTTAGCTACACGTGTGATGATCCTGACAGCCGTAAAAGAAATGAATGGGAAAAAAGGAGTTTCTATCCTTTCCATCTATAAGTATGTCAGTTCTATGTACAAATACAATGTTCAACGCAACAAGGGTCTTCTGAAACGCATGCTGAAATGTTTAATTTTTGAAGGTCTTGTGAAACAGATCAAAGGTCATGGTTTCTCAGGGACCTTTACATTGGGGAAGAACTACAAGGAGGAGGATATATACAATAAAACAAAAAAGCAGGTACTTGAGTATTTATTAAGTACTTATATCAGTATGCGATGCCTTACAGAATAAGTTAATAGATTCTACCTTGATACTTAAAGTCTTATAATTTAGGAAAAAAAATCTTTAGCATTCCTTGTTTAACAACCAAATTTTGTTCCAGGTTGTTAAATGAATTGGTCACAGGAAACTCCAACTTGATGACTTTGTTTTTATATGCAGCATTGTAATGTATAATAAAACTACAGTATGAACAGCACAGTCAGCAAAACTTGTATTGTATTGTACTGTAGAGGAAGCCCCATGAGGCTGCATGCCATTCATGTTCCGGTGTCATAAGTCATAATGTGAATTGTAACTCCAAGTGGCAGGTGGCAAGTCTGAACAGTGTGACTCAGTCGTAAGGCCAGATAGTTGTTAACCATATGGGACATTAAATGAGGAGCATCTGTAGTTAGAAAAGGCCCTTATGCTTATGACTTCTGTTTCCTAGTTTCTGGCTATAAACTTGAGAAGATTAGAATCTTTACTTTGGTTGCCATTGATCCCAAACAAAGGTGTCTGGCACATAGCTAATACTCATTATTTTAGACATATTATAGAGTTTAAAATACTTCTGTTCTTGTCATTGCTGCTGTCAGCAGTTAAAAACTTTGTTCCACACTTGAGTGGTGGGAATTTAGTTCACAAATATAACTGTTGAAATAAATTAATTAAATGATTGTGGGTTTTTTTTTTTTTCCATAGGCAGCAGGAAGTCCAAGGAAATTTCAGAAAGACCCCAAAAAATCAGGGAATAAGGACACAGATTCTGAATATTTGCCATCAAATACCTCTGACAATGATGATGACCCCTACTATTATTACTGTAAGGCCAAGAAAAATCGTAGTAAATGGAGGAAAAAGACTGTGCCATCCACAGGAAAAGGCAAAAGTCAGCCTGATATCAGGGCTGACATACAGGATCACTGTCCGGCCTCAAGAGACTCTGGGATTACTGATGTTACCATGTCTGACAGTATAGGTGTCACTGAAGTCAAGCAAGAGCAAGAAGCGAAGGACCACGGTGAATCTCTGAATCCTGCTGGGGACGAGGGCCCACACTCTAATGTCACGAGTCCCTATGACAATGCTGATTATCGCTTTGAGTGCATATGTGGTGAATTTGACCAGATAGACCGCAAGCCTCGCGTTCAGTGCCTGAACTGCCACCTGTGGCAACATGCAAAGTGTGTGAACTATGAAGAGGAGAATCTGAAAGTGAAGCCTTTTTACTGCCCCCACTGCCTTGTTGCAATGGAGCCAGTGTCAACAAGAGCAACTCTGATCATCTCTCCGAGCTCCATCTGCCACCAGTGGGTGGATGAAATCAACCGGCACGTGAAGTCATCGTCTCTCCGAGTGTTGGTACGGCCTCTTGGGCTCAGGGATAGCTAGATATGCACTTTTGCTTCTTCACGACAGTTTTTATACTCTTGGTTGCTTTGTTGTTTAATTGCAGAAGTTAACTTATTGATATGATGATAGAATTAGATCACAGCTGGAAGAGAAATTAAAAGTAAGAAATAGAGCAGTGGACTAGCTTCTTTCCTAGCTTCCAAATTGCAGAAGTTAGAGCACTTTGAATGTGAAGATGCAAAAGCTTTTTAAAAACATTCCTGACCACTTAAATGTGTAAGCTAATAAAAACACGATTTCAGAGAAAAATATATTCCAAAGCACAGTTGTGTAATTGCAGCTGCCTATCTGATCTGTCACCTTTTAGCTCCAAAATTATCTTCTGAAGTCTCAGTTACCTCATTGATAAAATAAAAATTTACTCATTCAGCATATTTATTGAAAATCTGTTATGTGCCAAACAGTATGTGAAATTCTGAGTGAAATTCCTAACTTGTTAGGAAGTTAAATAACTTGATAAAGTGCTGGCACATAGTTGTGGTACTTCAGGGTTATTGTTTACTAATATTAATACTTTTTGCTGTCTTGTTATTTCTTCTTTCCATGTAAATATTATTTTAGGCTTTTTATATTTCAGCCACTGTCACAGCATGGAGAATGCAGTAAGTAAAGTGTAATTTTGCCATTAAGGAGCTATGTTTTGTGTAGGTAGGGAAACTTTGAAGTCTCAGCATCTTTAGTTTTAAGCAAGTCAATTAATGTTCCTTTATGTGTGAGACAAGAATAATAGCAGCAGCTACCAGCATTGAAATTTAGAGATAATGCTTACCAACGTATCTGAAACGCAAAGATACTTCATGCATGGTAGTTCTTACTCTTCTAATGTTTCAAACCATCGTACTCTAACTCAGCTATTTATTCCTTGCATACATATCCTCCTCTTCCTTTGTCCACCTGTGAGAGCTCCTAAATGTTCTTCAAGGTATACCTGACATTTTAGCTCCTCTGAATCCAGCCGCAGAGTTGGGCTTTGCACTGTGCTGCCCTACATCCACTTTTGTTACAGTTCCTTTCATACTGCTCATGTTATTTGTCTGCTGCCCTAAAACATACCTTTCGCTAGACAGGTAGGAGATCTACCTTTGGCATATATGGTCCTAACCACATGGAAAGGACTCAGTAAGGGTTTAAATAAATGAATATTTCATTGATCTTCAATGAACTCTGTTACACTAACTGCGATAATGTGATTGTGTCCTAGGTATATCAAGGAGTAAAGAAACATGGGTTTTTACAGCCTCACTTTTTGGCAGAACAGGATATAGTTATCATCACCTATGATGTCCTTCGTTCAGAACTAAACTATGTGGATATCCCACATAGCAACAGTGAGGATGGGCGCCGCCTCCGGAACCAGAAGCGATACATGGCCATCCCCAGCCCCCTGGTCGCTGTGGAGTGGTGGAGGATCTGCCTTGACGAAGCCCAGATGGTGGAATGTCCTGCAGTGAAAGTGAGAGTCTGCAAAATTCTTTGAGGGCTAGGGAAGAAAGAAAAGGATTAGGCAAAACAGTTAAAGTATAGTTAACCCACAGTACTGATGCTGGTCAAAAGTTTGCTGTTAAATGCTCTGTATTTCATTTTCTCTTGTGCAGTGAACTGCACAACCCTTCGGAATTGTTCTCAAGCCCTGTGCCTCTTATTCTGTATGCACTGCTTGTGTAGATTTGGATAAGATGTTAGTGATGTATCTCTGATACAAATGAAAGCAAACTGTATTTGGAAATTGTTTAAATCATTTATGCTATCAATAATTTTGAGCCATAGTTCACTCTTATAGTTTAGTCTCAGAGAGGTTAGATCATTACAGAAAATGCTGCTTCAGAGAACAGAATTTTATTTCAACCTTTATTATATATCTTTCTCTAGTCTTCTTCAAATGGTCTGGGCTGAATTTATGTATCATGTTTATTGCTCCAGAGGTTTACATATAAAGTGTGGAGTGGTATAGGAAACTAAACGCCATTTAGTGGGATTTTCCCTTCTCTGCATGCTTAAACTACTCCTCCCTTTCAGGGTTGCCCGTGCCAGCCCCCCACTAATGAGAGCCACTCTATCGGGAGATGGCCCACTGACTAGTACGTCTGACACTGAGTGCAGTAAGTGTTAGATAAAAGCAGGTGCATGTCACCTGAAGTGTAGCTTTGCACAGGCTATCTTCTGAGTAAAATGCGCAGCGTCCACATTCTTCCTGTGACCCTCCTTTTGTTTGTGCTTCATACCTCTCTCTCACTAGGCTGCAGAAATGGCCCTGCGTTTGAGTGGGATTAATCGGTGGTGCATCAGCGGCACTCCAGTACAGAGAGGCCTGGAGGGTAATGTATGCTTTCCACACATACTGCCTTCACTGATGGCCTTGCTGTTCTTGAGGAAAAAGTGCTGTAATGCTTCAATTTTAAATTCTTGTTTAAGTGAACACGCATTTACTCCTATTAGTTTCAAGAATTTATCTTTTTAAATGGAATTTGAGTGATTTTCCATTTTTTAATATGAGAACAGATGGATAGTGGACTGGGCCCACTGCCTCTGAGTGAGCAGTTATTTTACCTTCCAAATGATATACACACGGTCTGAAGTGATCTTAGATTTCCAGTCCAGTAGGAAGAAACAAAACCTGAGAGGAGAAAAAGAGGAAAGAAAGGAGGGGAAAGAGAATTTCAGTTGACTATGTCTGTTAAAACAGAGATCATAATTTCCATTGTGTGAATCTATAGTAGGATCAAAATTTTACTAATTCTGAAAGTTAGAAAATACTAATGTCACACCATAAGTATTTCACACCATAGTATTCCTTCAACCATTTCTTTTCTTGAACAATTTTCTAATCTTTTTCTTTCTACATGTACATTTTGAAAGAAAAGACACTACATTTTAAAAATCTTTAGTGAAGGTGTGTGTATTTAAAAATATAAGTAAATATTTTGTCCAGATTTCCTGTGGGGTAAGGATATAGCTCAGTGGCACAGTGCCTGCCTGGCAAGCATAACATCCTGAGTTCAATTCCTGGTACCAAAAAAAGAGAAAAAAATGTTTTCAAATATCCTGGAAAGCTATATTAAAATGTAGTTAATTTATAATATTTAGGTGTACTTTCAACTTCAAAATTTACCTTTCTGAAAATTAATGTTTTCATGTTGCCTTTGATTTGATCAGGATAACTTAACTATGTGCCAAAATAAAAATATCACCCTCTGTTACTATGACCTGAGTGGTTACTTTTAGATGAAAAGTATTTCCTAGGGAAACCATAAATCTATATTTCAGTACTCACATAACTTATGCCAAGATGTAAGCTCCCATAAACTGTGTGCCTAGTTTCTCCTATGGGTACTCTTGGCACCCACAGAGGCTTAGACAGTCTGTGAGGGTATATGCTTAGCATTTATTTTTAATTCACACAATTTGAATGTTACATGAAGATCTTATTTATAGAATTATCAGCCTCATTAAAAGACCAAATTCAGTGGTCTATTTTTACATTTGGTAACTATGAAAAATACAGATATTAAGCCTAAAATGTCATTCAGCTGAAGTTAGCTGAAAGGGTATACAGAAAAAAAAGTAACACTTCTTAGAGTTATTCTTTCATTTTAATATTGAAAGAATAACAAAGTAGGTTATGTCAGCAGTGTATGATATTGGCAGGTACTTTGAGTGCTTGTTACCTTTCAATAAATTCTTAAAACAAATAGCTTCTTTAAAACAAATAGCTTTTAAGCTGTTTGAGCTTTATTGAAGTATAAATGACATATAATAAAACTAAGTATTTAAACTGTGAAATTTGAAAAGTTTTGGCATTTGTGTTTACCGATGAGTTTCCTCGTGCTGAGTCACTTTAAAAACAGTTTTGCCAGGCTTTCCGGAATTTTGCTTGTCTTTTCTTTGTTTCCATCAACCGTGGTACCTTTGTGTATTCTTCTCACTGTATCCAGGGATATTAGTCTGCGTATGACTTGCTATGCTACGTTTGGAAATTTAAATTTCATTTATTTTCATTTTTCTTCAACCAGACTTTGTTGACCTTGGCATTTTGGGCCTAGTAATTCTTTTTTGGGCTGGATAGTTCTTTTTAGATGTGGACTGGCCAGTGGTTTAGGGTATTGGAATGCTGGCGCTAGGTGCTGGCGACTCTCATCTGGTTCTGACAGCCACAGTGTCTCCAGATAGTGCCAGGTGTCCCCAAAACTTCTGCCCTTCCATGGCCACCCCAATTAAGAAACGTCATACTAGCCTGATGAGGATAAATCATATTTGATCTATTAATTAGTACCCACCCAGAGATCTGCTTAACCTCAGATTCACCATGTGTTTAGCAAAGTAATGACAATAGCATTTTCACTCCGTAATTTTCTAGGCTCTTAGTGTATGTTCGATGTCAGGCTGAGATGAGAAAGATGCCAATTCCCCTTGCCCACCCATGTCTGTTTAATAGACTTGTTGAATAATATATAAAACTTTGGGAATATATAAACCTGGGCTTATATCTTGACTTACTGGTTCTACACTTATAAACGAATTGCTTAAATATTCAAATCTTATTTTCTTTTATTTTTAAAATAAAGTATGTTAAAGATTATACATATATATATATGTATCTATGTATATTTCATTTAACACAGTATCCAGCAGATGTTAAGTATTTAATGAATGATAGCTGCTTCCACTTTTTTGTTTCTCACTTTTGTAGTCATTTATATCTTTGAAAGTGTTGACTTTAAATAATGTCAGTTCTCTATACCTATTTATTATTTCATTTGTTTGTGACATATCAGAGTAAGTATAAATAGATAAAGTCCCTGAACTTATTGAGTTCACAGTTTAAATGGGGAAAATGTGTATGTAAAATGCTTATGAGAAATACAGAGTAGACTCTAGATGATTCATAAATAAAAAAAAATAAAATTCTAACTAAATCATTTCCTAAAGAAGGTGTCACGTGCTAGAAAGGCAGAGGGAAGTGACAGTTGAATTGAGATCTAAAATATTAATATGAGTGGAAGGAAAGAGAGGAGGAAAGAATTATCCATTATAGAAGAACAAAAAATATGTGTCATCCGGCAGCAGGAACCAAGTGTATCAGTATAGTCAGAGTGCAGAAAGCTGGTGGAAATATGCAGTTTAAGAAAAAAAATAGCTGTCGAAAGGATTTAAGAGTGGTGTGGAGTCATCTTGTAGTTAGGTTTGTATTTAAATATCACTGTAGTTCCAGTATGGAGAATGGCATACAAGAGGAGCTGCCAATGGACATTAGCATAGCACTGTTTGGCTGTGAGAAGTACCCTTGGGAAGCGGTGCTGGTTCTTTGGGTTTGGACTACTGTTGTCCTAGAGCAGGGATGGAGAATCTGTAGCATGTGTGCCACAGCGGGCACACTGAGAGAGCCCTCTCGGTCGGCAGAAGCCAAGTTGCTCCAGCCAAGGTCTGACAAATTATCAGTGCATACAATAGCAAAGATCACATTAATTGTGCAACAAAACATGCCAAATACAGACTTTTAACTTTTAGTAAACAGCTATTTATATCATTGAAAGCTCTGTTGTGTTTTTCTTTTAAGACAAAAAGGTGTTAATGTGTGAGTTGTTTTTTCTAAACTAAAGCCTCAGTATTCAGGTGAAGCTGCAGTGTTGGCACTTTGAAATGAATAGGTAGGTTTTGGGTTGCAGTTCAGGCATTCTGTCTCTAAAAAGTTCACCATCAGTGTTCTAGAGAAATAGAAAACCATGGATAGGGAAAATTAACAAGGCTTGATGTTAGATCAGGATATGCCAAGATTTCTGATTTGCTTACAAATATTGGAACAAACAACATTCAACAGTGCACAACACTAGAAGGAAAAGCATATTTGACCGAAAAGATTAATTTTGACAGATTTTGGGGGGCAGAGGGTACCAGAGATTGAACTCATGACCTTGTGCTTACCAGGCAGGCACTTATGCCATTGAGCTAAATCCCCACCCACTGACAGGAATTACTGATATGTTTCAAATCTCAAAGAAGGGGTAATCTGAGCTAAAATGTAAATCCATGGATCTCTATCAGCTCTTTCAGAGGCTGTTACCTCTCAGAAGCCAGCAAAGCAATTTGAAGTTTTGGGGTTTTTTGTACCAAAAATTGACACAAAATAATTTGATTTCAGCCTAAATTTGTTGCCCCCTCATCAAAAGATATTATAGATAGGTTAATGATATATTTTTAACTAATGTTTATATCTTTTGAAGAGAATGTATATCTATTGTAAAAAGTTCAAATATAGAAAAAATGTAGTCACCTATAAATTCATTTGAAGGCAAAACTGTATGTAGTCTAAGGATTTAAATTTTATTTTTGAGCTCATCACATGTATAATTTTATGTGACAGTTCATGTAGCATTATATTGTAAGTTTCCATATGTTAAAAAATTCATCACAAAAAATACATGGAAAATGCTTAGAATGTGTGAGACAAAATATGAACTTGAGTGTGTTAAGTCAAGAGATATGTAAGATGCACCATGCTCTAAAACTAATAAATGCAAAGCTGCTTAATCAGAAAGTTCTATGAGTGTACCATAACTTAATTCTTCTTTATTTGAATTACTCTTATTCTGTATACTGCTAATCAGTCTTGTCCTTTTTTGTTATTATCTTAGTCTTGTTTATTAGAGTAGAATTACTTGGTCAAAGGTTATAGAATATTGGGTCAGAGAATATTCTTCCTATCACTTATGTGATTAGGAATTTTTTCATTTTTGTTTTTTTCTGATCCAGTAAATCTTGTGTTGATTCACATCATTTCTTACATATATCTTGTCAGGTATATGGAAGCAGTTCTTTTTAGGTAATTTCAAACTTTTGGATTAAGTACAAATATGGTGATAATTCTGGAAGCTTTGTGACATTTCCATACCTGGAACAAAACTTAGATCAAAATAGGCCTCAATAAATGTAAGCTGAGTTGGAACTAAATTTCAGATTCAAGAGACTCTAAAACTGCATTTTAATTCATGAAAAGTACTGTGTGCTTTATAATGTCTGTGAAAGAGCTTTTTCAGAATGGTAATGAAGTACTGAAACACTTACATTCAATGTGCTTTTGGCTGTTTTTATTTTCAGATCTTTTCGGGTTAGTGGTCTTTCTTGGTATCGAACCTTACTCTGTCAAACACTGGTGGGTTCGGCTTCTCTATCGCCCTTACTGCAAGAAGAATCCTCAGCATCTCTACAGCTTCATTGCCAAGATACTGTGGAGGTCTGCGAAGAAAGACGTGATCGACCAAGTCAGTGTGATAAGTTTTATTAAGGATCTTACCAAGAAAAAAAAAAAAGAGTGGGGATGAAAGCTTTGTTAACTCCTCCTTACAGATTCAGATACCGCCGCAGACTGAAGAGACCCACTGGCTGCACTTCTCTCCGGTGGAAAGACACTTCTACCACCGGCAGCATGAGGTGTGCTGCCAGGACGCCGTGGTCAAACTCAGGAAGATTTCTGACTGGGCGCTGAAGCTCAGCAGCCTGGACCGGAGGACAGTCACCTCCATCCTGTACCCACTGCTGAGGCTCAGGCAGGCCTGCTGCCACCCGCAGGCTGTGCGCGGGGAGTTCTTGCCACTTCAGAAAAGGTCCTACCTCCTTTCTTTCTCCTGTGGCTAACGGTTCAATAATAACAACTAATATTGGGACAGAGTACCTTTTGGGCTCTGTTCAGCTAGTTTTAGTAATGTGGTAGTTTTTGTATGCAACCTCATTTGTGAAAGAGAAGCACATCAAAATTATTTTCATGATTTTGAATATATTTATTGTAAGTTAGGATTTGGGGGGAATTTTTGTTGTGTTCATTTGTTTGTTTGTTTGTTTTTGGCTAGACTCCAGATAGGAGAAGTTTTTGTTCTTCCTATATAGTTCCCACAGTGAGAAATTTGACTGTGATCAAACATTCTCCTTGTAATTATGCTAGCTATGTGTGATTTTTCCACTCAGAAATGTGAGGGAAATTGTGTCTGTAATATTGTTGTCCCAGAAATTTGTATTCTTGGAAGCTGACCTACTTTCAGCACCTGGCAAGGGGAAGAAACCCTTCAGGTCCTGTCAGAGATACAGAGAGGACTAGGTTTATCCCTGACTTTAAATTACAGGCAAATTGGGGAAATAGCAAAGATGATAGATCTATATATATAATAGAAGGCAAGCATAGTAAATTTCAGGAGCATGCATAAATATTGCTATGGAAGTCATTTCTGTTTTAATGGTTAAGGTTAGACAGTAGAAATGATACACAAAGATGATACAGTAGAAATGATAAACAAATTAAATTGCAGTAGTGGGATTCAGACCTGGTTTCACATTCTAAACCTGTACTCTAAATTTTAAATGTATAGTTTTGATGTGGGTTTTGTGAAATAGAGTCTCACAATGTAGTTGAGTCAGGCCTTGAACTCACTATGTAGACCAGGCTGGCCTCAAACGCATGGTGATCCTCCTGCCTGAGCCTCACAAGTGTTAGAATTATAAACATGTGCCACCATGCCCAGCCTAATTTTAGACTTTGTATTTGAGGGAGATTTCTCTAGTTCCTTTCTTCCTGTACTGAAGTGAAAAAAAGTTTGAAGATAGGATCAGATAGAGGAATGCTTGTGAGAATAATAGTAAATAAGTTAAAAGCAATACTGTAAGAAAAAAATGAAGCTGAAGTAAAAGCACAGTCGCTATCACACAGACATCATCTTACCTGGGTTCACACCTGGCAATTTATCGCTGGGGTTCCTCTGGTTTAACAGTCCACCTTTCTTCCTTTCAGCACCATGACGATGGAGGAGCTGTTGACCTCTCTGCAGAAGAAATGCGGGACTGAATGTGAAGAAGCACATCGGCAACTTGTTTGTGCCCTCAATGGCTTAGCAGGCATCCACATCATTAAAGGTAGGCGGTGATGGCTTTGCTGTCTCTCATTCTTCTGGGAACATCTCTGTATACTCCACGTCAGTGTTTCCCAGAAGAGCACTTTCTGCCAGAGGTAGTGTGTGCCTGTAATCTCAACACTCGAGAGGCAGAGGCAGGAAAACTGCATGACTTTGAGGCCAGTCTGGGCTACATAGTGAGTTCAATACCAGCCTGAACTGCATAGTAAGGCTTCTCCAAAAAAAAGACACTTTTACATATTCTTGACTGTAATTTAAATGGCTTCCATTCAGTAAAAATCAGTTACGCAAAACTTTTTGAAAACTTCCAAAGTCACATTTCCTTTTAAAAGAATTCTGAGTTTATCTTCAAATTATAGAAGAGATTTGCTTGTATTCCATGTAAACATACGTGTGCTATGCACTGACTGCTCACAGGCCCTCATGGCTATACTGTTAAATAAATACATGGTGTTAGGCCGGTTTTGGACACATACTTCCTACAGATGTATTTTCAGGAAATTTCAGTTTTGCAGTATTAAATCCAGTATATTTTAGTGCCAGCAAGTGGTTAAGGCTAGATATTTCCAAATTTGGCTTAAATTTGTATAACTTATTGAATATACATATTTTGTGTTTTCCTTGGAATGCATCTCCTTTTTCGGTACACAAAATCTGTAACACAATAGTGAGTAGTTCAAATTCAAGTGCTTTTATTACATTTAATCACTGCTACGTCCTTTAAAAGGGACAGTGATTATGAAAGGAGAATTGTTAAATGGTTTATTTTCTATAAATGATAATATAAGTACTCATAGAATATATGATTATTGAATACTATCAATCAAGAATTTGAAAACTAGAACTTGCTAACTCACAATACTTCTAAATTATGTAACATGACTTTATCTTGAAAGTCATCTCCCTCATCAAAGTGAGTAGAAATTGGCAGAGTTGGTAATACTTTAAAACATATATGTTTTAGAAAGCTTTATATTAGATAACTGATAGCATCAAATATAAAGCAGAAATACAAAAATGTTGTGTACAATAGTGTGAATACATAATGCTGCTGAACTGTACACTTAATATTGGATTAAATGAAAGATTTTGTTAGTATATTTTACTTTATATTTTAGGTTAGTATATATATCAGCATTCTGAAACAGATAACCAACTACTAAAACAATTACAAAACTGTGCATCTATATGTAGGAAGCGTATTGTGGCTGTGAACACAGTCTGTAAGTATATGGTATTGATAAAGCTAGTTGAAAAGAGAAGCAAGTACGTGTGATAATCAGGGAGAAAATTACTTACCAAAAAATATCCAGTTGGTAATCTTTGTAGATGAAAATCCTCTCCCAATTATCACATTAGATTTTAATTGTTTGTGATTCAGCAGTTTCCAAGTTTCCTACAAGCAACAAATAAAGTACATTGAATTATTCAAATTTCATCTCCTCTTTCAGGTGTGATTAAATTTTTTTATAAACAGCCAGACTGACTGCACTAGGCTTTCCACAAGATCGCTATGCCGCTAATTAGCTCTGCCCTTGCAGTGTAAAAACAACCACTGGCAGTACACAAATGAGTGTAACTAGGTTTCAATAAAACCTTATTCATTGGATCCAAATTTCAACTAATTTCCCATGTCACAAATATTGCCATTTGAAAATTTTTAAAACTGTTTAAAAATACAAAAGCTTGACTGTAGCAGTAGAGTGCTTACGTAGCATGTGCAAAGTCCTGAATTTGATCCCCAGCACTCCATAAGTAAAAGATAAAATAAATTAAATGTAAACATTGTCCTCACCTGATGCGGTGTATAAAATTGCAGAGTCAGGTATGATCCATGGATCGTAGTTTGCCAGCCTGTAGTTTAACAGATATTTGTTGATTACTTTATGTGATTGAGCTGCTAATTATAAACAAAAGAAAATAGCATAGATTTCAGACTAATTATGATTTGTATGACCAGAAATGAAAAGATTTAACTTTTTTTTTTTTCTTTGTTACTGGGGTTTGAACTCACAGCCTCATGCTTGCCAGGCAGGTGCTTACACCACTGAGCTAAATTCCCAACAAGATTTAACTTTTTAAATGTACTTTTTAATGGCAAATTATTTTGGCCTAATGCTTACAAGCATATCTACAATCAATAGTGTATGAGTTTTCTGAGAATTATGTTTAGGTTGCTCATACATCTAAGACTTTATAAAAGCTATAATTATCCCAAATTCATCCCTAATTTCAAAACATAGTGGCTACTGATGGACATCTTTTTACTTGCAAGAGGAGTATTCATTATCTAAATTAAAAGTTCATTCAGGTTTTTTGATATGATTTTTAAAACATTGGAAATATGTTTGATTATAATATATCCTATTACAACTTCAGGACTTTGTAAATTTCGTGAAATTACAAAAAGAAGCTGATCAGGTTTGATTTCTTAAACTGGGATGTCATGTTAATATTAAATCAAATTACTTTACTTGAAAAAAATAGTTAAGGATTGAAAGTATAGATAGGGAGTAAAATGCTTACATAATATCCACAGTGTCCTGGGTTTAATATCCAGCACTACCACCTGAAAAGTGAATTATAATCATTAAGATGCTTCTTTTGTTATAGATTACTCTAGAGTTAAGTGCGTTACTTTCTTCTGGGTTAAGTACATTTCATTTCTTCAGGCGAGTATGCTTTGGCAGCAGAACTGTATCGAGAAGTGTTACGTTCGTCTGAGGAGCACAAAGGAAAACTCAAAACTGATTCGCTCCAAGTAAGTAAAAACCAAAACAAGAAAATGTCCTAGGTTATGTACTCTGTTTTATACAAAATAATTTTTTCTGACTGCTTAAGAGAACAAAGATGACTTGAATTACAGTCACTAAAGATGAACAAAACAGCTTGTGGCTCTTTCCTTGTGTTAAGCACCCCAAGTGACATGTGTATGTAGTAAAGTTGGAGAATCACTACTCTTTCTTCTCTGGCCAGTCTTGGCCATAAGTCCAACAAGATAAATCTACCTTAAAAAAAATAGCTCAAATTATTTGTAATTCAATGAATGGGGTAGGTTGGTTTTAGCATTTTTGCATATGAACATCACAGTATTTATTCATACAGTTTTTACCAAAAAGAAAAAAAAGATGAGTTAGACTAAGCTGAGGAACTAAGTCTTAAGAAGAGCTATCCAAGAGTCTATTATAATTTTTAGAGTCATGGAGATCTAGGATATTTCATTTGTAACACTGATATCTTTTTCATTTCTTGGTTTTGACAAGTGAGCCACAGAGCAAGCTCTCTAGCTAAATAGGAAAATAGGAAAATTTATTAATTTTGACAAGTTTACACTTGAGTCCTAGGCAAATTGAGTTTTTTGCTATTCAGAATAAAGACCTTGGGACTCACAAGTGTGCCACCGTGGATATTTGTAGGAATGATTGGGCAAGTAACGCAAAGAGAGGAAATAGGAATCTGCTTATATTCTGCATAGATCAGGATTACAGAATGCAAAAGGACCTTGATCTCTGCAAGCATGTTCACCTGGTGGAAGAAGGAAGAAGAATGATATTCTGTTGTTGAATAAAAGAAGGAAAGTAGAAGAGTGGACATGCTTATAAATCAAATATGTGTGAATTCAGGGTTGAAGGATAAGAAGTTAACCCCCTTAGTGATTTTTAGTTACAGTAACCCCACTGACTAGTAAAGCATAATTCACTGAGTGCTTTACTTTATCCAGCTAATTTAGCCACACTGTTGCCCTAAGATAAAATCTTTACACATTTTATGATCTTACAGTTATAGAAAGAGACCACAAATATTCTTCCCGTTTTACCACTATATTCAAAAAATAATGAGCAGTCTTCTGTAAGTACACAAAGAGACAATAATTTTCTACCACTTTGAGTTTCTCTAGTATCATTTGCACTTTTATTTGTGCTGTTGAATCTGATACTGCTGCTGATTGTGTTATCTAAGAAACCATCTTGAAAACACCCTTAGGTCTGTGGCATTTTAAGTAACTCTTCTAAGATAGACTACACAGGTTTGTACTGTGACCAGTACAGCAGAATAGACCTTTATTATTGGCTCATATTAGTGGCACCAAATCAGATTAAAACAGAATTCTTTCCCAGTCATCCTTTAGCTATCTACCCAAGTACAGTGTTAATTTGACAGCTAAAAACTGCTTTCATTGTGTTTCTTCTTACAGCTCTTGATTCCAAAGTGAACCTCTAGCTAGTTGCCAACTCAGTATCACAGTGGGAAATGTATTATATATAATGTAGAGGCATAAAATGCAGATTTTTTTCTTTTAACATACTTAACTCCAGCTCCTCTCCTTTTCAGCCCTTAAACTCAACATGTCCAACTCACAATCCTGCTTTCTTACATGTTTCATTGTCCTAGTTTTTATTATAATGTAATTGCTAGACTCTTTCAATCTCATTTTGCAGAAGAAAAGGAAGGAAGTCAGTATAATCACCCTTTCTACTTTATTAGATTTATTTGACTTTCTCATACTTTCCTATATAGAAAAATGCATGTATATTAGGGGGAAATGTACCTGTACTACATATTTTACTGAATGCAGAGATATACTGCATAAGGCTGTATATCTTTAACTGAAGAAAATTCATGTCATTATGACTTAAGACCTTTGCTATGAAACTGACATAGCTCTTCTCCAAAAACATTGGTGTTCAAGTTGTTTTAAAGGCAAACTATTCAGCAATAATGATCTTAAGTTGCAGAGCTGTATGCCATATTAATATTAGGTTCTGTTAGGAGCCTACTGTGTGCCTGTCATTCTTACTGCTTTTTGTGTGTTTGTAGAGACTTCATGCTACCCATAACTTGATGGAATTGTTGACGGCCAAGCACCCAGGGATACCGCCTACCTTGCGAGATGGTAGACTTGAGGAAGAGGTAGTTGCTGGTTTTCATTCTGTCTGTAAGGTTTTTCCCAAGTTTTGTGTTCCATGTAGTTGCTGTTTCCTAGGTATACATTTAAGTAAATGCAACTATGTTTTCTAATTGCTTTGATATTGCAAATTTTGGTCTGGTGGTCTTGAGTGGCAGAGAATGGCAATACTCCCATCTGATTTTGCCTCTTCAGTAATCTGCTTAGAAATACATTACATAACTGCTTGTTGTGACTGTGGCATTGATAAATAAAAAAAAGAGATGTTGCTGATCTCATTGCCATTTACAAATTATTCCATTTAGTAAATATAAAAAATTCTGCACTTTGTCTGCCTTGCTGAATATTATAGAAGGCGCAAAATAAATTCAGATTTTCAGTGATATTTCTCAGAGAAGTTCCTCTACAATGAGTGCTGCCTCTTGTTGAAAGGAGTAATGCTGTAGATTACTGTGGATTGTCAAAAGCTTGTTATGCTAATGCTTCTGAGGAATTTTACCATTTTTAAAGATCAGAAAGGAAGAAAAAAGCTAAAATACAAAGAGTAGATATAATTAAAATGTATTGAACCTGTAATTACAGCCTTTATTTGAAACATGATTAAAAAAATGAGATTTTTATAATTGTATAGCCTTTTGCACTGCAGTTTTTGACAAAAAAATATGTATTTGCAATGTACAAAATAATGTTTTGATACATATAGGCATTGAAGAATGGCTCAGTCAAGCTGATTCACCTATCCCTTTACCTCACATACTTAATCTTTGTACTGACAGCATTTAACATCTACTCAGTAATATTCACATATGCAATGCAGTGTTAACCATAGTGATTGTGCTGTATAACAGGTCTCCCTGATTTGCTTTTTCTGTCCAACTGAAATTATTGTGTTTTTCAACCTACATCTCCCAAATCTCTACAGCTCCTGCTGACCACTGTCCTGCCCTCTCTTTTCCACATATGAGTGAAATTACATAGCATTTGTCTTTCCGTACATGGCTTTTATGTAGTTCACTTTCCCTCATGCTCTGTGTTGTAAGAGGAGCTACTTCTTTTTGAAGGCTAAATAGAATTCCATTGTGGATTTGTACTGTATTTCCTTTTCAAATCATCAGTTTATCAATACTTGGTATGATTTCCGTGTCCTCATAGATAATGCTGCAGTGAACATGAGAATGCTGATGTCTTTGACATAAACTGACTATATTTCCTTTGGATTTATGTCTAGAAGTGAAGCGGTAGATAATGTGGTCGTTCTGCTTTTGACTTTTTTAAAACCTTTCATACTCATTTCTGAAGTGCTGTATTGATGTACAGTAACACCAGCAATGTGTGTGTGTGTAGAGCTTCCCTTTTCTCCACATCCTCACCGGCATGTGTTACCTCATCTTTTTGACTTTGGCCATCCTGATAGGTATGAAGTGATATCATTGTGGCATTTATGTGCATTTCCCTCATGATTAGTGATACTGAGTACCCACTCATATCTGTTGGCCACAGGGGTGTCTTCTTTACAGAAATTTCTTTTCAGTAGTTGGCTCTTTTTTGATTGGACTATTTGGGTTTTTGCTGTTGAGTTCCATTTTGCTGTAGAATTCCATATCTGTTTTGGCTTGTTGGCCTTTATCAGGTACAGTATAGAGTACCACGTATTTTCCCTGGTCCAAAGGCTGTATTTTCACTCTGCTGTTTCTTTTGCTGCGTGTGCTTTATTGAAGCTCAATGGCAGCCTAGTGTTAGAGTTTTCAAAGCAAATCACAGTCCCAGTGTAGAGGTCTAATGCATTTATAGAACCACTCAGTCTGTCGCAGTGCCTTCAGCGGAACAAAACTATCACTAGGGCACTGAATCACCTATTAACAGCCCAAATAATTATAGCCAAGGAATTGTAATAATTGTTTCTCCGACCAATTAAGTATTCCAGTTGAATGGAAGAAGGTGAAGAATTTTATGTTTCCTAATGTTGAATTTATAAGAATAAAACATTCCTATTTAAAAGGATAAAATAATTTGATTGCTTATGAGTTGCATGACTATACTCTTGAAAATGTAAACTAGGCTGGCAATGGCCAAAACAGAATACGAAGAATGAGAGGCCTGAGCACCATGAATTTATTCCTCACAGTTGAGTAGGTTAGGGATCCAAGGTCAAGGAATTGTCTGGTTTAGTTTCTCCTACGGTCCTTCATGGCTTAAGAGTCCTCGTCTGCCTTCTTATTGTATCCTTCCATGGCCTTTCCTACGTGATCATACATCTGTGATATCCTTATTATAAGGTACTACTAGTCATATTAAATTATAGCCTAATCTCATACCCTTATTTAATCTCAGTTACTTCCTTAAGCAATCATCATGTTGAGGAAAAAATAAAAGTAATTTAAAAATAAATAAATGCATACATGCACACGTGCAATCACATTGGGGATTAGGGCTCCAACATAGGGATTTTGGGGGAACACCTGTGTATGTTTTCAAGTATTATTTTAAAATTATAGTAATTCTAAGAAGCTGAAATAATACATGAGATAAATAGTACTGAAAGATATCTTTTGCCTCATTTTAAAAGCTTATTCTTTGTTTTTCTCCCTTTATTTCTTTATAATTCAAAAGCAAATAGAAGTTTGAGGGAGAAATTTTTAGGATTTCTTAATTTTTGTAGAATGAGTTGATCATTTTTGTTCTTTTTAATGTATCTCTTAGGAATTTCTAAGATGAATTTTATGTTTTCTACAGTATACTTACAGAGTTTTGTGTTTAAATCAACTTACGTAACTATGTCTAACAGCCCCCTTGTTCTTGAAACACTCTATTAGATTACTTTCTAAACCTAGAATGAAAATTTATATTTTCTGTTTAAACACAGGCCAAACAGCTAAGAGAGCACTACATGAGCAAATGTAATACAGAGGTCGCCGAAGCCCAGCAAGCTTTACAGCCTGTGCAACAGGGTATACGTGAGCTCCAAAGAAAAGTATGTCTCTGAAGTACAGTGTTTCTTGCCTTGTATTCATCTCCAGATGGCATTTTGGATTTTCTTGTGTTTAGGGAATGTCTTAGTTTCCGTCTCGTCACAAAGACACAGTATCTGACACCCATAAGTTATAGGAAGAGAGGTTTATTTTGGCTCACCATTACAGTACATAATCAGCCAGCACCAGAACAACATACAGCATGGCAGAGGGGCATAGCAGAGAAAAGCTGATTGATCATATATGGTGGCCAGGAAGCAAAGAAAGGAGAGAGGAGCCACGAGGGAAAGATATGCCTTTCCTGGTCACCCTTCGTACACTGCCTGGAACCAGGCCCCACCTCCTCACAGTAAGCTAGCTGTAGCACCCATAACCTTTTCATCTTCTAAAAGCCCCATCTGCGAAACATGAGGCTCTTCTAAACCATGCATCCCGACCCTGGCTCCCAAAGACTCATGGATATCCCCTAAGCAATGTGCACTTAGTTCATCTCTAAGAGTTACCAAAGTCTTAACAAATTCAACAATGCTGAAAAGTCCAGGTCTGAAGTCTCCTGTAAGACTCAAAGTAAACCCTTAGCTATGAGCCCCTGTTAAAAAAAAGAAAAACAGGAAAAAAAAAAAAAAACCTAAATGCTGCCAACATACAGTGACAAACATTTCCATTCCAAAAGAGAAGAATAGAAACCAGTGAGCCCAAAGCAAAGCAGGCGGGGACAAACATTAAATCCCATGGTTCCATGTTTAGTATCTGGGTCAAAGAAGTGAGCTCTAAATAGCATAGGTAGCCCTACGTCTGGCATTGCCTGTGATTATGAACTTTATGCCTTCTGTCTTGAACCGACTTTACTCACTGCTTTCAGCCTCCTTAGACATTCCACATTCCAGCTTCTCCACTTTCCTCTGTACTTTGTAGCTTCACTCTCACAGCTTCCCCCACTCTCTCCGAGGCACACTGCATGGCATCCCAGCCTTGCTTCTGAAGTCTGGGTGGAATCCTTAACCCCACAACTCTTACATGCTGCATGCCTGTAAAATCAGCACCCAGCCTACCTCAAGTAGTAGCCAGCAGTTGGCTCTTGAGTACCTGGATGGCTGGACTCTGGAATACATTTCTGCCTTTGGTCTATAAAGAACAGCGTCTTAGGGCTCACTTTTTCAAAGCAAAGTCTTTCACTTTTGCAAAGCAAAGAGCAGGGTATTTCAGTTTCTCAGGTGCCCTTAACACACTTTTCCGATTGTCCTAACTTAAAATAGTTGGCTTTTTTTTTTTTTTTTTTTTTTTTTTAGCAATCTCATTCTCAGTGAAAACATTGAGGACTTAGCTGGGCGTGGTGGCTCACGCCTGTAATCCCAGCACTCGGGAGGCTGAGGCAGGAGGATCATTGCGAGTTTGAGAACAGCCTGGGCTACAAAGTGAGTTCAAGGCCAGCCTGAACTGCATATTGAGACCCTGTCTCAAAAAGACCAAAAAAAAAAAACAAAAAAACAAAAAAAAAAAAAGAAAACATTGAGGTCCTAAATTTCACTGAACCTTCCTTTCTAATGAATTCCAAAACTTTTTGTTCAGTTTTTCACTGTAAATCTCACTAAGAACAGCAAGCAGTAGTAATGCTTGAACATTGGACTGCCTTGAAATTTCCTCCACCAGGTTAATTAGTTATTATCCATAATCTCAGTCTCCTACAAGTCACAGTGCATAAGCAAAATGCAGACAAATTGTCTACCAGAGCATAACACACATGTTCTAGGGCCCAGCTACAGTGGAGTTCTTGTTGCTGACTGAAACTTCCTGAGGCTCGTGTTTAGTGTCTGCATTTTTATCAGCATTCTGGTCTTCTGACCTCTTACCAGAATCTTCCATCAAGCTCGGCTTATGGCATTCTAGGACTTCTTTAGACTTCTGCTTTCCAAACCTTTCCAAACTCTTCCTGCAAAACAGGCTTCTAAGTGACATGCTCATATAACAGTCACAGTATCCCACTCCCAGTACCAAAGTCTGTCTTAGCTACTTTTTACTTGAAACCATAACTTAAAGAAAGAAAAGTACGACTCAGCTTGAGGTTATAATGCATGGTTGATTGGATCCAAGGCAGAACAGTGTGGGAGAGAAGCATGGCAGAGGAAAGCTGCTCATGTCATGGCAAGCAGGAATCAGAGAAGAAATAGAAGAGGCCACGAGGGAGATGAACCCTTCCTGGTCCTAGAGCTAGTGATAGAGAAGTGTGACACAGGGGATATCACTGGCTCTAGTGACCCACCTCCAGCCTTCTAATAGCAAGTCAGCTCCTTCCAAAAGCCCCACCTCTGAGCACATGAGGCTCTCGGGGGACAAGGAATTCTTAGCACATGATACAGAGCCTGTAAATCGAGTTTATTTAGTTAGCATTATTTCCCGTTGAATTAGTAGAAGCATAGATAAATTAATTTTTTGAGGTTTCAATTTTGTTAAGCTGTAATGGATTTCTCTTTACCTTTGGTTTATAGCCAGTTATTAATGACTTTTTTTTGCATGTACATATTCCCATAATCTTTCAGGATACTAAAGCATTAGAACCAAAATATTTTTCTTACAGGCCAGTACCATTTATCCTTTCTAAAGATTCTCCTTTATGATATTACAAGCAAAGTCTCAGGAGCAGTTTACACAAATACACTCTCTTTTAAAGTTGATTCAGTGGATTCTAATTCATTTAACCAAAGATTAGAAGTTTCTTTTTTACATTGAGAAGGACACCTGTCATTTTTCACATGGACAATGAATGCTCCATTTTTATTTTGATTGCTTAACAGTTTCATTGCACGTATGCAGGACAGTAAACTTTCACTTATCCAGGTTAGTCAAGAAACAGTTTTTCTCTTTAATTATATATGGAAAAGAGATACTCATACAATGTATATAGATTGTGTATATTTGTCTCCCCCTGTTGCAATTCCTTTGAGAATAGCATTTGTTGCTTATTTTGTATTTTTATCACCACTATTACCAGTGATGGGAACACTGTGAATACTACAGAAAAAATTTTAATTGGTCACCTATTTTTATTTTTCACAGATTCATTCTAATTCTCCTTGGTGGCTGAATGTAATTCATAGAGCAATAGAATTTTCTAAGGATGAGGAACTTGTTCAGCGAGTACGAAATGAGATAACCAGCAACTATAAGCAACAGAACGACAAGCTTTCTATGTCAGAGAAGTAAGAAAATTATATGATGAAATAACTGAGTAATCACCCCAAATATTTAGATCATTTGGTATCAGGAGGTACAGTTAAATGTTAGAATATATAGTGGTTGGGAGTTTTATATTTGTGAAGAGTGCATTTCAAATAAAAATATTAGATGTAAGTCTAAAAGGAAGGTCCTTGTTTCCATATACTATATGAAACATTTAAAAATGTCTCTTTTTAGAGCCTTTTAAAATCTTTTTAAAGTATTTTCTTTATTGGATACACCCAAAGCCAACTTCTAGCAAAAATTGAAGTAAACTTTGTCCTTAATCTAAGCATCCTGCTTTCCCCGTGATTCATTCTGCAGGAGCTAAGCATCAAGTGCCCTGAAGGCCCAGGTTTTAAGCCATGATTATGTATTCTTGCCTCCTGTCTTTCTTATGGACACCTCTCATGCTTCAGGGTCTTTAAAGATAAGTTGGCCTGTTGCTCCTAAAGTATAAATGGTAAGAAATTCTTCCCAAAGGATAGATACACTCCTTATCAGAAATCCCCTAAGTGGTTTAACCTAAAGGAATGTCTACCCGCAAGGGAAATTGTTGTAGCAGAACACTTAATGTTACGTAGCATATAAACCATACTACCCATACATAAATAGGACTATTTGTCTACCATTGCATAAATAGAAAATAAGAAAGTGTGATTCAGACTGGATAAGGGTGAGCATTTCTCTATAGAGAAGTAATATTTTTATATAACTATATTCAGAGATCACTTCAAACTGTTATGTATAGTTTTGCATGAGACTGATGTTTCAAAAGCTAAGTTATCCCCTGTGTCACACTTCTCTATCACTATCTGTCGAAGCTGTGTGGCTTAGAGATGAGGGGTGCAGGGGCTTCTGTTCAGACTGCGGGACTCACATCCCAGCTTGGCAAGTTACTGATGTGCGGAGCCTTGACTGCTTCATCTGTAGAGCCGGGAGGTGCTGATGTAAGAAGAAAACCGATACTGGAACAGGCTCTCTTGGAAGAATGTCCACCGCGTAGGATGGTGCATAAGAGTTGCCCATCGTTGTTAGTATTTATTCCCCTTTGGTCTAAAGGACCTAGAAGAGAGAACATTGCCAAAACAGGGTAAATAATAAATAATACTGTTCACCCTTAATCACACTGCCCAAATTTGAGTGAGGAGAGAGAAATTTTCCAAAGCTACTTCTTCCTGTTGCTTCAAAAATATTTTTCAAAAATAATTTAAATTTCTAATACATTAGAAATAAAAAACCTCATTTTCTTTTTGTAAACATTGATGTTTTACCTAACTGCATTCAAGTATTTATACAGCTCTTTAGAAACTATTCAGCAACTATTCTGTGCCTGTTGTATTTTTGAAGAAAGGGGTGTGCATAATCTTTAACTTCTAATGCTCGTAGAAAAGGCAAAACCTATGAACATTTTAAGAAATATGAGTATGTATAGAAACTAAACATAACAGTGAGGTAAACTGAGTATTTTCCATAAACTCCATGGAGGAAAAACAAACAGATTATTTCTGAGGGACATTAACAAAATCCTCAGGAAAGAAATGCAAGCTCTTCTGAACAATTCCTAGATGTCACATAGCATTTCAGGAAGGATAAATGTATACTCTTAGCAAACAAATCACCTTTATATTTTCTAGTTTTTAAATTCTTAATATTCTAAGCTTTTTCTTTCTTCACAAAAAACACATGTACCTGCATCTGTAAATGTTCTTCTCAGCTCTTTTCATCCACTGTTGATCAGAATGGTTATGAGCACTAACTGGAGGATCAGGTGTGTGGCTCAGAAGTGCTTGGCATGTGCCAGGCCCTGAGTTCAATCCTTCTCCTGAAAACAAATTTTAAAAACTACTGTTTTTGGGTTTACCTTGCTATTTTGGCACACAATAGTTTTTGTAGTAACTTTGTAACACTAAATACCTTAATTTCTTAAACTTCATCCATAATATAAGCACTCATAAGCACATTAGACATACTTGGCAAAGTGCCTGTTACACAGTAAATGCTTAATTAAAATTAAAGCCAGGTGGATGGTTACACACCTATAATCTCAGCACTCTGGGAGGCTGAGGCAGGAGATTCACACGTTTGAGTCCTACCGTGACAATTTAGAAAGGCCTTGTCTGTAAGTAAAAAAATTCAAAAACAACTGGAGATGTAACTCATTCTGAAGGCCATGGAATCAGCCCCTGTACTGAAAAACCAAAAACAAACCTTAATTAAAATTAATGATATTTTTTCTTTATAATGATAACTATGACTTTTGGCTATTTCACTATTCTTTTTTTCTTCTCAATTTTCTGTCTTTATTTTCCTGTAGTCACATCATTATATATAGCAAGAATGTCAGGAGGGACATTCTCCTTTAAACAAGAAGAATTGAACAATCCTGACCAGACAACTGAGACAGAGGCATATTTTGCACCCTTTTTCAGATCCTGTTTTATAATAGCCAACTCAATGTCATTAAGGTGCCCCTAAGCACACTCCTGAGGAAAACTTACCCAAGTGTGGTGGGAAAATGCACACTCTATTCCTTTAACACTTTACTTGGCAACCATTTTCTGAATTTGAGGAAATTGACCCGTGATTCTTTTCTTTACATTGTGTGTGGTGTTCGTCATGGGAATCAGGTTCCACGACTGCAGAGGTCTTCAGTTCCTCCTTACAACACAAATGGATGAGCTAAATAAATTCCAGAAGCTGGTTAGAGAAGCTGTCAAAAACCTGGAGAAGCCTCCGTCTCGTAATGTTATTGAATCTGCAACAGTCTGCCACCTCCGGCCAGCCAGACTGCCTCTCAACTGGTAGGTTGAAGAAATCAGACAGCGAAATGCCTTCATCTCATTAAGCTAGATTGTATCTGAGAAAAGAAATTATGTCTTATAAATAGTTTTAATTCATACAAGTAGAAAAAGATATATTACTAATATTAAAACAACTCAAGAACTACTTACTAAGAGCCATGTAATGTTTTTCTAAAATGGATACCCCTTTAAAGCTAAAATACACTGTTTTAAAGTTATCTGATTGCTCTGTGTATTCGTAAATATTCTCTGATAATCTCTTTCAGCTGTGTTTTCTGTAAAGCTGATGAATTGTTCACAGAGTATGAGTCAAAGCTGTTTTCTAATACGTAAGTTCTCTTTTTCATTATTACCCATCAGGAAAATGAGACGTTTATTGATATTTGATTATAAAACTATATTTTCTATCTAGCCTTTATTATGTTTTTTCTTTTAGTAAATCAATTCAGTAGACTTTTACCATTTGGTCATTTAACATGCTCAGTTTTACCTACATAGAACTTCCCCTTAAATGTTTATGTCATGTAGGAATATATAGCTAATTGAAGGGCATTTAATAAGAAGGATAAGATCCTAAGGTTCTAGAGTCTAGATTTAAACTCAAATCCTTGCCCACTTTTATGAATGAATTGCTTTTCTAACCTCAGCGTCCTAATTTGTGAAATAAAGACTCTTTTTCTATTGTTGTTTAAATATTAAATAAAAAAGTAAAATAAAATACTGTTTAGTAAATTGCTTAGTAATAAGTATGCTATAAAAATTTTAATGCCCTTTCTTAGCAGAGTCTTCATGCTTGCACAAGGATTAAACTAATGAGTATATATAGTTGTGACATTAGATCCGTTTAGCAAACATGGAAGTTAAGAAAATTCTTAAGTTCTGTCTCCCTCCACTCAAAAAGTAGGGCTTGATGTACTTTTAGATTATAGTATGGTTCTTTTCTTTTTTTCTTCTTCTTGCTTTCTTGTTTGGTGGATTTTTTGGCAAGGTTGGTCATATGGTAATTTATGTTTTAATTTTCCAAGTAAGATTGATAGCCCTTAATTGAAAGATAGCTTAGTTATCCCAGATTACTGCCAAGAAACACTGAAAAAACTATGACACTGTCAGCATTTTCAGAGTTGTTATTTTTCCAAAGACATGTAAACATAATCCTGAGGATGTGATACTGAAAGTTGTTGGGACATTACTGACCTCGCTTCCCTACTTCTGCCAGTATCACTTGTTTATGGTACTTGCTACCCGCTGACAGTCATTGCTGTTGCTTGACTCTGCTATGTTTTTCAGAGTCAAAGGCCAGACTGCAATATTTGAGGAGATGATAGAAGATGAAGAAGGTCTGGTGGATGATCGAGTACCTACCACCACCCGGGGACTCTGGGCAATAAGTGAGACCGAACGATCCATGAAAGCAATATTGTCATTTGCAAGATTGCACAGATTTGATGGTGTATTCATAGATGAAGGAAGTGCTTCAATGGAACTCTTTGAAGCGTGGAAGAAGGAATATAAGGTACAGTATTGTAGAACTTCCCATGTTAAAAACCCTTCTTCTTTACACTTATTTTTTTCTTTTTCTTTTTCTTTTTTTTTTTTTTTTTTTTTGTCTTTTTCCTGTTTATTGGTACCAGGGATCGAACTCACGACTGCCTGTTTGCAAGGCAGGTGCTTATGCCACTGAGCTAAATCTCCAGCCCCTACACTTATTTTTAATTGCTACTTTCCTCTTTTTCTCTTCTGTTTTTCTAAATCTGCTTTTAGAGATTTGAAATCTCATCATTTCTTTCCCTAAAATGTTATTCTAATAAAGAATAATAAAATAATATTTAAATTCTATTTATAAATTACTAAAAGCAAATCTGTATTAAACTAAAACTTCTAAAAATCATTTTGTCTAATTGTGAAAGTATTCATTCTGTTCTTCTCTTGATGTTACACTACTATTGTGTGAAACTAGATTAGACTTTTGTTTCTTGTTTGTTTTTGTTTTGCTTCTGTTCTATGAATAGCAACCACATGTCAATATCAGCCTTGAAAATTGGGGATCATAGTTATTTCTTGAGCTACAAGACTGGAAACCATTCATGATTAGAGCACAAATTGGGCTTTTATATTAAACTAATAATTCCATTGCATTGAGGCTCTGTACTTGAGATTATAGTGTTTATTAATTTTGAATTCTTTTTTGAATAATTATTGAACTATTCTTTGAATCTAAAGTTCTTGCTTTTTAAAACTAGATAAAAGTTTCGTTCAAAGTGAAAATAAATGTGTACCAGTGTATACATTTAATCAACTGGGAAATGACACTTGTAGAGTCAGAATCATCAGTTCATATTTTTTTCCTTCTGTATTACTATTATAAATTCAAAGCGTATTTGCACAGTTAATTACAATGAGCTATAAATGAAGACAGTATTATATATAGTGTCCAGTGACTCTCAGAGTCTTTATTTGGGCCCAGTTTGACTATATCCCATGTGTCCAGAGGAGACCTTGTCATATGTTCTTTATCTTTGTGCATTTTCTGTCGTAAGTCCGCAGACTAAACTCTTTCACAGAAAAACAACTGAATGAGCTACTGCTGTATATATTGATCTCAAATGTATTAGTGAAGAAAACATGTCAAAACTTGCATACTAATATAATTTTAGAAATGTATATGTGACTGATTTATTAAGGATGCATGTTATAGTACTACACTTGAAAAGTGTGAAATCATAAATTCTGAACAATGCTATACTGTTATCTGACTTTGAAAGAAGAATGTGTGAGGAAAAATGATAATGATAATTCAATTAAGCCTGTCCTAGGAATTTATTCTCTGAAATTAGCTGGTGGATACTCAGGTGTGTATTTTAGCATTCTTTTATCAAATAAGTATTTTGTGAATATGTGAAATATATTACAAAATATTTTTTAAAAATAAAGCAGATATTCTATCAATCTAGTGAAGATCTTTGGTCTCATCAAAAAAAAAGTTTGAGTGTTCTGTTCCTAAGCATCTAAAGAGGCATCTAAAGAGGCAGCATCCGTGGAGATCATTCATTCCCACTTCGTCATGTGTTTCTGAGACGCATCTTTTATCTTCCTTTAGTTGCTTCATGAGTATTGGATGACCCTGAGGAATCGCGTGTCTGCTGTCGATGAACTTGCAATGGCTACAGAACGACTAAGAGTGCGGCACCCTAAGGAGCCAAAGCCAAACCCACCCGTTCATCACATCATTGAACCACATGAGGTACAGTGCAAGGAAATCACAGGAAAAGGCACAGCACATCAGTGTCCCAAAAAATGCAAGGCCCACAGAAGAGACAGAGTCAGAGCAGTGTTCTCGTCTGTTAAGTATGTTCTTCATGTCTGTTAACAGGTTGAGCATCTAAAATTGGCTTTATAGGTCAAAAATGGTCAAAGATGAGCAAGATCTAATTCATGTTTAATATTCACTGTTTTGATAGATTTTATTTCTTTGCAAGTTGTGCATTCAACTTTTTTTAGCACCTTCTGTAAAGTCCTCTAGGTATTCTCGGTCATTTTTTAAACATATTTTATATTGCCTCAGCTTTATTAGGACTAGAAAAATTTTCCTCAAGACTAAGTAACAATTTTTCTTTTGCAGTGATTTTTCTCTTGCTATGTATAGATATTTGCAATTTAGCTTCTAATAAATCCCTCTTTTCATTGTAGGATTATACCAATCTTTTGTGTTCCATACTAAAATATTATTTCTTTTATAATTTATTTTTATCATGTGTATTTAATGCTTTAAATCACTTTTTACTATAAAAGTTGGAGAACCTTTAAAATATTCATATGCTCTCAGTTAAATATGAATTCTCAATTAGTTTTTTCTTTAAAAGCAGATTCTACATTTGATTCTTTTTTTTTTTATTTAAGGAGAAAAGAAAAAAAAAGCAGAGAAAGGGTACAAGTTATACAGATTTGCAGGAAAAAAAATGAACAGTAGGAAATCACTAGTTAATGGATTATATACTGTCATCTTAGAAATAATTGTTCAAGTCACAAAATTAAAGCTTGTAAAGTGGACATTCCATCAATGATACTGCAAACAGTTCTGTTCAATGATCCAATAAATCTCTGTGATATCATATTCTATCTTATATACTTAAATATACATGCAGTTATATAGTTTAGAGCACTTTCTTTTCCTCTCTTTTGTACAATGACTATTACACATTTTGGGTTTCATTGCTCTCACGGTTCTTATTACTTTTTTGGAAGAGAGTAAAACCAAATGTGACATAACAGAACAGAATCGGTCAAGTCAAAAGGGTGGACATAATAGATAATGTGAAAACATAATACAAGGTGATCAACAATGGTTACCATAATGCCTCCCGCTATCTCTAATAGAATTGCCTATACCATTAGTTATAATACAATTGAACAAAACAGTAAAGAACAAAACCGACAAAGCCAAACCATTGGAGACATTGTAGGTCTTCAAAAGTAGATAAAAGTCAACGAGAATGGGCGTTATAATGAATCTCATTATCTTCACAGCTGATGCCTAAATTTTCGAACCTGATACTATCTAGCAAAACAGAATAGGGGAATATCAGTTAAAAACCAGATGGTGAGAGTAATACAGGGCTTTAAATCAAGGTAATGGAAAGTCAAAGTGGGTTACTATAATATATCCTGCTATTTTTTTCCTTTAATTAAAAGGATAAAAATTTTAAAAAAAGTATTAAAAAAGTAAATAATGGAGTGGAGATTGAGATAAAAGAGGGCATAACAACGAAACAGCACAGATCAAAACATAACCATTTAAGCAGAATAGTGTTTCACCACCAGATAACCCTGACCTAAAAGTAGTTACCATATTGTCTCTTTCCTTGAAATCCTTGAGTACAACTTCGTATACTGTAGCATTAAGTATATCAAAACAATGTAAAACCACTTAAGAGAATGACAGCATTACAGAGTATTTAGAATCGACTAACAGAAAATGAATAATGGTTTCTGTATAATCTCCTTGTCTTTCAAAGGTTTTTGCTTATACTATCATACATAATAAAATCCAGTAAGATACAACCTATTTAGACCATTGGAGACAGAAGGACAAAAGCTAGATGAGACTTCAAAACAAGATGATACTAAATCAGTATTACCTATTAAGATGTCATTTTCTTCAAAATAGCTGTTCCTATCATCCAATCTTCTCTGCCTCATTTCTGTTGAGCTCTTATTCTGTCAGTAGCTGTCAGTTTGTCTTCTTCACTTTGTTCTCTGCTCCATTAGTCGTGGCCTCCACTATTTCTGGATTCTTTGTATTTTTCTTTTTTTAGAATATCCTGCAATACTCTCTGTAGAGTTGAATTGGTGGTTGCAAATTCCCCCAGTTCCTCTTTATCCTGGAAGCACCTTGTTTTCCCATCAATTTCCAGGGACAGTTGTGCAGGATATCTCAATCTTGGCTGGAGATTATTATCTTTCAAAGCTTGAATTATTTCCCCCCACGCTCTTCGTGATTTGATGGTTTGTGCAGAGAAATCTGCTGTAATTCTGATGGGTATTCCCTTGTAAGTGGTCTGTTTCTTGTCTCTGACAGCTTTTAATATTCTGTTCTTGTATTGAATTTCTGGAATTTTTATTATTATATGCCTGGGTGTTGCTCTGTTTGGGTTGTAGGTAGCTGGGGTCCTGTATGCCTCATACATCTGAGTATCTTTACCTTTTGCTAAATTAGGAAAATTCTCCTGGATTATTTCTGTGAGTAGCTTTTGTAGTTCATTTGTTTGTGTCCCTACTTCTTCTTTTATGTTCGTAATCCTTAAGTTATGGATCCTCTTATCATCTTCTTGTCTTTGTATTATTGCTGTTTGTTTCTTTGCTATTTTTAAGAAGTTTTTCATTTCATTCTCCCATATTACAATTCTGCCCTCCAGTTCAGATAGTCTGTCCTTAGTTTCTTTCAAGCTGTTATGCCAGTCTTCGATAGACTTCTTAGTTTCTTGGTAGTCCCTTTGAACCTGCTTCACGTATTCTATGCTTTCCCTGTTTTCTCCATCAAACAATTCTCCCCTCTTTCTCTGTTCTTCCATTCCACCATCTGTTTTTTCTTGGGTGGGGCTTAGCATTTCTCTGACTATTTTGCATACTTCTAGCTTCAGGTCGTTGATAACTTCATTCCTGAATTGGTCTATGAGGCTCTCTATATGGTGCTTTATGTGTATTGGTGCTGTGTCCGCTATTGCCTGTTTCTCAGAATTGGGGGCCGAGGAGCCTTTCTTGTTGCTGCCTCTTCCCATATTCTCTGTTCCTTATATATGCAAGCTTATATGAGAGGCCCAGCTTCTCTCCCTGTCAGCCACAGCCTGATCGAATTGCGCCGGTTAGGTGTTCCCACTCACCGCTACGCACCAGGCAGCCTATGCGGGGCCCGCCCCTCCCGGCCTCCGTCAGGCTCTGCGATCTGGGTTGGGCCAGCCTACGGGGTCCGCCGGCAGCGTCACACAGGCCAGGCACTTTTCACCAATCCCGCCCGAGAGGGGGATGTGTGGCTGGAGTCGCCACCGCGCCCTGCTCCCGCAGGACTGCTCGGGCCCAGAAAGTCCGCTGGAGTCAAACTGTGGTGGAGTGTCAGTTTCTCTCACTCACCTCGCCACAAGTCAGAACATGCCTCCCTGCCCGTCCTGTTTTCGACTCCATTCGCAGACTCCCGTTCTCAGAGCTTCCGCGCGTCTCTCTCCTTGCCGAGCTGATGTAGAGGCAGCCAGCCACCGCGCGGCGGGAAACCCAAATCGCGGCTTCCAATGGCGCAGGGTCCAGCCTCAGCAGCGAGACTTTTCTGTTCCTGTTTTAGCACCAGGACTGCATTCCAAGTTGGTTTCTCTCAGCCGAGTTCGTTCCTGAGTCAGCAGAGCATAACTCCACCTGCTTATGTCTCTTTAGTCCGCACCATATCTGGCTTCTGAGCCTAGTTTTTCAGAGAGCCCTACATTTGATTCTTAATACTAAAGGAAAAAAGGATAGTTCTTGTTAGAATTCTGCTACTGTATTCTACTTGGGTATAAGAGAAAGAACGGGAGGAACATTCTTCTGAAAAAGTCATTCTGGTAAAAGCAACATGTCATTTAATTTTTCTTCATCCCATGGATATTTTACTGAGAAATGCTACAGAAATAGAATTTGAGTTGAATTTTAGACAACTTCAAGTATATAGAATACTTTCTACACTAAATTTTACATTAAATTCTACGCTAAATTTTATCATGTGTAAAACACAAAGAAGCCTTTTAAAGATATATTATCAAATACCCACTTTGCAAATTTGAGTTTTAATATGGAAATGAATTTTCGGCCATCTTTCTGATTTATAATATTTTTTGTTACTTGTTTTTAGGTAGAACAAAATCGTATAAAATTACTAAATGATAAAGCTGTTGCTACATCACAGCTTCAGAAGAAACTTGGGCAGCTTCTTTACCTAACTAATTTGGAAAAGGTATTGTTTTTAAAAGATGGTGCTTTTTCAGTATTGTATTATAATATTATCATACTAATGACTTCTTCCATGTAAAATACCATTTCTGTAATTAATAGTACAGATGTTTAAGAAGTTTATCCTTTATTTGTATTAATTATGAGTCAAAAAATTACATTTCTTTAAAATAGCTTCATAAATCACGAAAGATTATATGTATGGAAATTATCATTTACACAGATGATGTAAAAACCACACACTACGTGGAAAACAGCATAAATAAACTGTAATTCAAAGTCTAGAAGCATTCCAGCCTACATCTGGGTGTAAATTGCATTGTATGACATGTACACATGTATTCACGCAAACATAGTAGACAGGCACTGTTCAATTTTGGCTTTGGGACTTTGAAATGTCTAAAAGCGGATACATCAGAAGGCATGATAATAAAGAATAAAGTTCAACAATTCAGTGTAACTCACCATACTTCTTCTCTGTTGTAATCAAAGTATTGTATAAGACATTGATGATTTCATAAGTGGTTGATAAATACTCCACTGTATGCAAGAATTCATAGACTGTTAGTTCACAGAGTGTCTTACCAGAACTGGAAAATACATAGAAGTATTTTCTTTCAGCATTGTTACAGTAGCACAACATCTTTAAAAATGGTAAAAGAAATCCTGACAACCTAGATTTCTATGCTGAAAGGAAATAGCCTGAAAAAGAAAAAAAAAAAAAAAGCATAAATCGAAATATTTTCAGATAAACTGAAAGAATTCATTCTCAGTGGATTCACAGTACAAATTTTAAGGAAGTTCTTTGGACTAAAGAAAATTATTCCAGATTGAAGAATGGAACTATAGGAAGGACAAGAAAAAAAGGAAAGACTATTGACTATTTAAAACACCCATGCTGTTGTGTAGAATACACACATGTAAAGTAAAATGTATGATGATAGCATGAAAGAAGGAGGTAAACCAATGTAAACTGTTGCAAGATTCTTCCATTCTTTAGAAAAATGGCCAACAATTAGGTAAGGATATCAAACTTCGGGCACTTTGAATAATAAACATGGCCTAACCAACACAGATAGCCTTACCCAACAGTGAGAATGTACCCTTTTCTCAGTGTACTTGAGACATTTACCAAAATCAAATAATAATAATTCAAAAATAACTTAAGATTTTCAAAGGATTGGCATTATGTAAGGATAGGTTTTCTTACTAAAGAAAAATTGAGTTAGAAATCAGTGGCTAAAGATAACTAAATAAATCCCAAAATTGGAAATTAGGAACACACTTCTAAATAACCCATAGCTCAAAGAAGTTATGTGAAAATAAAGTTTCTGAACAGAATGAAAATATGTAATAATATGTAAGATATTTTTATAGAGAAATTTCTGGCTATTTTAATTGACATATAAAAGGGGAAGTCTACATCGTTTAAATCAGGGGTCTGCAGACACCACACGCAGGAGCATTCTAGCCTACCACTTGTTTTCATAAGTAAAACTTTATATTGGAACACCACTGTGCTCATTTATTTTCCAGCTGTCTATGGCTGCATTTTACTCTACAAACAGAATTGAGCAGTTGCAACACAGACCATGTGGCCCACAAAACCAAAAATATTTGCAATCTGGTCCCTCATAGAAAAAGTATCAATTCTATCTTTAAATATATCAAAAAAATAAGAGACGGTGAGGTGTGGGAAACTGTTTGCAAACTGCTGTGATAATGTCCCTATGTGTATACGCTCTTTTAAGCCATCCACACCCACACTGAGTCTGGAGTTGGTCAGCTGGCTACTTTTGACCTTGTGACATTAGAGACCTAGAAAGTATATGCAGATTCTCCCAATCTTATTGCTCTCTGAACTCTTGAGAATAAGCAAAGAAGACCAGATTAACTTTTGGGGGAGCTGAGCCTGTAGTTCAGCCTCTCTCACACTCTGCCATAGATAAGACAGATGCCACCCTGGACCATCCATCCCCAACCAAACCAGGCTATCTCCAGATTATCTCTGTGACCTGTGGGATCATAAGAAATGTGCAGGGTTAATTGTAATCCACTATGTTTTTAAGTGATTTATAATGTTATCTGAACCACACATCAATAGTTACTAGGCAAAATCAGTTTAACTTTTTAAAATGCATGTATACTTTCATTTTAGTTAATGAAGTTTTGAGTTCTGAGGGGCCAAATCTATGCACAATTTTTAACAATTTTATTTGATCAATATTCTTTTATTACTCATAAGTCAAAGAATAATTTTTTACATGTTTAACTTTGGTTTGTAAAACCATAAAAACTGTAGTGATCTATCTAATTTACTTTCTTTTGTTTTCCTCAGTTTTAAAACCTGTTTGATAATTTTTTGAAAATTCTTTCAGATTTTGTAATAATTTTAATGAGATTTTGAAAAGCCATTACATTTTTATATCATCTCCAGGAACATAAATCTCAAATCCATAATATTTCCATTTTCCAACTATTATCCTTTCTAGTTTTTGTCTAACGAAATTAAAAAATAGATGCTAAGAGTCAGCCATTATCCGTGAGGGGAGATACTATGTAACTGTATGTTTTCCTGCGTCACTAAGCTATGTCAAGTTAGGTTTACATTATAAGTATGCATTTTCTTAGAATGTTTAAGGAGGTTTTATTTCAAAATTATAAATTATGCTTTTAAGTAATCTATATTTCTTTATAACAAAATCTAACCTGAAAATAATTTTGAAAATTTAGCGTGTTATATTTTGCTTTTCATTTTGCAATAAACTACCATTACTGGTAACGCAACAAACTGTAACAAAATTTGTTACAATTTTATTTTTCACACCTTAGTGTTATGTGTGTAACTCAAGAATAATAGTATTAGGTAATAAATAAAGTTTTGGGTCAGCTCAATAACTAGACTATTTAAATTGCTATTGCCAACATTTACTTTTGTGAAATGCAAAATATGTATCAGATTGCAAAGATAAACATCTAAGTAACATGTTTTTTGGAATCTTTTTTGCACAGTCTCAAGACAAAACATCAGGAGGTATTAATCCAGAACCTTGTCCAATCTGTGCTCGACAGTTGGGAAAACAGGTGAAATTATAATAACTGGTATTTATTTGCAATCTTAAAAGGCTTCTATATATGCCCCCCACTTTTCCCTTCTCTTCCTGCTTTCCTCATCACATCTGTACAAGAATAACAAGTTTTACCTCCCATGTTAAAAGTAGGGCCAGAATTTAGGTGATGTGCTTGTGGCAATCTATGGTTGAACAATCTTTACACTAACTAGTAGGTTAAAAAAAAGATTTCATGCTAGGTGTGGTGGCACACGCCTATAATCCAAGCAATTGGGAGGCTGAGGCAGGAGGATCACCATGAATTCAAGCCCGGGCTGACCTACATAGTGAGACTCTGTCTCAAAGAAAAAAATACATATTTCATATATTACTTAGGAAACACCAAATGAGTCTGTCTTTTTCATTAAAGATTTTTAATTTTGATCATATTTCCAGTCATAAGATTATTTCCATGTAATTTAATTTTTGTCATGTTATCATAGTTATCTGATAATTGTACAGAAATATTATGCAGTACACATTGATTTACTTAAGGTAATATAACAATATAGTAACGTAGCTCCTAGCATTATTACTATCTTGTAATCCAGTCATTAAAGTAAAAATAACATCTCTCTTAAGGAAAGTTACATGTAATTTTTAGGATACTATTAAAGCAAATAAATATAGTTCTTTGTTATTTTTAACGTACAAATGTTTATGAATATGATGGCAGCATACTAGCTTGCTTTTAAGAGGTTTGAATCTCTACGCAACTAATTTATTTCTGCTTTTTATGATAAATCAATATATTTGTATACAATATCAGAATACCATTGCATTTCAACACTTGGAAAATAAAGTAAATACTATTTTATGCAAGTGTTATGACAAGTAAAATATTCTTGGTTGCTGTTTTCCTATAGAACTGAGAATGTATAGTTCAGTGTATGAGTTCCATATTCTGAGAATCAGTAATCAAAAAAGAATCTTTCAGGTTCCAGGATTTATGGAGATGAATTCTCGAAGTACACTTCATTTGATTAAAAGTTTTAAGAAGATAGATGCGACATTGGAGAGTAAACAGCAGGATGTGTAGTGTTCAGACACTGATGCTGTGGTGACCAGAGTCAGGATGCAAGCACTGTGATTGGACAGGAGTGGCGGGATAGGGCAGCTCAGTGGGAAGGCTTGCGCCTGCATTCCTGAGCCTGAGATTCCATCCCCTGTGCCACCAGGGGTTTGGGCACTCATGACACAGTGTCTTTTTTTATTTTTAGCTTTGATGAGATTTGTGCATTTGGATTGTCTCTGAAATTTATTTCATTTTGTCTTAAATATTTATAATTTGTAAAGTTCTTTTATATACATAGTTTGATTCAACTGGAGTATAATACAGGTCTCCTACACTTAGAACAGACTGATTATAGTAGTGGTAATAAAATTGTACACTATGAACTTTGTTCCTATCCACAGCCTGTAGGAAGAATAAACCTTTCCCCTTAGCTTCCCAGTTCGCTGCCACCTCTTTGAGTCAGGGCTGTTAAGTTAGGGTGTATCAACTCTACTGTCATGGTGTTGCCATTTGTTTCTCTGTTTTGGCCATTTCACTGTGCCCTTCTCTGAATGCTTGAGTATGGGGCGGCCCTGTCTTCCTCTCCATTGTGAATGGGAGTGGACTGTTGTGCTCTGTAGCTTGTCCGCTCTGAGTTCCATAGTCACGAAAACCCTGTCCAGTAGAGGAAGTACCCTTAATCCCCAGTGGCGCTGGCGGTACATGGTATACAGACAATGCTGCTGGTAGGAGGCAAGAGTGCTCGCGAAGCAGCTCATTAATTCTGTTCCATCCTCAGCTCCTGAGGACTCTGAGAACAGAGATGCAGGTAGAGAGCAAGCACAAGTAGTCTCAGGCAACCAAGGCCCAAATAGGTAGCCCCTAACCCTTTGAGTAACTAAAAGTAACACCAGCCTCATCTCCCTCAGCTTTGCTCTTCACTACTGTGAACTACTTTGCAAGGCCCTTCTTAGAGCTCCTGCACAGTACCTTGGGTGCTCCCCGCTGCACACTTTCTATGCAGGTCTAAGGAAACAAAACTGGACATAGACAGAAGGAATCTGGCACTCCACACCATTCAGTTTTCATTAAGGTTAAATAATTTCATGCCATATCTTTTGGTGTGACTAAATGTAATACTTGTCTACACCTTAGTGACCAAAGAGAGGCATGTGCTCCATGGTATGCACCAGATTTTCGGAGATTATCATTTTTCTTTTCTTTCAGTGTACAAGATATTTTCAAACATGTCTTTTGAGTTTTTTAAATATATCCAGAACCACTTTTTAAGTAAAACAGATACTAGTTCATCTCATTTTATGTACAAATGCTTTAACATGTGAAAATATCAATCTATGTCGTAAACTGAATAGAATATATTCTCAAAATTAATGTTGTTCTCAGTTTTTCTATTATAAGCGTTGTTAGAGTACCGAAAGAATAATTTATTTTTTTTCTAAAAATCTGAAAATTAGAATACCAACTTCTTATAAAACAATGACTGGCTTATTACAGGGACCAGAACTAAATGCTATGAAAGCTTACTCTTTAGGCTTAAAATAATTAAGAAGTGTTTATGTCTTTAAGACTGTTAATGCCATGAAATGATCAGGAAGTGAAATTGTCATTTCTTCTGTTTACAGACTGGAAAGCATCTGTAGTAGCATTTCACTAAAGTTTGCTCATGTATTTTCTTTTGTAGTGGGCAGTACTGACCTGCGGACACTGTTTCTGTAATGAGTGCATTGCTATCATTATCGAACAGTACAGTGTGGGCTCTCACAGAAGCTCCATTAAATGTGCCATCTGCCGCCAGACCACATCCCACAAAGAAATCTCGTATGTCTTCACCTCAGAGCAAGCAAGCCAAGAGGAGGACATTCCCGTGAAGGTAAATCAGTCCATACACACGACAGAAATCAGTGTCTGACCAAGGGGAGCATTAAAATCAGAAGAGAGCTGGCACAGGGAGTGGTAGAAAGCACTGTTGTCCATGGAAATCCTGCCTGAAAGCTTTGGCATTACCAGCTACTCCTTCATTGTGGGAGGATCATAACTACACTGATTCTAACGGAGTTAGCAGCAGTCAGTGCCTGCTGTGACAAAAAGAACCTGTCATCCACACCCATGATGGCAAATCTTTTAGAGCCTTCAGTGATAACAGACTGCGTCTGCAGCACGCGGGCCCTAGCTTCACCGCCACTGTAACAGTGTTTCTGTTCACTGCAGATGGATAGAATTCTGGCTTAAAGAAAGATTTCTTTAAAGAAAGCTTTCTCTTTGTTCTTTTATTCAGCCTTGGTTATCAGAGATAAAAGCATGTCCCAGCAAACTGAAGGGAAAAGTAGATTGGTTATTAACAAAGACTTCCACGAGAAAAATCTTATGTGTGTTTAAACACCATGTACTGATATTTAGAATACAAGCAAAATTTCACTTCACCTTCCTAATTTTTTCCCATGCCCATTCAGCATTTTTAAATAATTACTAATTTGAGAAATAGGATCGGAAATGGGACTTATTAAAGAGTATTTAAATGTTCAATGAAAATGCTTTATTAAACAGTTTTGTTCCTTGTTTTCCTTAAACATGCTTCTTAAAGTATTTCTAATCAAACTTGGACAAAGGACAAATCCAGATGTAAAGGCAGTGGGGAATATGGCTCAAATAGCTTGGTGAATGATGGTGTTAACTCGTCGTCAGCTCTTTCTGAGTTCCTTTAGGAGTCTTTGAACTCTTCTCACATGTTTGTGAAGGACATGTTTTGTGAGTAGCTACAACTGAAATTTGCTGCAGTTGTTAAGGTGCCACATCCCAACAAAATTAGGGTTGATTAAAGAATTTTTAATTGCTATTTTTTTCCTACGCTTGTTTGAGTAAAACTTGTAACGTAGCAGTCCCAGTGCTCTGTATATGTAAACAGAATTCAGAAGTTGGAAAAAACTTTCATCCATTCTCTCATTCCACTCATCACTGTTGAACAAATACTGTGTGGCAGGCGGTATGCTGGGCCTGACAGATGCCGCGTCTACTCCTGAATAGCGGGGGCCTGGGCACTGCCCTGATGCAGTGCATAGTTTGGCAAAGTGGTATATAAAGGCGTGATCTTGTGGAAAGAGGTTCCCAGACAGAAGCACACGTGCATGTCCACACAGGCACACACGCGCACACAGAGAGTATAGAAAGACCCTGCTGAGAATGACTCGGACAGAGCTGTGTGGCTGAAGTCAGAGAGCAGGTCTGGCATGCAGGGAACCTGTGAGCCCGAGCAGGTCACAGGTGTGAAGAGTCCACCTGAAAGTGTGAGAACTTTATTTTCACTACACTCAGAAAGCCGTTGAACTGTTATAAGCAAAAAAAGTACAATGATTAAATTTAGATTTTTAAAATTCTTCTTGCTGCAGTGTGGAGCATTGCACAGTTTAATGAGGGATAGGAAAAAAGAGTAGAAAAAAATTGGAAAGATCCGTTTAGAAAGCCACCGAAGTCCATTGGTGACTTCATGAGAGGGTAGCAGTGGAGATGGTGAAGAGCGGGGATATTCAAGAGGTGTTTAAAGTTAAGGAGAAAAATAGAGTGTTAGTGGCAAAGGTGACGGTGGAGACTCCATAGACGGCCTCTTAGTTTCTGATGTGAAAATCAGTGTATATATATACTGATAAGATTTGGAAGAGGAATACATTTAGGACATACTGTATTTGAAGTTTTTAATGTGAAGTGGAACATACAAAACTCAGAGTCTGTGACTAATGATCTTCAGAACCCTGGCATTGAATGAGATAAGCTAAGGAAAGAAATACGCTTCAGGTAATTGCCATGGCCCTTAACTTTTTAAATAAAGAGAGAAAAACTAGAAGAGCAACTAAAGAGCTGGGCAGTCCAGGATAGGATGCCACCAACCGAGGGCATAGGAACACTCTGCTTCCATGCAGAAATGGTTACCAGCTGAAGGTGATCAGCTGCTCGTAATACGGACTTCCATGGCTAGCACTGTCACTGCCGACTTCAGAAGGAGCTCTGTCAATGGAATGAACACAGAGGAGAAAAGCCCACTGGAGGGGATTGAGGAGTGAACAGGAAGTGAATAAGTGGAGACAAAAATCCCCAACTTATTCATAGATGTGGCTGTGGAGTAGAAAACCAAGAGTTGCAACCAGAGGTATAAAGTGCAGAAAGAGGATATTTTTGTTATAGTTTTGTTATATTTTTAAGAGACATAAGACTCTTAAGCATGCTTACCTTCATTTGAACAAAATAAGATAGCCTGAAGATGTAGGAAGGAAGGAATAACTGCAGCATTAAATTTCCTGAAAGGTAGGAGGGGGCTGATGAATGAAGAAGTCCGGTAGCAGCTGTAGGTTGAACTGTTGAGCAAACAAGCTATTAGGATGGATGTGTGTATGTGAACGTGGGAGAACTTGATCCAGAGAGGACAGCATTAAACGCTGTGGGCATGGTTGTAGAAGGAAGTGACTCAGATGGGGCAAGGGGAAAGGCAGGTGCTAGAAGATGAAGGGGTGAGGCATGGCTGTTGGCTGAGGTGTCCAGTGTACAGTGCATAATACTGAGAATTGAGATGTAGAGGTAAAGATTATAAATTAGGCATTAAAATTCTTTAGTGAATGAAACTTAGTTTTCAGTAAATCATAGCAAAGATTAGAGGTAGAGGTAACTGGGCTTCAGAAGGCTCAAGAGTGTGGGAAATTTTTAGAACAATGGTTTAAGTACTGACCTGAAATCTGTATCAGGAATCAGAGAAAATAATAGCAATAGTCTAATGCAAGGATTTTTAAGGATAAACCTCCTCCATTCACAAGGGCTGCTAAGAAAACAGCATGCTCAGAGGATAGCTAGGTTCTAATTAAAGTAAGAAAGTAAAGAGCAGTGTTTCCACAAGGTTAAAAAATAAGTCTAAGTTTCTTGATTTTTAGGTACAAGTTCCATGGGGCTGGGGTGGGAGGAGAAGGAGAAAAGCAGGAGGGTGAACAGGAGGAGGGAGCTGCAGAGCAGCACAGAGTAACAGAAAGGGCGAGGAAAAGGGAGGAGAGGAGACGCAAGGTTCATCTAGTCCTGATCTGTGTGTGTCCCCTGGATAAATGTGTTTGCAAGGTGGATGCCATAGGGTTGCATAGTGGAGAGGTCAGTGACCTTGTGTGCACCGTGAGGCCTTTGGTCCTACTCACCGCCCTCCTGCCCAGGCTCCTCTCTACTTTCTTCCCACTCCTGTCTTTCCCCTTCCTTGTGCTTTTCCTTCCCCTAAACGTAGTTGTTCTTAGTTGTTTCTGGCTTTTTTGTGTCTCAGCCTTTGGTCACATGTATCCCATGGCCTCAGGTGGCATCTGTGGCTACAAAGCAGCAGCTCACGGTTAGATGGTGAAATCATTTGTCACCATACAAGCAGCCAGTGTGCGACAGAACTGCTGCGTCAGGCCCAGGCAGCGAGCAGCGGGCAGATTGCTCTGGCTACCAGTAAACAGTGCGCCTCCGTGAGACCGAGTCACTGGAGTCACTGAGCCACAGGCCCAAACACCTGTTCCCTTGGTGGCAGATTCCCTAGACACCCAGCAGAGAGATGGGGCCGTTGCATTTGCTGTCCTGTTGGGACAGGCACACTATCCATTGTGCTCTTGCTTCTTCCTGCCTTCCATAGTCCTAAGGAACACATGCGCTAGGTGAAGCTCTTATTTTAGAACTATACTTTACAGGATTTGCTAGAGATAATAATTTCCCGCTTGCCCACCTAAGAGGATTATATGGTTACATTTCCTTTTTATGGAACACATGACCCAATGTTGTTCCTATTATGTAAATAAATTTTATCCTGTATTTTCTCACACTGCTCTTAGCACATTTGTGTTTGTTCTTTCCTGTCACCTTTTGTGTCTGCCACTTCTGCCTCTGTACTTTTCTGCCTAGTCCTTGAAACATCTGCTTGTTGTATTTTCATTTTTCACACCTCAGTCTTCTACATCTGAAACTTCAGCATTAAGTGGTCACGTCACCTATCTTGAAGTGGAGGAGAGTGACCCTACCTAAAAGAAAGATGAGTTCGTGTAAATAAGAAAGATGTTATTTTCAAATTTTAGAATTATTAGTTCAAATTACTGTTAAACCTAGAGGTATTTTTCTTTTATACTGTTGGTATTTTCAAACCCCTAATATTTAATAAACAGTATGGAGAATTTTTTATTTCATTAAAGTTTTTGTTTTATTTGCAATGTGTATTTCATTGAAAGTATTCATGTCAAGACTCTTGGACGTGGCAAACAATATAATGTGATTTTCTTAGTGTTTAATCATATGGTTGATACCAGATAAAAGGTATCTGGAGAATATAAAAATACTGTTGCACAGTATCCAACCTTTTTTTTTTCTATTGGTACTTGTGGAAATTATAGAGATTATAGAATGTAAAACATCTTGTCGATCAACTGCAGAAATAACATAAATATTGGGACCACAAACATTCTTTTAGTGGGTGCACTTAAGTTAAAGACTATATCTTCACTAACACAGTGTGACAGTATTCCTAAGTGACCTTTGGAACCTACTGGGCACTTCACAAAGTAAACAAAATTCCCCTTGCAAGTTCTGACAACTGCCAGGCATTTTGGATGGTGAAGTAGGCCTCTTGGCAGAACAAATGCCCCACGTGACATGTTCCCTGTGTCTTGTGTTTGGCCAGGGTTCAGACAAAGCATGTCTGCCAGTAGAAGCCCTGTCCCCATTATGGGTCAGATTCTTACATCATAAGAAGTTTCTGTCTAGGAGGAACTCTAGCACCTAGATACAGCCACGGCAAAACAGCACAAGTGCTTCGTCGTCTTAAAGCCTTTATGTATCTGATAATCAACTGCTATAATTTTAAAAATGCTCTGACTCAGTACATGTGTGATATGATCCAGGATTCTGACTGTACCAGTAAAACAGTGAAAGTCTTAAGAATTAAATTACACCCCCTGCCATTTGTAGGTAAATGAATGCAACTTGAGAATGTAATGTGAAGTGAAATAAATCAGACACAAATGGAAACACTGCTTTATTTCTTATATGAGAAACTACATTTTTTATATTGTATATATCTACATACACAAACGAGCAAAACAGAAGAGAGATAAATAGGAAGTAGGAAATTGCATAACTACAAACTCCGTAAACTACATATTTTCCTGTTTTTAAAAAATACTTCAGTATATATGCTAATTCATTTCATTTTAGTGCTTTGAAAAGAAAGTTTGTGTTATTATCTGTTTACTTCTTTTTTGTAAGAATCTTTTTGGTTTATGCCTTGTACTGAGTAACTACTTTGAAGATAATGATATACAGTGTAATAGTTAATGTTGATTATTTAGTTATAAAAAAGAAAAGAAAAAGAAAAAAATAATTTACTGTCCTCCCATCCCAAATCAAACTCTTACTTGTGTGTGGGGAATAAGAGTAGAAAAAAAAAATGATATTGACTGGCATGTGCTACCATGCCCAGCTATTAATTCACAAGAAAGAAAACAGTAGTTCAAAATACAACAAAATGTGCACAGTACAAATAGTGCTCACTTCTTTTCTCATTTTTGCCTTAACCCTGAACAATTTCACCTGTAGGACTTTCAATATAAATTAATCTTCCTACTCTGCAGCTATGAAGAAACCAGTGTGCCTGCTCTTCCTTTGATCATTCTCTCTATTATACCCTAATTTTTATAGCATCCCTTTTACTGTGCATAATACTCATACTTGATTTTCTAATTATGGACTTGTCTTCCATAATTTTCCCATGACTGCTATGCAAATGGAAAATTCCAGAGTTCTTAACACTTCTGAAAATAAATTCATTCTACCTTCACTGTAGAGGGACTGAAATTGTCCTTGATGACAGATTTCACTAGCAGTGTTTTGTTTACCCCATTTATATACAGAATATGTATTAAAATGTAGTACGAAAATTTCTAAAGCTGTGGCTTGCCTGCTGACATAAAGTAGTCTCTAAACATGAAAGTTGCTTCTGTTTGGTAAAACATAAGAATAAATATCCTCATCATGCCCATCCTGTTGACTTTTCTGGGATATTCTTCAGGGCTCCATAGCCAGTTTAGCCCTTCACTTTGTAAGTGGAGCTAAGACCATAAGCACCTGTAAATGCTGCTCAGAAAAAGGAGTGTTACGACAGATGTGACCAGATTAGGTAAACAGAAACAACTAGAAGGTGGCACAGGAAGGAGGACCGGACCGAGACAAGGGGATATCATGGGCAAGTGCCTGGCTTGAGGGCAGCGACTGGGGTGCCTTACTTCATACAAAGCAGAGGGGACGTTCTAGTCACAGCATATTTTTTCTTTTATATAAATAAGTACAAGTAACCTTTTGCTGCTTTAGCCTGCAGAGCTCTCCCTTCTGCCTTTCGTTTCTTCCCTAAAAAAGAGGTCTCAGCATACAGAAAATAGATGTGAAAGAAGTAGAGTAAAGCCAGCTCTATTGTCTTTCTGTGCCACACTCACAGATTTTACTAGTGTGTTCCCTTCCTTTTCCCAGTATGAAGACTTCCAGGAATGAATCTCAAGACTGTACTCTAGTATTGCATTGGTAAAATAGTCTTATCAAGGAGCAGAGAGAAGGACCAAATTCTAAATCTGAGGCTATTTTACTGCTTTCTTGCTAGAATTATTTTAGTTTACTAAAAAATACATTAAAGAAACAAAACCATTTTCTTTCCGTCTTTCTAATGTGTTTAATGTCTTATAGCTCAGAGTGAGGCCGAGCTCACTGTTCCAGTCAGCTTTGTCTGTCTCTCATTCAGTCTGTAGTTGACCAAAGTGAGTACCGGGTAGCGACGCAGAAAAGTCTGAAAGACTCAAATAAGTGAAGGTAGGAGATGGATGCTGTATTTATTCTGAAACTGGGTCTCGGTCATTGATGTTCCATTAACATACACACAAAGCAAGCACTGATCACAGAAGCAGGGTTGGCGGCTAGGTGTCTGAGAAAATCAGAGAGACTAACAAGAAGGGAGTGAGTAAAAGGACAAGAGCTTCAGAAGTCACAGGTACATTTAATGCTGTTTATCAACCTAATGTGTTTTTAAAAAAGGTATAGTAGTTTGATGGGCTCTCAATTCCCGTGCTTCTGCCTGCCTAATACTTACCATTCTGGGTTAACTTCGTGTCAGTGTGTTCACCGCTATGAACAAAATTAAGTCTCAGTCGGACTGAGACTACCAGTTTCCCTGTCTTATTATACTGTGTTAATACCTTGAACAAGGTTAAATTGATGCCCATATTTTTTCATCATTAATCTCCGTTGCCTTTCCCCATCCGGCCTTGACAGTTTATTACCCATTCACTTTCTCCTACTTGATAATTTTTTAATGAAGGGACTGTTTCTTTTTTGTAGCAGTGACTGTGTTGAATAGTCTTCTCAGAAACTAGCAGGTTTGGGTCCAAGTTCGTTTGCATATCTAAGAAAGAAACATTAGAAGTGCAGAATGCATATAGTAATATTTAAGATTGTATAATAATATTCATATAAATTACTTTCAGGCCAAAACAGCACTATAAATAAACTATCCTTTGTGTTTATTTTTCTCCGTTATCTGTAGTTTATAACATGCATTTGGTTGCATGTATTTGAAGATAAGAGAGCATACCTTATTTAGCTGCATTTTAATTATCAAATGAAAAATTGTATCTATCTGTGATATAGTGTGATGTTTTGATGGACATAGACCTTGTGGAATGATTGGGCCAAGCTTATTAATGTATCCAGTGCCTCAGGTAATTATTTCTTTCGTAGTGAGAACATAACAATTTTCAAGTATGCACTGTGTCACCATGCAGTGCAGGAACTCTCCAGAACTGATTCCTCCTGAGACTTTGTGCCCCCTAATATCTCCCTAATGTTTCCTCAGTCAGCCCGCACAAGTTCTTCCATGTTGTCCCAGCGGATAGGCTTTCCTTCTTTATTAAGTGTAAAGACCACCCCACTGTGTATATATCACATTTTCTTCACTCACTCATTACTTGTTGGATGCCTAGGCCAATTCCATATCTTGGTTTTAAAGACTATGCTACAACAGACATGGTAGGGTGGGTGTCTCCTTAGCATACTGATTCCATTTCCTTTGGGTATGTATTGGATGATTGATAAATATGGTATGCACTTAATTTTTTTAATTATTTAGCAGTGTCCATACTGTTTTCTGTTTGGGTTGTACAGATTTACTTTGCATCAGTACTGTACAAGAGTTCCCTTTTTTCTGTAAACTTACTAACATTTGTTATGTTTTATCTTATTGATAATAACCACTTTAACAGGTGTGAGGTGATATTTTACTGTGCTTTTACTTTGCATGTCCTTGATGGCTACTATTTTGAGCACCTTTCACATTGGCCATCTGTATGTCTTCATTTGAGAAATGCCTTCTCAGATTTTTGGCTATTTTTTTAATTGTATTGTTTCTTACCACTGAGTTCTCTAAATGCCTTGTCTATTTTGGGAGTTAATCCCTGTCAGATGTACAGTTAACACGTATTTTCTCCCATTTTATAGACTGTCTCAGTGATTTATTTCTGTACTGTGCAGAAACCGTTTCCTGCAGTAAAATTCTATTTGTTTTTGCTTTTGTTGCCTGTGCTGTCTAGGTCATAACCAAGAAAATTCTCCTATGATCATTGTTAAGAAATTTTTCCTCCATAGTTTTTCTTCTAGTAGTCTGACAGTGTCAGGTCTTACCTGTAAGTCTTCATTGCATTTTTCAGTTGATTTTGTATTTGGGATGAGATAAAAGACCTGCAGGTAACTTTCCTAGTGCTGATCATTGATGAGACTGTCCTCCTCCACTGTCGAATTTTGTTGCTTTTGTCAAAGAGCAATTGACTGCATATGTGTGCATTTATTTGTAGGCTCTCCAACCTGTGCAACAAGTCAGTGTGTCTCTTTTTATGGTAGTACCTTTCTGTTCTGATGAATGAAGACTTGTGATATATTTTGAAATCAGAGACTGCATTACCACATTTTGTTCCTTTGCTCAACACTGTCTTGGCTATTTGAGGTCATATGAAAAATGACACTGGAATTTTGAAAGGGATTTCATTGAATCTGTATTACTTTGAGTAATACACAACGTCAGTGGTGTTCATTCTTCCAATCCATGAACACCAGGTATCTTTCCACTTATTTGTGTGTTCTTCCGTTTCTTGCTTCAGTGTCTCAGTTTTCAGTGTACAGGTCTCTTTCTTCCTTCCCAACGTTTATTCACAAGTATTTTATTTTTTGATGCAGCTATAAATGAGATTGTTTTCCTTGATTTTCTTTTTAGTTTATTGTTAACAAGAAATGTTACTGGTTTTTGGATGTTGCTTTTGTATCCTGCCACATTATTGGACTCATCTGTCAATTATACAGTTTTTGTGGTAGAATCCTTAGGGTTTTCAATAGATAAGACCATTTTGCAAACAAAGAAAATTTCACTTCATGCATTCTATAAAAATACCTATTGTTTATTTCTATTACCTGATTGTTCTCCTTATAACTTCTGTACAGTAATGAAAAGAGGTGGTAAGAGTGACATCCTTGTCTTTCATCCTAAAGGAAAATCTTAACAGTTTTTACCATTGAGTATGATGTTAGCTGTGGGCTTGTCCTGTGTGGCCTTTGTGGTATCAAGGTGCAGTCCCTCTGTTCCGAATCTATTGAGAGTTCTCATGAAAGGATGTTAGTTTTGTCAAATGCTTTTTCTTCATCTCTTGAAATGATCATATGCTTTTTATCTTTCATTCTGGTAATATAGTCATCACATTTATTAATTTGTGTGTGTTCTTGCATCCCAAGAGTAAATCCCACTTGATCGTGGTGAAGGATCCTATTTATGTCTTTGTTGAAGATTGATTTGAATGACGAAACATAAACTAACGTGAAATGTAGTCAGGACTTGGGTGATATGTGAGGCAGATAAAGGTCCATCCTATCTGTTTACTTTAATTGACTGTTTCTAGACCAACCATGTTCTTTCATAACTGCTTATGGATCTTGCTTTTCATTTGGAAGTAAAGCGACACAAGCAGAGAAGAAAGAAAGTTCATTCATAAGAGCTTAATGTGGTAGGGGTTTATTTTTCTGAAGACTGGAAACCAAAGCTCATAAGGTTGGTGAGCTTATTGAACTCTTCTGTTACAGCTGACAAGTAGATGAAAAAAGAAAAATTAACATGGATCATCCGGGAGAGACGGTACCATCCTTCTTTTAATACCAGTCCCAGCGATTTCATCGTCCCGTATCTAACACAGAATCCACCATACAGTGTGTTCTGTATTAGGTCTTACTCTCTTTTCTTTCACTACCACTCTTGTCAAAGTCTTACCTTTTATAAGTGGAAAGCTGAAGAGATTAATTATAAGATTTGATTTGCCTATTGATTATGTGAATAAATTAAAAATATGTTTTAAATTGTATTCTTATTTTCTTTTATTTTTATAGTGTTTAGTTAGCACATTACTTTGTTTACATCTGCCTCAATCTGAGTGTACCACCATCACTGTCCATTTTAAGAAATTATTCTTCATTGGTTGAATCCTCCCTGGTTGCTTATTTTGGAGTTTCGAATCCCGTAACATCTGAAATAAGTGAGAATAACTGGTAACTATAAAACATAGCTACTTAATGAAAAAAAAATTCTTATCTTTGCTCTGTTATTGTATGACTTTCTGGTTATGCCTTTATATTCTGTTTTCTCTGGGAGAATATTCCATAACTTCTACAATTGGAAGCTAAAGAAAATTTCCAGAAAATGTGAAATAAAAAAGAAAATGCTTATGTACCTGCTCACTGGTGAATTTTGATCATTTCTTCCCCATTCCTAACAGGGTTTTCTTTGGTAATGCTGTGTTTTCTTCTTTGTGTTCAAAGGGCAGCCACTCTACAAAAGTGGAAGCTGTGGTCAGAACTCTCATGAAAATACAGCGAACAGATCCAGGAGCTAAATCCCTTGTTTTCTCAACGGTACAGCCTCTCTTTCCCTCTGTGAGACTAACTCAAGCCCTTTTCCTGTCTCTAATTTTATGTCTGAGAACTAATTTCTAATGTTTGCCCTACTATAGTTACTAATTAGACTTACTGCTTAGATTTTTTTCATATTCAATTTTTTTACATATCCTTAAGATAGAATTCTTTCTAGAGAAATTAGATAACACTTTACAAGGCAGTTTCTGTTTTACAGTTTTATATTAATTTCATTTAAAGATATTACTACTTTAATATCTTGAAAATTGGGATATATAACCTTGAAAGTTTTATTTCACAACTGAATTTGGTTGTTTAAGAAAATTATTGAATAAAGAATAGAATAAATCAACAATTTTCATTTTTGAAAGGTAAACAAATCCACTAAACAAATCCACCATTTTCTATAATTTATCTTAAATTTTCAAAGATGTTCATGTTTTTATTCTATTTTTCAACCACCTTTTGATGCAAAGAAGTTATCTTACAGCTCAGCTAAATAATATTGATAGTACTGCATTTGAAGGTTTTGTTTTATTACTTAAATCTGAATTTTAAAAGTTACTAGGATTTTTAATCCTCTTGAATCCTCCTAGATAAAAGCTATGTGTAAATACTGAGTTTCTTGTGTTTTATGTGTTCTAGTGGCAAGATGTATTAGATATTATTTCAAAAGCCCTTACCGACAACAACATGGAATTCGCACAAATCAGTCGTGTTAAAACATTTCAGGTATGTCATTATTTCACTCTTGTATATTGTAATGAATTCACTATAAACCCGGACTGCAAACTAGCTTACTTGTGTTAGTGTCATGTGTTACACAAGTTCCAGAAGTGGGATTTGAGTTCTTGACTAATACTAAAGTTAGCATTTTAAAGCATAGTTTAAAAAAAAAAAAAATCGGTATTCTCAGTCTTTGTAAACAGAATCTTTAATGTAGGAAGAGACTGCATACAATATACCTTTTGAACAGGGCCTTGGAGCCCTAGGATTAAGTTCTGTAGACTGTGTGTCAGGCGGAAGTACCCTAGTCAGCATTGTTCTCACCTCACTTTCAGCACAGTGACAGGGCACAGCATAAGGCACACACACGCATACACAGCTTAACAGATTCGTATTTCTTTTTTTTTTTTTTTTTTTTTGTTTGTTTGTTTGTCTTTTTTTATCGGTACCAGGGATCGAAATCACGACTGTCTGCTTGCAAGGCAGGCGCTTATGCCGCTGAGCTAAATCCCCAGCCCCAAGATTCATATTTCTTATCTCACATCACTCTAGCACACTTTTCTTTCTTGTAAGCTCATATAATTTATGTATATCACATGCATTTATCTTGTGATTTCCACTATATTTTATAGAACACAAGAGAACTTAGATAATTTTCCTCACAGTGAAATACAAGCAACAAGTTTCCATTTTATTGGAATAATTAAAATATTTAATTAAAATGTGCCTTTCTCTTTTAGGAGAACCTATCAGCGTTTAAGCATGATCCTCAAATCAATATTTTGCTGCTGCCCCTGCACACAGGTTCTAATGGATTAACTATCATTGAAGCAACACACGTGCTCTTGGTGGAGCCCATCCTGAACCCTGCCCATGAGCTGCAGGCCATTGGGAGGGTGCACCGAATTGGACAGACCAAGTAAGAGCAAGATCGGCATCAGCCAGGTGCCAGATCGGCACTTCAGCTCTTCATTTGTGTTCACTGTAGCCTGTTGGTTTTAAGCACAGGTTAAACATCCATTATCTACAAGTTTTGGGATCAAAAGTATTTCAAATTTCAAATTGTTTTCAGATTCTGGAATATTTACATATACCTAAGGAGGTATCTTAAGGATAGGGTCCATATATAATAATGAAATTCCTTTATATTTACCTTACAACATAACCTATCTGTGATAATTTTACAGTCGTTTTAGTTTATGTGGGTTTTGACTATACTCCATCACATGAGGTCAGGTGTGGAAATTTGTACTAGCATCATGTCCAAATTCAAAGAATTTTGGATTCTTTGGATTAGAAATGCTCAACCTGTTCTTCCTTATTCAAATTTTAAGCATTACTATATGACCAGTGACCCTCTGTGCACTAGAGAGTCAAGGAAGACTTCATTAGATTGAGTCTTGAAAGAATAATTATTTCAAAGCTGGGTTAGAAAAGAGTGTTCCTACAGCCAGAGAGATTCCCATGTATACATACAGAGATGATAATCAACCTGACATCTCTAGGGACTGTACAAATTTGAAATTGCTAAAGTATGAGAAAAAGACTGGCAGGAGATGAAGTGTTCCATGTGAGACTTGGAAGTACGTAAGCAGTAGCCGTGAGAACACGTAGAAAATTTTAATTTTAAGTGGGAAGGAGACCTGTCCCTCAAACAAACTCTTAACAAGATACAGCAAAGTGGCTTAACTCTAATAAATGCAGGCTTAATACAGTTTATCTTAGATTTTTTTTTCTTTTTTGCTTTATGCTATCTTAGTAAACATTAACTTATCCCACCAGTGTTTTTCTAAAACTGAGACTGGACTCATTTCAGATTTAAAATCACAGGTCTTAGATTGTGTGGATTTTTCTGCTTCCTGAGGAGACTGTAAGTCTTCTGCATCTTTCTCCCCACTGATGATGATTTTGCCTCACATCAAGTAAACAGATACTATCAGAAGTGTCTCATCGTTCCATCATCAGCTTGCACTCAGCCTGCATCAGTCCCCGGGTACCTCACTCATTAGAGTTTTGTTGACCACTTTTTGTGAGCAAGACACTGTTGTAGGTAGTTGTAAGATGGTTGGCAGAGAGACAGCTCCTACACAGTAAGTATATAAAAGAACTAAACTGGTACATCAGGGTGAGGGAGATTAAAGGTCCAGGTGTGGGCTGGAAGATCTTGTTGAGGGAATAACGTGAACAAAGATTGAAAAGAGATGGACAAGTTAGTCATGCAGGCACCAGGGGCAAGAATGTCTCAGAGGACAGAGCACTCCGCGTGCCTTGTGCATATGAGGAACAGCAAGAAGCCAGGGTACTGCAGAAGACTAAGGCAGGGACGAGAAGTAGGGCATGAAGTCAGGGGACTTCAAGGATGGGAAATCCCACTGGGCCTGAGAGGCCTTGTGAGGACAGTACTCTCACCTTGGGTGACAAGGGACCCATCACAAGGCTTTGAGCAGAGCAGTAACTTGGGCTAACTCAGGACCTGAAGGAGCCATTCTGAGTGCTGTGTTCAGACCAGGGGGAAGGGGATCAAGGCAGCATGGAATCCTGGAGCACACTGGAGGCCATCGTAGCCGCATGGTAGAGGGAAGACCGTGCTGGGAATGAGGCTCGTGCCGAGAAGTGGTCAGGTCTTCTTATATTTTATGTTGTGGCACTGGGGGATGAACAGTGACCTGCATTCCCAGCTCTTCTTCATTTTTTATTTCAAGACAGGATCTTACTAAGTTGCTAAGTTGTCCAGGCCAAACTCAAACTTGCATTTCCCCTGCCTCAGCCTCCCAGTCTGCTGAGATTTCAGAGGTGCCACCTGCCCAGTTTCTGGTTATGTTTTGAAGATCGAACTGGTATTATCTCTGGACTAATGGAGATGGGATGTAAGACAGTCAAGAGTAACACCCTGAGCTTTGGCCTAGATGATTAGAAAGATAAAAAGCCTGCAGATTGGCCAGAAAAGAATACCATAAAACAGATTTGGTGAAAGAAGAACAGAAGTTTTCTTTCAACGTAAGTGTAAGATACTTATTAGACATCCAAGTGGAGGTTTCTGTTCTGCCCTTGCATATAAAAGTCCAGAGTTTAGGAGAGAAGTGTGGGCTTAAGGTACAAATTTAGAGGTCAGAAGCAGGATATGGGACTTTTAAGTCAAAAGAAGGAATGGAATTTCCTAGCCAAGAGGACCAAGAACAAAATTCAGGGCATCCCAAAGTTAAAGGCCTTGGAAGGAGGTACAGTAATAGATGAGCAAAGGCCGCAGATCAATCAGTGAAGTGGACATGACCAGCTGTGCTGTGTGCTATCAGAATGTCAAGATAAAAATAACTCATCATTGTGGTTTGATCATTAATTTTAGCAGTATGAAGACTGAAACTAGATGCAGTGGCGTAGTAGAAGTAAGAGTATAAGAATGGGATTCTGTGTATGCTAATTTAACAAACACGTACAGTGAAGAGAGAGCAGGTGACTGGCACAGGGTTGAGAAAGTTGTGGCAGATGGAGGGCTGCAGTCCGTGACTCAGACACAATCCCTGCCCCTTCGGTGTAGCCCCTGGCTTCTGGACTTGAATGAGTTTTGCTGTGGAGAAAAGGAAGCGACTAAAATCAACACAGACTTTTTTTGTCCTTCCAAATGGGAGAAATAAGAGAATGACTCCGTAAAGGTCAGAACAGCTAGGGAAGAGAGGGAGAAGCATGCTGGATCAGTGTCCTTGAGAAGGGCGGCGGATACAGGACCCAACATTGGAGTGTGGGCTTGGCGTCAGTAAGAGCATGCATAGGTCATCTCTAGCAGTGGTAGGAAGGCACAATGTATGCCTTGCCTTGTATCATGAAGCAGTGTCTCTTTGCTTTCCACAGCCAGCCACTCCTTTGTCCCATCTGTTCTCACATTCTCAAGGACTTTCCTCTAGTAATGTATCACTGGACAAATATATCTTAACATTATTCATTTATAACATCTTCAATGACAGGCCATAATTTGTATGTCTCACTGCCAGGCAGTACTGAGCCACTAGACATATGTATGTGACTATCTCAGTGGGCAGCATGGGATAGGCCCATTGTGTGGGTTGTATCACCAGTGGGTCAAGCCAGCAGGAACGTGGTAGTTAAAAATAAATTTTTACTCCTCTACTTTCCACTTCTTCCTCCAGCTCCTGAAGGCCCCATTCTTTCCCTGCTTTTCTATTTGGGTTTTTTTGGGCTTACCATACCACTGAAGTGAAGGTCATAACTGTATTAATGACCTACTTCTTATCAGTCCCAGGGCTGTAAGTATAGAGTGATATGTTTTCTTTTTATGGAGATGCACCTCTGTGTCCTTTGACCTGGAAGTGCCCATTTAGCTCCTCCTTCTGCTTCATATATCCAATTCTCTGTACCTGCATCCATGGACTCAGCCTTCCCTAAGGTGCCTACTACCTTAAGTTTAACATGGGCAAATCGCACCCTCCCAAACATCTCAAACCCATCCCAAACCTTGCTCATCTTAGAATCTGATGCTATAATAGTTGACTCAAATAAGAAATCTAGGACCCTTCTATTATTTAATTTGTCACAACTCACAGCCAAATTATCATTTAAGTCCTGTCCACAACTTCCAGAAGACTCCCAGATCTACTGATTAAGTACTGTCTCCACTCATACAACCAGAGTACAACCCAAACTCTTACCTGCAGGAGCCCAGAGCTTTTAACTAGCTCTTCTGCTTCCGCCACAGCCAGAGGGTCCAGCTCCTGGTCATGTCCTGAGAACACCAGTGTGCTCTGGCCCCCGCCTGTCCCTCCAACCTCGTTGTCACCCATCTCCCTCCTAAACAGTAACACACCAGCTTCCTGTCAGCTTCCTACACATTTTAAGCTTTCTCCAAGTATGTTCTCTTCCCAGGAACCTATCTTCCTTCTGTTTGGATGCTTTTCCTGCCCCTCTCTGGCTCCTGGCTTCATCTCCATCTCTCATATTCCAGCTTATACGTTCCAGCTTCTTGTGATGTTATCTCTGCGTGAAACTGTCTGACCTCTTTGTTCACTGTACCTTTCCCCACTGGAGGGTGGGTTCGTAGAGATCACAGCGCTGAGCTGCCCTCCACTCAGGCGCAAGGGTGAGTGCCTGCCACGAGTGGGTACCAACTAACTGGTGAACACTGCACAGAAAATGCAAAGTCAGTTCCCATGGTTTTTTATTTGAATTTCTCTTCTATTGGTCATATTTTGATACATGTTTACAATTGTATTCACCTCAGGAGGTACATATTCCAGCATTTACTGTTTAGCCATTGTGAGTTGTGCCGCTGAACACATGGGTGTGCATGTTTCGTTATAATATGATGTCTTTAACTCTTTTAGGAAATATCCGGAAGAGGTGTAGCTGGGTCAAATGCAGTTTCTATTTCAAGTTTTCAAGGAGTCTCTATACTCCTTGTGCTAACTTACATTCCCATCAGATATGTAAAATAGTTTTTCTCCATAACCGGCCAGCATTAGTTGTTTTTTGTCCTTGATAATTGTTTTTCTGGAGTAAAATGAAGTCTCAGTGTTGTTTTGATTTACATTCTCTAATTGCCAAAGATGCTGAACAGTTTTAGTGTGTACTTACTGGCCACTTTTCTTTTGAGAAGTCTATTAGTTTAATGTATTTTTAAATTTGCAATTGTTTTGTCTCTTCTAGGCCTACTATTGTACACAGATTCTTAATTAAAGCAACAATAGAAGAGAGAATGCAGACAATGCTGAAAACTGCGGAGAGGAGGTAGGGGCCATTTCCTGTCAGTTCCTGCTGCAAGGTTTTCCTGTTCATTTACATAGGTGGATGTGTTTGTCACTAAGAGAGCAACAAAAGATACTAATACAAATACTTTTGTGAAATAAGGAAATCCATTTTACCTATCTGGTGTTTCCCAGTTAATGATCTGCCACATTCTATATTTCAGTTATGTATAGGCTGTAATATGTAAAAACATTTTCTCACACTTTCTTTACCACATTGAGTTACTTTTTAAAGAACATGTCTGGGGGTGCAGTACAGGGGGGCATTGTGGAACTAGGGAATGAACCAGGGCCTTCACACTGAGCCACATCCCCAGCCATTTTTATCCTGAGACAGCATCTCACTACATTTCCCAGGCTGGGCTCAATCTTGTAATCCTCCTGCCTCAGCTTCGTAGAATGTAGGGTTAGAGCTCTATAAATGGGACTGTTAAGTATATATCCTTTGTGATTCCAAAGTATATACCCCTTGACCTGGAAATGCCCATTTAACTCCTGCCTCCGCCTCATAGATCCAGCTGTCTCTGTACATGCATCTAGGAATTCAACCTTCCCCTAGGATGCCTAGCTAATAAATGTCTTCAACTGCATACACCACTAACTGGATTAAATAAAATATATATAGGCCCTACCTAAGCCTTAGTTTTATACACATAAAATTCAACTTGTGTTACTATGTAGTACTGGTTAGTCGCTTCCAAATAGGAAGTTTAAAATATCTGAAGTTTAAAACTTGGCTGGTGAGTGTGATATTGATCCAGAAACAGAATAGAAGCAAAGAGACCAAAACAGTCTTAGTTTTAAGATTTGGCTTTGAAATTATTTAGCTTTCTGATATATATGCTATAAGTTTTCTTTAAAATCATTTTGAAACAAACTGGTAACTTTTACCTCTGTGCGATAGAATTGGAAGTAACCCAGTGAGAGGTGCCTGCCTATAGGGAGAGTTTCACAGTTGCTCTGCATAGAAGAGAAGTGGGTGAGCGAAACCCTCCTGTCAGTGGTTACAGGCAGGAAGGGCTTCCAGCAGACAGGAAGACACTTTCATGTTGCAGACCTTAGTGACTGCATTTAAGGCAAGTATATTTTAAAAAGCAGTTAGAAAAACTGCTGAAATTCTCTTTAAGCTCGTGAGCTTTTCATGGTCAGAGGTAAATTATAAAGTGTGACTCTTACAACAAACTTTACAGGGGCCTTCTTTTTTTTCTTCTACCTTTCTTTTGTCTTTTCTTCTGTCCCTCTTTCTTCCTCCCTTCCTTTCTTCTATCTTTCTCTCCTTTGTTAGAAAAAATATTGAATGACAAAGCCAGGCAATAATGCCTAGAATCTTCGCCTGCTTTCTTCCAGGAGGTTTGTGTTTAGGCCCATTACAGCAACTTAGGACCACGTGTGTCTGGTCTTTTATTATAAACGCACTGACTGATTTCTTGTGCTTTCTTTCTTCCCCGGCCCCACTTGCAAATGCACCCTCAGTCACATGAACTCATCAGGGAAGCATTCGGAGGCCTCCGTCCTGACCGTGGCTGACCTGGCGGACCTGTTCACCAAAGAACCTGAAGAGCTCGAGTGAACCCCGCGCACTTCATTCCACACTCACACGTGCATTGGCAGACTCATTCCACACTCACTCACATGTGTATTGGCAGACTTTCATAGCTATAGAGAGAAAAATGGTATAAGTTTTTTAAAACTCCAGTAGATGTCAGTAAACACTTACTAGTCAAATAAATTTGTTTCATTTTTTTGGTTATACTATTTTTTGGTTATACTATTTTTGAACGTTTTTCAATTTGCCACTTTCAAAGATCTATAAAGATTTTAAATTTTCCAGCCCTAATAAAATATGTAGTTTTATTCCAAAGAATATCCAATGAGGCAAAAGAATTAAGAGAGGTAATGAATACTTTTCTTTTGATAAGGAGCAGTCTTTAAAAGAGGTACAATAAGAAAGGCAATTAGCCTAGTTCAGTGTGACCTGGTATATTCAGCCATATAGATTTCTTGTTTGGAAGGGTCCACAGTGTCTTTAACACATGAATTATCAATAAATGTCTTGTCAGTAATATTTAAGTAGATGCTAAACTATAAGAACTCCTAGTTATGTAAGTTTCAACTATAATATCTTGCATAGTAACTTCACAGTAATTCAGCTTCTAATAATAAATTAATGGTAGGCAACTCTCTTCTCTGCATCTTGCTACTAAAAATCAGAATACTGAAAACGTCATGTTTTTCTTCTGTGTGTTAAGTGGTGTCAGTGTTAAGTGGTAAGCTCTAAACAGCATTTGACAGTATATTATTTACCTTACAATTAACTTTCAGAACTCTTAATTTTTTATTATGTTTTTATATTTTTGATTGATATATCTGTAAATATTGCAGTTTTATGATTATTGTTCAAACCATTAAAACATGGAACTATGGCAGTTTTTTAAAGCATTATTGTACTGATGTCTTGGATTGTTTTCCTTTCCTGTGTTCTTATGAGCTATACATTTTAACCACTAATACCTAAATTTATGATAGTTTTTTATTTCAGTTGTCATTCTTTCCTGAAGTACTACCATTTGTTTCAACAAGAGAATGCTTTGTTCACATAAGCAAATAATTGTAGTGATGAAAACCAAGTGTTAATTCTTCTGTGAAGAGTTAATGGGCTGTGAAGTCCCTCGTGAGGAGTAGCTCACTGAATCCTAGCCATTTGACATAACACAAATGCTCTTGTTTTGATTTGCTTTCTTTGAGCCTTCAGAGTTTAAATGGCCTTCAGGACTCATTAACTCCTACTTAGCTGCCCAGAAAACTGTAATAGAAATATCCACTGAACCTCCTTCACCAAGAGGCTTTGGTGCTTAGCAAAGGTGCATTTTCTTACTCCAGGTTTATAGTGTGACATAATTCAGCTGAAGGAAACACATTTCTGGTGCTTACTCTTCAGTTGAAGGGAGGTGTGCATTGATTCTTTTATATAAAATTAAACAGAATTATTATTTTTGTAGCTCTTTACATATTATAAAGAGCTTTACTGTACATCTGTGTGTTTATTTTTCCGAGCAACCCTCTGAACTTGGTGTAACTAATATCATTCCTATTCTAACAATAAAGAGCAGAGGTTCAGAATACTGAGAAACCTGCCTATAACATGCAGCAAAAAAACTGGAGCTCAGCACCCCTGAGTCCAAATCTCACGCTCTTCCGCTGAACCCGAGTGACGCTGAGATTCACAAGGCCCCAGCTGTGCTTTAATAATGAAACTGTTTCAGTATCGCTTGTTTGCTGTCTACTATTCATTCATGTGTGTGTTTTAAGGAAAACAATTTGATATGCTTCAATTTTGTAAAAATATATATATACACATATAGATATACTGATCTGTATTAGAGAAAAACTACTCTTATTTATTTCTGTAAGGTATCTTTAATTAAATAAATATTTTAGCGGAAATTGAAACTGTGGAATTGTTTCATTTCTAATCCATGGACCGTATGGATTTTCTTGCCGTGACAAATGATGTCAAAATTATTCTAAAGAATTCCCTATTTTTTATTTTATTTTACTTGTACATGTTTGTAGTACATCAAGTTTATGTTCATCTTAGGGAGGAGGTATGTGTATTTACCATTTCTTCATTTTTTTCCCTTTCTCTTTCCACTCACCTTCCTCCCTCCATCTCTAGATTTCCTATGCCCATTTTTATTGTTTCTATTTACTAGTTCTTTGTAGTTCATGATTGCTATGTATAATGATCGCATTCAGGCTGGGCGTGGTAGCCTGCACCTGTAACCCCAGCACTCGGGCAGCTGTCACAGGATGATTGCTGCGAGTTCGAGTCACCCTAGCTACAAAGTGAGCTCGAGGCCAGCCTGAACTGCATAGTGTACCCTGCCTCAAAAGGACAAAAACACACTCATGTGCATGACACATTTTAAGTCTTTTTGCATCCACTTCTTCTGCCCTATTCCCTCACTCTCAGTCTCTTGGACCCTTCCCATTTACAAAAAGATACCCAGATTCCTCTCATCAGGTTTTTATTTGGCTTTTTTTTTTTTTTTTTGGTACTTTGCCTTCTCAAATGGGAAAACCATAAGGTATTTAAGCTTGTGTGTCTGATTTATTTCACATAACATTGTTTTTCATGAATCCATCTTCCTACAAATGTCTCGTTTATCCTTCTTTATAGCCAAGTATTGTGTATAGATACCACATTTTCCTTATCCATTCTTCTGTTGATGGACATACAGGTTGCTTCTAGGACTTAGCTGTTATGAATTGTGCTGCTATCACTGGTATGCATGTGTGACTATAATATGATGTCTTTAGGCTTTTAGGAAGACACCTACAAGCAGAATATTTAGGTCAAATGAAATTTCTAGTTTTAGGTTTTTCAGAAAACTCTATACTGACTTCCACACATTGTTGGCAAATGTATATGTTACTTCTTCAGAACAGTTGTGATGAAAGTTTTTCCAGTTCAAAATAAATACAGATTAGTGACATGGTGGCACTGTAATCCTAGCACTTGGGAGGCTGAAGCAGGAGGCTTGCCATGAATTTGAATAGCAAGGCCTACCCGAACTATATATGACCTAGTTGCAAGCAACAAAAACAAATACCAATCTAACCCTCATACCATCTTTGCCTCCAAAGAACCTTTGGAAATGCAAAAATCACCTGCACTTGATAAATGACTGAAGTCCAACTGAAATTCAATAAAAGTGTTTCTCATTTTCCTAAAATTTGGCTAACCACATTCCCAAAATAGTATACCATTTTATACTTTTTAACTGGCCCCCCAACATAAAAATCAAGTATCACTGCAATGGATTTTGAGCAATGCATTTTGAGCTTGCCCTGTCTAATAAAGGAAATCTAATCTTTGCTAATCTATCTTCAAAGTGAGTGGATTGTTTTATAAAATGTTGTTTGTAAGAATTTTTTGTGCGCCTCTACTGTGAATCCCATGTGAATTTGCATCGCATGGGAGGGCTATGAACTTTGCAACCTTCCTGTTTGAGATAGGCTGTGAAATTGATAACCCCAGAGGGAATTCAAGTATTACAATAGTATGTGTGACTGTCTCTGAGTTACAGAACAGATAGTATCATGTACAGAAAGTAGCACAAGAACTTGGCAGGAACCAACAGCCAGCTCCAGCCTTCCTCTGCCTTCAGCCATTGGGGGATCTTTAGAACTCTGAAGAGCAGAGGTCCCACGTGTCCCTTGCATCCTATTCCATTGTTTACTATTAGTAATACAAGACTGACTTTGTTGTTTGAAAATGATTTGTTATGTTGAAAGCAAACCTTTCATATTTCAGGCTATTTCAGCAAAATAAAAAGGATTTAAGTAGTCTCCACAATCTATGTAATGATCCCTGTACTGTGTAAAAACACCTAATTGCTTTTTCTTTCCTTTCATCCTCTATTCCATCTTTCAGTATTCTCTTCCTCTTTGGTTTTGAAACTCTGTCTTGTTGCTGAAAAAGCAACAATCACCGTTACATAGGAAGGACCCTGTCAGGCCTTGGCTACAAATTGCTAACCTGGAATCAGTGCATTAGGGAGAAAATGGTGCACAGATGCACTTCAAAGGGTAAACTGAAAACTTCTGCAGATTCTGGCAGCTCCCTAGAGAAAATACATCATTGGTCAGATTCTTAGGAGGACGCAAGGCCATATGCAAGCGCTTTCCAAGTATGACCCTTGGAAGTTCCTGAGATTCAAGAGAGTCTGAAAAACCCTAAGATTTCTTCACAGATATCAATGAAACCCACCTGCTCACCACATTTATGGAAGAAACAGATAATATAAGAATCTGATTAATGTTCTGAGAGAACATTAAAGAGATTTGCAAAATTGTAGAGCAATTCTGTTTTCCCTAAGTTGTTTCTTTGTTGTATTTTGGGAAAAAATCATTTTTATTTAAGATATTCCTATTATACATTAATATGTAATGATTTTAGTATTTTGATGAGCTATTTTAATATCTCATGGAAAATAGATGTAAGTATAGCCAATTCAAAACAAAAGCTAGAGCACACCATAATTTTGAAGCATGAATTTCTAGGCCTCAAAAGTTGAGAAACGCTGTTTGTTTTTTAAATCATTTTCAATTTATATTCATCAAGAGCAAGAGACTAGCATAAATTCTTCTTGCCAAACTTGTAGCAGGTTGCTGTATGAACATTGTTACTAGTGAGAACAAAAGCCTATTATAGAAAGAAAACTAACTGCACAGCAACAATATAGACAAGTTTGGTAGACTTTGTAACAAGGAGTTCCATTTAATTTTAGAGGGGGGAAATGAAAAGGTTGAGGTTGCATGTAACATCCTTTATAGCATCTATGTGAATGGAAAATAATGATATTCTGTGACCATAAAAATAATACTGTGTCACCCACCAGTAATCAATTTTCTGTGTCAGATTATCCAGTTTATGGTTCATGTTATTAAGCTACTCATCTCTGTATCACTCAGAATTTCCCAAATGAAAGTAAAAATCCATGGCCTGTTTCTTAATGATCTACATGGTCATAATCCAATCAGTTGAAGATCGTTAAGAACAAAATGATGCTTGTAGAGAAAGAAGAAGTGCAACCTATGGATAGTTCCTGCCTGAGCTCCAACCTGCCCTTCCTGGTGACTTACCTTCCAGATTGCGGACTTCCTCAACTAGCCTCCACAACCATCTGTATTGCTTATCTTAGTAACTTCTTAGTGTGTATCTGCAACTATTTTTGATACTGTGGGCAAATCCTGACTGGTAATCACCGTCAGAAAAATCTTCCAAATGTGCAAGACAAGTTACTTAAACCACAGGATTTTTACTTGGCAAATGTGTACTGTTTATACTGCACCTTTTAAATAACATTATAATGTTCCTAAGGAAACATACTCAAAAGTGTTCAGGCATGACCCATACATAAAAAGAATGAAAGCTGTATGAAAAAAAAAAAATTTGAGATACTAGCGGTTGGAACCCAACCCATGAATTTGGGAATAAGGAAAGCACAATTTAACCTGTAACTATACCTCAGGAAAATGAAACCCCATGTGCACATAAAAACCTGTATGTAAATGTTTATAGCAGCATTGTTTATAGTAGATAAAAATAAGCACCATCCAAATCTATCTTGGTTACTTTTCTCTCATCATTGAGACAAAATACCTGACATTCAAGGAACAAAAAGTTTATTTAGCTTACAGTTTTTGGAGGTTTCAGTCCATACTCAGCTGGTTCCAAGGCAGTGTGGTGTGGCAAAGGAGCAACCATCATAGCTGCAGCAAGTGATAAGAACAAAAAGGAAAAAAAGGGGAAAAGTACACCTACTTCCTGTCCTTATATTGTATGCCAGCACCCTACCCCTGAGTGGGTACAGCACTCACACTGCCAATCACAGCACAGACAATAAACCAATCACAAACACTAGACTCAGCCGCCTCCATGACTGCATGAGGCTTGGGGGGTCCATCCAAACATAAACCATAACAAAATCCCTATCAAATGATACATGTATAATAAAGTTATGTATTTCCAATATATTATTTGAGCAAAAAGAAATGAAGTACTGATACATGCCACAACATAAGTTTTGAAAACATGCTAAATGATTAAACCAGTGATATAGTACTGTATGCTACTATTTGTCTGAAATGACTAGAAGAAGCCAATCTTTAATGATAGGCACATTAGTGATGGCCCTCCTCTAGAAAAGGAACTGGAGTAACTACTAATGCATACAGGGTTGCTTTATGGAATGATGAACATGTTCCATACTTACTTTGTAGTGATAGTTGAAGCTCTGTGAATATACTAAAACCACTGAAATGTATACTAACTGGATGGATTTTATGATGTGTAAATTATATCAATAAAGATGCAGTATTTTTAAAATTTATATGCACAAAGCTTCATTTTTAAAGTCACTTGTGGTTTTCTTATACAAGAAATTGCTACCCTGCCATACAAACGATAAGCTAAATGGATGCGCTTTGAGAAAATACTCTTAAGTGCAATAAATCAGACACACATGTTAAAATACCACCTTGTTTCTCTGGTGTGAGAAACTGAAAGTATAAATAACAACTAAAATGTGTAATAAATATCAGGAAATGAGAAGAAAGTGTTCAAATGAGAAGGGGGAAAAAGAGGGTAAGAAAAAAGGGACAAGAAAAAAATAGAAGGGAAAAAAGGAAACAAACTTTTGTAAATGGGGAGGAGTTGGAGGGAGAGAAAGGAACCGGGTAAAAAGAAAAATATATCATTTAGAAGTACAAATTCTCTATGATGAATTTTAGCATTATGCATATCTAAAATATACCAATAAAAAATAAGTTTAAAAGTAATAAGTCACTAGGCATGCAAATGTTTTGGCAGAGGCCATTATAAATGAAAATGAGACAGATGGTCTTCCAAATATGTGGGTCATATTGTAGAGAATATTGTACTCTGGATCTGTGAATCTTATTGATATCTGACAACCACAATTAAAACATTGCTTCTGGAATTGCTGGCTATAATTGATTCTGTGCTGAATTACTTGCCACAGAACTGAAATGACCAAATAATGCATGCATGAAGTTCTTAGACATGACAAATAGCTGACTGCCATCTTTTAAACCCTCTCTAGTACTTCTAATATTCTTAGCTAGTGCCTCCATATGGAACATTTTCCAGTTCTGGTAAACAATCAAATAACTTTTTAACTCAAGTATTTACTAACAAAGCATGCAACCTCAAGGCAGTGTGTTCTCATCCCAGAAATAAACCCTAAGTGCCAATCTTCCTCCTTGTACAAGGACTATCAAAACATAGAGCTGACAGCCCCTCCCTGTGTTTACTGCTTTATTGCTGGGAAGTAAGCACAAGGCCGTCTCTCCTAGGAGCAGGGATGGGGAAACTTCCACAATGCATCTTCCCCTAATCCCTGTTTTGGTATTTTATGTAAAATGCACTCCTTCTTGAACAGTCTTCCATTTCAAGTCCTCTATTTAAATCAGTTCAACCCCGAAGCAACTTAATTTTATCTTCCATAGGTTTCAACTCTAAAGAGAAAGCAAAAAGGTAACCAAGATGAAAGAGAATGTAAATGGTCAATAACATCTTACCAGCTTACTATTGTTGAAAGAACTAATCATTTATTTCATGACCTCTATAGCTCGCTGGACATATCAGATACGCATAAGAATGTCAGTACATGACAACAATTACTTTCAATGCATTCCCTTAAAGATGAGCTCTAAATTATAGCTATATTGAAACATTTAACAAAATCATGCAACAAACTGAAAACACAAGACTATTACTAAGAATATGTATGAATTATCAGGAACAACATAATCATTACCTAGGGCTGAATAAAAAATCGCCTCCAAATTAATGACTTTTTTAAAAAAATCACAATTTATTTACATCTGTCATGATTAGTTACCGATTAGAAATCTGGTAACAACTGATGAGGTTATGAATGAAGGCAGCTTCAGGCTTAACTGGAACCTGCTCTGCTTTTAATTTCAGACATACATTTGTTGCATCTGCCCTACCTCACTACAATGTGGGCTTTTATAAAGATCCTTTTCTACATAAGATAACATTTACAGGTTCCATGATTAGAACTTGGCTACAGTTTGGAGTTTCCACCCACATTTACGTGTTAAAGGCTTGGTCTTGAGCTTGGTGCTATTGAGAGAGGAACACTAAAAGATGTGGCCTTTGGTCACTGAAACGGATGGTGGATTCCAGTCCCATGCATGCTATCTTTCTACCTCTTGCTGCCATGATGTATATCACTCTGCCACTGTGATATACTTTGCTACAAACCCAAAGCAATGGGCCAACCGATCCTTGACTGACACCTCCAAAACAGTGACCCACAATAAACCTTCCCCCCCCCGTATGTGTCAATTTATCTCAAATATTTGGTATTGTTTATTCGCCCTACTACTGTGTAAAAGAGGGATGAGTTCAAGTACTCAGTGAAGGCAAGTTTTCGGGCTATAAACCTCCAGTTAGTGACAAGTCATGAACACGTTGCTGGGTATACCTGCTCATTTGAGCATAGGAGGGCTGAAGAATGAAAAAGGCTAACCATAAGGACGCAAAAAAAAAAAAAAAAAAAAGCTAACACAGAAAACTTCCACAATAACCTAAACTGTGAGTTTTAGCTTTCTAATTTAGTTTAGAAATCGAAACTATTTGAAATCGAAATAAGTATTTTGAACATAATAAGTAAAACACATGCTTGGTCAATCAGAGTTGACAGTCTGGAAGCATTTGGACAAATCTTCATATTCCCTGTAAGACTTCACAAACCAGAAAGGCTGCTCTCTCCCCTGTGCCTGTTGACCCTCCCACTTAGCACAGACAAAGGCCAGGACAAGGGAGAGTAACTGTGTGTGAGACAAGCTAAGGTCTGTGTGGAAAAAGCACTTTTGACCCCTGAATCCCTGGTGGCAAAGCACTCAGAAAGGAAGAGGCAGCTTCTGGACTCTCCTTTAACCTTTCTGTTCTACAGCAGGCCTCCTCACTGGAATCGGAAACGACAGCCAAGTGTCTACGCCCCCATCGGCCTAGCTTGTGACTTCTGCATCTTCGGCTCTCTGAATGCTACCTGAGATGAACCCTCTGGCCACTTTCAAAATGAGGTCAGAGGTTGCTGGTTCCTGCACTGCTAATAATATTTAACAGTCGTGGCAGTTGCTCTACTAATGTTGCATTCTATGATAAAAAGCACTTTGGTCTGCAGCTTCTGCTTTCAACGAATAGAAAAGTAAGTAAGATACATTTTCAGTCCTTAAGGATCCAACTAATTATAACTTAATTAATCCTAAAATTTTGGGAGGGAAGAAAGGTGGAGAGTTATAATTATTTCCCTTTCCATATGAGAAATTTTAGTGTTAAAAGTTAATTTTTACATGAAGGTAAAAATATAACTATTATACAGACATAAAAGTAAAGATGCAGTAAAGATTTTTGTATAACTCATTCAGTGAGGGAACCAGAGAGATCTCATAACACTTGCAAAAAGGAGTCAAGAAGCCTATCTATATGCTATAAAGCTATGTTGCAAAATGTTGAAATTAATAGCAAGTAGAGGCGAAATTGGTTGTTAACCTATGTTAGAAGGGGTGAGGAAGAAAAATGTCAACAGACTTTGTAGCAGACTGGACAGAATTTGTTCTGCACAATCAGGAAAAGCACAGAGTTGTTAAATAGTTCCCAGAGAATCCAGTAACTTGGGGAATGGAGATGATGTGAGAGAAATATAACTCCCAACCTCCTAGATATCAGAAGTGCCAAGTTCAAAGAATGAAATTCAAAGGACAAAGGAGATTAAAAACAGGAAAGCTTTATTTGGGAATACGACTAGCTCCTGAGAGATAGGAGGGGTCCTGGAAATAGGCTGCCACCAAAGTGCTTTCTCTGAGAATGCTTCATAGGGCAAAATCACAAGGTGGGTACAAAGTAGGTCCAATTATAGTCAACCAATGAGACTGCAAATATCAGCTAATATTGATCCAATAGGGAAGCAGGACACATAGTGAGGATGTATGGATGACATCATTAACCTAGGGTTGTCTATGACTTCCAAAACAGCAACAGAGGAAAAAATGGACCCAGATGTTCTGGTCACCCACCCAGGTGTCTGATGCATATCTGGACTTAATGGATTGAGTGTAATCTCGATTTCCATTCATCTCCTAGAGAAGTATGTAAATCTGGCCTCTGTGACTTTAATCCCAGGCCTTGCCGTCTCCCCATGCATCTCTAGCACAAGTCCACCTTTCACTGACTTCCTTGAGAGCCCAGTCTGTCTCTGACTGTATATTAACTTTTAACTTAGCCTACAATTAGAGGCAATGAATAGGTTTCTAAACAGGCCCTGCATTCAGAGTTTGTCCCATTCTACCACCTTCAATGTCATAGCTTCTGAGAAAGTTACTATTTGTCATTAAAATTACCTAAATAAAAATTTAAAAAGCAAGTAACAGCATAAAAGGTAACCTGGATTGAAGCTTCCTTCTGTTCGCAGAGAGTCCTGCTTTGTCTTGAAGCGCTGGCAGAGGCCACTCATAAACCAAAATGCAGCTGAGCCACTGAAGGACCACCAGGCCCCTCCCCATACTGAGACCCAACCCCCTAAAGGAAGCCAGGTTGAAATCTCGCTTGGCTGTACCTGCATCCTCACTGCATTTGGAACAGATGCTAGAATCGAGATGAAAAGTGACCAGTTGCTTCTGAATTCCTAAAAGGATTACTTAAAATGGGATCAAACATGCCTATCCAAGCTCAGCCTGCACTAAAAAATATCACAGACCAAATGGCATCACAGGAATTTATTTTCTCTCTGCTGTGTAGGCTGCAAGTCTGAGATCAGAGTGCCCGCGTGGCTAGGTTCAGGTGAGGGCTCTTCCTGGTTTGTTGTAGACTGTCACCTTTGGACCTTCTATGTCTCATGTGGAGGCAGAAAGTGGAAATCTGCTACAACTTCATTTAAAGTCACTAATCCGTTCATAAATCCACCTCCAGGACCTTTTCCAAACCTAATTATCTCCAAATACCATCACTTTGGGGGTTAGGACTGCAATATATGAACTTTGCGAGGGCACACCAGTCCACAGCTGTGCCAGTGTATGAACTCAGCATGGCTTAAGTTGAAAAGCTAAAATGGTCACATCTGTAGGAAGAAAGCTGTCAAGCCACAATAAGTACATTACAGCGATTTACAAAAATGTTACAGCTTATGGTCCTAAATGCTCTATACTAACAACAAATAAGAAGATACTATAACTTCTCAATGCATGCTTGTGTATGTTTAAAGCTTATTCCATGGTTTGGAATTACTGGGAAAATAAAGGGCATTAATAATAAAAAATAGGAACACTAACAAGCTTCCCTATCACAAATGACCTAAAAAATGTGGCAACTCAAAAGAAACAAATCATTGCTTCAGTGTAAAGCATCTCAGAAATCTAGGGCATCACCAAGCCTTGGTCCCCTTGGGTTTTCCACTCAGAAAGAATGCAGTATCTTTTTCTTAAAATTTGCCTGTATTTTCCAAAACTTTTCAAATCTTAATCATGATATACCTTTTAAGTGATTTGAAAACAATTGAAACCGCTCCTGTCACTGCACATTATTCAACACGGCTCTTCACAAGAGGCTTTGTTGTGCTTGCTTTGTCATTGTTGTTGCTTTTATTTTTTAAAAAATCTTCAGTTTGTTTTTCAAAATCTTTTCCAGTTTAAAGATATTTGGCACAACTTTTTAAAAATGTGTTTAATCATAAATATCCACTAGGCCCTAAGTGAAGGTCTAAATCAAATGAAAAGAAATGAAGAGATGAGATTGTGATGTTCATCCTCAGAGTCAAACAAGGAAGAGAGGAGAAGAGATGATCTAATTGGTCAGCAAAATAAAAACTACAGAGCTCATATGTGGAAATGACTAGAGAACCTGTTCTTTAATCAGATTGCCAGCATTCGTTTCTCTTCAGGCCTCTACACAAGTCTCACCTTGTCCCCTTCACCCGTGTTTCTGTCTGTATTTTGGTCACAGCTCTGACAGTCTGATGCTACAGTGATCTGTTCACACATCTGCCTCCTTCAGGTTGCACGGAGCTTCCCATATTTGCTTTGTCTCCAGCGCTGACAGGGACTCACACACAACTGCTGCTCAATGCTGATGTCCTCAGATTGAAATCCAGTCCACTGACACTGAGCGCTACACAGAGGTTCTCACTCAGTCAGTAAATCATTTAACTAACACGGCTTGGCCACCGCCTACCACAGGCGCCAGTCACCGGGATGGAAGAGACAAGTACCACTCGCTGACTGCCAGGCTTAAAATCAAGGCAAGAGAAATAACTTCCTGGTTTTCTAAGTGTCTTAGTTACTTTTTACTCGTCGCTAAGACAAAATACCTGAAGCCCAAGTTGGGAAAGGAAAGGTTTATTTCTTACAGTTTTTGGAGGTTTCAGTCCACACGCAGTTGGCTCCAAGGCAGGCAGGGATGGCAGGGCTGCAGGTCATGGCGGCTGCAAACAGCAAACAGGAACCAGCAAAGAGCAAGACACACCTTCTTCCTGCCATTACATCACATCCTGGCTCCACCCCTATGTGGGTGGAGCACTGACACCATCAATCCAAGCACTAGACAATGAACCAATCACAAACGCACAACGCAAACTCACCAGGCCTGGGGGCCACAGACATAAACCATGACACTAAGAGATAGGTGGAAATGACTTGATAGAGAAATAGAAAAGTGAAGGCCAAAACGTTCTGCACTTCTTTGCTAATCTTACCCAGACAAACTCACTTCATGCGAAAATCTTGTTTCAGAGAGGAACATAGCACCTCACACCTGGAGACCATAAAAGTGTTGCCTGAACGCAAAACCCTTGCTGAACACCCAGTACGTGACTGGCAACCTCTGTGCATGACTCTGCAAACGCGAAGACAAGACATCGCGTCTGCCACTAAGAACACTGAACTCAAAGTGCTCAAGGCGAAGCTTTCATCCACAGACCATCACAATGTCACAAACGTATTTATTGCCACTACAGGTTTCCTCTTGTACTTGCTCTTCTCTCTTTTGTTTTGTGTGTGGGAAGATCAATTAACATAAGCTTTGTCTTTTTTTTTTTTTTTTTTTCTTTTTGTCTTTTTGGTTTTCATCGGTACCAGGGATCGAACTCACGACTGCCTGTTTGCAAGGCAGGCGCTTATGCTGCGCGCTGAGCTAAATCCCCAGCCCCAAGCTTTGTCTTCTAAACAAAAAATTAAAGTGTAGAATAGAATATTATGAATCAGAGACCCTATGTTGTACAGACATATCCAAAACTTATTACATAAGTGACATTTTGAACCTTGTGGTCAATATTTTTCTCCACCTTCGGGACCAAAAGGTGGCAAAAGTGGCAACCACCACTTCACTCTGCATTATGTTTTTTTTAGCAGAAATACGTTGGAGTTTACATGTAATTGAGTATTTTTATTTCTATATCTGGCTTACTTCACTTAGGATAATGGTTTCCAGGTTCATCCTTTAACAAAGTCCTTATTTTTATGGCTGAATAATATTGCACGGTGTGTCTTACATATATGTGCATATATACACATTATTTCCTTTTCTGTTTTTGAATTGGCAGGTACTTAGAGTGTTTTCATACCTCTCATATGATGAGTAATGATGCAGTAAGTGTGGGAATGCAGAAATTTTCCTGAGATTCTGATTTCATGACCTTTGGTTACCCCTAGAAGTGAGACTGCTGACCCAAATGGTAATTCTACATTTAGTTTTCTGAAGAAATTTCATATATTTTCCAGAGTGACCAATTTATATTTCCACAACAGTGCACAAGATTCCTTTCCTCCACAAACTCTGTGTTTTTATAATAGTCATCCTATTAGAGATAAGCTGATATTTCACTGACACTTTGATTTCTGTTTCCCTAATGGCTAGGAATGTCAGTCACCTTCACATACACCTCTAGGCTTTTTATATCACTTTTGGACAAATGTCTATTCATGTGGTTATTAAATCAAGTTAGCTGTTTTGTGTTTGCTATTTAGTTTTAAGTATATATTATTTATTTTGGATATTAGTCCCCTTATCATATATATGATATATATATATATATATATGCTCTCATTTCTTAGATAACTTCTCTTTTTTTATTTTTTATTGTTTTGTAACTGGAAATCAAACTCAGGACCTTGCGCTTGCTGGGCAGGCGCTTGTGCTGCTGAGCTACATCCCTGGTTGCCTTCTTGTTTTGCTTCCTTTGCTTTTTAAATTTTTTAAAGTTAATTAAGTTTGTTGGTATATTTTAAATATGATCATATGCATCATCGGGAATTTGTATATCATGTAAAGAATTTGTGTATCATCACCGGGAATTTGCACTTCATGTACAAATGATATAACTCTACATGACGTAAATGATATAACTTGATTCTTTCCTTCCCATTTCCCTGCTCTCCTTTCACCCTCTCTTCCCCTCCCCATTACAAAAATTTTGTTTCCATTTTTCCTCTTTTTCTCATTTTTTTCTTTCCCTTTTCTGGTTTTAAATTGTATAAAATTCCACTTGTCTATTATTTCATTTTGCCTGTGTTTTTGGTGTCACAGCAAGAAATTATTGCCCAGATGAATATAATGGAGAGTGTCCTGTATAATTTCTTCTTGTAGTTTTATCATTAGGGCTAGTATTTAAATTATAATTCATTTTGGTTGATTTTTGAATAAGATATGAGACAGAATTCCAGTTCCATACTTTTTCATGTAGATTTTTAATTTCTCCACATCAGTTATTAAAGAGACTGTCCTTTCTTCAGTTTTGTCACTTTCTAGACTTTTTTAGACTATTGGAGACTATTTTATACTATTGATCTGAATGTCTGTCTTTATGCCAGTATCATACTGTTCTGATTACTGTCACTTTGTAATATGCCTTGAAATCAGGTAGTATGATGCCTCTAGCCCAGTTATTCTTTCTTAGTACATGTTTGGAGTACAGAATGATTACATTCATGGGTGGAGAGTACGTGAACATGACACAACTCTTTTTCATCCTCTACCCCCACCCCTTTCTCCTCCCTGCTCCTTCCAAATCTTGGTCCCCTTCCCATTTATAAAAGTTCTTTTCCAACTTTTTCTCTTCAATTCTTTTTTCCCATCCCCTTTCCCATCTCTCCCTCCTCCCACCATCTCTTGTTTCTCTTCCAGTTTGAAAAATATCCTGTACTTCCTATAATTTAACTTTTATTTTGTTATTTATTTATGTTTTGGGTTTTTCATACAAAAGAAACCATGTGATGTTTAAGCTTATGTGTCTGATACAGTTCATTTAACATCACGATCTCAAGATGCATCCATTACGCTTCTTGCTAATTGCTTTGGCTATTGGAAATCTTCTGTAGCTTCCAATGAATTCTAGAGCAATTTTTCTTTCTGTGAAGGTTTCAGTAGGATTTTGATAGATATTGCCCTAAATTTCTAAGCTGCTCTGGGATGCCTGGATATTTTAGTAACATTAACTCTTCAACTTGTGAACATGGAATGTCATCCCATTTATTTGTATCAATTGTTAAATTTCTTTCATCAGCGTTTTATACTTCCCAATGTACATGTACCTGTTGGCTGCTTGTTTATTTGTTAGTATTTTATGTTTTGATGCTGTTATAAATTACATTTTTGTAATTTACCCTAGTAGATTATTGTTAGCGTACAGAAATGCAGCTGAATTTGTATACTGATTTTGTGTTCTACATATTTGTTTAGTTCAATATATATATATATATATATATATATATATATATATAGAGAGAGAGAGAGAGAGAGAGAAAGTATGTGTGTGTATGTGTGTGTGTGTGTGTGTGTGTGTGTGTGTGTGTGTGTGTATAATGCCCAGGGATTTCTATACGTATGATTATGATATATAAACAGATGGACTTACTTCTTCCTCTGTAGTCTGGATGACTTTTACTTCTTCCTGTGTTATCCCTGGGAAGGATTTCTAGTTCTATGCTGAGTAGAAATGGTAAGAGTGGGAAACCTTGCATGTTCTTGATCTGAAAAATAAAACTTTCAGCTTTATTTTGTGAATAAACTTTTAATTCCCTGATTATAATTTTACCTGTTTCCGAAATAAATTTAGCAGCCTAGGTAGTTATATTTATATACAATTTAAATCCATATTATAAAAAAGATAAATATTATCTAGAGATTAACATTGCTTAAACAAAATCTACTTTAGACACTGTTAATGCACCTGTAAATATATTCACTTTTACCACCCTCCAAGAACAGATAAAATTCACTTTTAGAACCAAAGCTTCTTTCTCCTCTTCTTGCCATTCTAGCACAAACTGTTATTCTTCCCAAACCCTCCACTACCTTTTACATTGGCTGGGAATTGAAAGCATCAGTTAAAAGAAAGTCTGCTAATTCCCACAATAATGTTATCATTCTAATTGGAATCCTGTTTCTGCTGAGTCTACAACTTTTATTATGGCGGTCTTTTTGTTTCTTGGGTTTTTTATTACAGATTTCTTTCCAACTATTTGAAACTGAAGGCATTCCAGCATTACTTTTTGGGAAAAAGTAATTTGTATTTTTTATTGAATTAAAATTCAAATTTCCTTATTGGAAATTGGTTGGCTCTCTATTTTGCTCATATCTGATCCTTCTACAAGAACATGAGCATTCAAAACCTCCTATGCAAAAGTCAAGAGTAACATGTTATTCTTCTGGAGAGGCTCACGTGGTATATTTTTATACCTCACAGAGTACCAAGTGCATGATCATCACAGTACCACTTGCCAATATCAAACTTAATTGCTAATAGGTCTTAAGCTTCATAATGAAACTGAACCTGAGTCATAGCACCAGCTTTCCTGGCTCTCTAGCAGCAGACTGTGGGACTTCTCAGGCCTCTAATTATATTCTTGGTAAGCAGAGCCAATTATATGTGCATTTATGGCCTATCATAATCCAATCTGAAAAGTACTGCAATATCTTTCTTGAAATGACAGGTTGGATGACATGTACAAAACACACGAGGGAACTGAAGTAAGAAAAATGTGACAAATAAAACAATATGTATAGTACTGTAATAGAAAAAATACCTAAATCCAGTTTGGGGTGATTAAGTTAGCAGGGCATGAGCTGGAACCTGAACAATGAGTGAGAATGAACCAGATTTTGACAGGAGTTAGGGGAAGGGGAGAACAGTAGATCAGAAGAAGCAGCCTTCGCAACGAGCCAGAGGCAAGAAGACTCAGACAGTGATTAGGATTAAGTGCAGAGTTTGGGGGAATGAGAACAGGTAGGACTGGAGAGCAAGTGGGACCAGACCAAGAGGGAAGGGCATGTTCTCTGAGCTTTAATTTCCACTTGCAACACATATACTGACTCCATTTTATCCTCACAACAAACATGCTTATAGAGCATATTGTTACATTAATTAAAAAAAGAAGTGAGTCTCAAAGTAAAGAGACTTGCTAACATTCACCATAGTTTTCTTCTATTTCTTGTTCATGAGACTGTCCCCTTCGGACTAGCATGGTGTTAGGTGCTCGGGAGGATTGCCAACAGCAGATGTTCTCATGCCTCTCATTCTGCAGCTCACAAATTGCTTCTAAGCCACAGGTCTCCACG